TCCTGTTGGCCGTGTATTATGGCGTGTTCTGGCATCCCGAACCAAGACTTATCATCAACTACCCCTCGGACGCCACGCCAGTACATTTCGGCACCAGTAACACGCGCACGGTCCCAAGTAGGGGAAAGAAAGGTTGACATCTGACGTCACCACTAAATTATTTTTGGTATGTATGGTTAAGCCCACGAAGCTGTGACATATGGTACAAAACGATTTCTGTTGTATGATATTGTCCCTTAAGTAATTTATTTTAACGATGAATCTAAATTGATTTGGTTAGTATATAAAAGCATTTTTCTGTTTCGAAATTCAATCACATAGACGGTCTCCAAGTGCATAGATTTCGTATCATAGTAAAGCTATCGTTGAATAAATGGTGGCGCGACAGGATTACATTACGTGCAGTAACAGTTGGCGAATTGATCTAAACATGACCGCAGATAAAGCAAAGTGTGTTTTACCATTGGCAAACTTGGTCGTTATCGTTTATTACTATTGACGGGAACACTTGTATCTTCGACAAATCATTCTGTGTAATAGTAAAGTGGTAATGGGAGAATACATCACGAAATTTGGCATTGTGAAAAAATGTTAAGTTTTGTTTCTATGTATCCCGTCATCATTTTTTCAGCTATCGAAAATAATCTACTTCCGGTGTTAATCAACGTGGCCGCAGTGAAACAGAAATATTCAAAATAGCGTTTCCGAAATTAACGACTGGATGAAAAATTGTTTATAGCGTGATTTTCCAGTCAGACCGTTACAGTACGTCCCTGTCCGAAGAGAGTGTATATCTAGACAATACTGCCATTTAAGTAGGATGTTGACAATGTAAACTAGCCCTATAATGCAGCCCTAATTCTGATTTCAACTTTTAATATATAATGAAAATATGGTGATGGATTTCAGTCTCGTTGTGAAGAGTATCATACAACAGGGTAGAATATTTCTATCTAAACAGTTAGGAATACATGTGCTGTCGCGTTTGATATTTCTCTTTGTAATTATACTGGCTCTCATTCTCTTTTTATCCCTTTTCTTATCTTTAGTTTATAATTATATTGACCTCTATAGGTGTTTACTGTTTTTCTTTTCTACATACAGACAACTCCAAAAAATATGTATTAGAATAGTGCTGAACACAAGATTGTCCGAAAGACGATCAGCTGAACAGCACATTTCAGTGTACATTTAGAATTGGATACAACAGAGCCGAAAAAGGTCAATATTTCAGCGATAATTTTGTTTTAAAGTTTTCCCTTTTATTTCGTGAATTGCAGTGTGTTTGTAGTTGACACAAGTAATGAGTAATTAATTTGGAAGCGTAAATTAATCAATGCGCTTATTTCCCAAAAGAATGATAGTTCGCTAAGGTTTGAAAGAAATTAGTCTAGAACACATCTAATTTTTACGTTTATTTCGACTTATTTTGATTTTGCCAGTCACCGAAAGGTACCAATCTCTTGTGTGTCTTTTACCCAATGTTCAGCCTTGTCCAGTGGTAGTCGGCTATTATTTTCCCAGTCACTCTTAAGAAAGTCACGACATCCATTTTTTTTAAAAAAGACATTCAATCTGAAAACCAATTCTAAACGGAGGTTTTTTTCGTCTCCAGTTTCCTCTCTCTCATACTTCACATGCAAAACCAATTCATATGTCGACGAGAACATTCGACCAAGAACATTCTATTTTCATATTTATTTATTTTTAGAAATGTACAAGTCCGTGAATTAGATAGTAGCCATATGACATTGTATTGTTGACTGTGTTAAGATATGATCTCCTTCCCAGTGTTTTATCTAAGTTCCTTCTTTTTTTTCTTTTTTAAATATGGTAATCGAGAACGAAAAAAATAAAAATCAGGCAAATTAGCAATAACTCTTCAGATATCGTATTTTGTCAATGAATCCTTTCTCATCAGTTATCAGTCAAGATTTATAACCCAATTATCATTATGATATATTTTTTTTCTTTGTGAAAGAGGTTTATAATTTTTTGTAAGAGGTTATTGCAGAGCATTATGTGACTCAGTGTGTAGGCTCCCTATAGCCACCACTGAGACGATAAGGTGATTAGAAACGGTTGTCATGGTAACATTATACGGATTAGCTGACTGCATAGCTGAGTTTTGCTTTGATTCAAATATCAGATATGGATCTTACTAAAAATACCAATTATCATATTTCTCGAGTTCATGCTCTGATATTGCGTAAACCTTGTTACGAAATCATTGATAATAACTTTACACGGTCTATATCTAAGCCATACATCCTTAAATGACAATAATATACAATTGGTTGAAATGAAGCGCTCGTAAGTTAAAAGCTGCATAGCGCGAGGAAGAACGCTATTATATGGTGTAACATGCATTGCGATATGTAATTATATATACCATATTCAACTGTTTTGATAAATGTGTTATTACAAATTAACGTTTACATATCGTATGTTGCCCAGAATATTTATCATTATCGCCATTCGGAACACTCCGTTATCGTGAACATCAACCGAGCGGGAGTAGAGTGGATAACGTATTGTGAATTCATCTACTGTTCCGTCATATCAAATTATGAAGGTCACGTTATTTGTCCTTGAAGTATGGAGAACATGTATTCATATAGTTGATTGCAGATAAAGTTGATGGAGCGGGTTAATTTGGGAAACAAGACACAATATGTGAGATCACGAGGACATCATTATGATTGTTTCAAGATTCTCACATCTATACAAATTTTCTCACCGGTAGCCATTTTTTTCATCACAGTTTTCTCTTCTTAACAGTTGGTTTAGGTGGAGAACGTAGACATATTTTTATCAGAGGAACAATTGTCTTATTACATCGCAATCATGCCATGATTCAACGTCAGGCTAAATGCCTCGGAATTTACCAGTTTTTTTTGTAATGGCTGATATTGTAACAGAACAGAGCAAATAATCCGGAAAATCTACCCAGAAAATAATTTTCTACGCTCTAATTGGGATCAACACTGGATATGAGGAATTGGGATCAACAGCGGATATGAGGAATTTAAACCATTGTGTATAACAAATCCAAGTACATGGAACCAAAGTTAGAAGAGGTAAAATCTCCAAACTCAAAGTTGATCCGCGGGGCTGATTCAGAGCTGTTGTAAGGTCCTAATTACAACTATACAAGTAAAATTTTCTTGACATTTCAAGCAAACCATATCTTGCCCAAACTATTTGAAAATAACAAATGAAGTCTGTTTGACCAAAGTAATTCGACAAATATATGTAAATGGTATGGTCATCCTGATCGTCATAATTGTGTTGTAATATGTCTATATGAACAAGGTGCTTCCATTCTCATTATTGCTGGAGGTATAACGGTCTAGTTGACTATTCTATACCAGTGACAACTGCCTGGTATACCAACACTGAAAGGCATTTGTTAGGTAGCTGTAGTTCCGTATTCGTCGTGACGATTTCTTAGACGACGAAATCGTGCTGAAACTGGTAGTTGGCAGCATGAATTCTCTTCTGTATGAGGAGTCAAGCTAGGATTAATATCATACCTGATAAATACTACAGGTTGTTAAGGGAGTACTGGTAGACTTAATACAACAAATTTTTTATGCAATCCTGGTAAATAGCCGCAATATACTGCTCAGCTGGAGAGAACTTCTTTTTAGTTTGATCTGTTGAGGGTTCGACTAATAATGCAGGGGTCCTGCCTTCAATTCCTAGTGGAGGCATTGAAATAAATAGTGATCTACAGGCAATGATAACAGGTTTGCTTTGTCTTCTGACTTTTCAACCCAACAACTTGCAAAATTAACTATATACCCCAGTGTACCTGAACAAGAAACATTTATTCATCATTAAATGTTACCATTTATTGAAGAAAAATCTAACATGTCAAAATCAGAGATAAATAACGTGATTCTAGCTCACCAGTGAGCCAAGGAACCAAAAGAAAACTGGCCTATTATCAATAACAAAACAGTTTTATCTGTTAATAGTTTTTGATATTGTTAGCTTTTTAAGTATATTGTATATTTTATATATTTCAGATTTTCTTCAGTGCGACGTTTTCTTGCCTACCAGTGTGCCTGCTCACCCAATTTCTCTGGGATTCCTGGCCTATCACAGAGATACAGAGGCTGTCCAACTTTGTCGACACTGTTCTCTTGGCATCTCTCCAAGCACAGAGGAAAAATCCTGGGATGTGACCTTGTATGATTCATAACATTCAGATGAAAGTTTCTTTGTACATAGTCTAGATAACAGGAACAATGGTTAAATATACCGATTTTAGTTTCTATGATGTAATGTACAAATGTTATCATATTACAGGCTGACAAATTTGCCTGAAAAGTATATTGTACCTTAACGTTTTACGAAAGTTATGAAAATACTTTGGCACTTAAAAGAATTAAGAATTCTGACATTTTATGTTTAACTAGGAAGAGCCAATGATGGATGGTTAATTCCGCTATTTTTCTGTAGGATTTATACAGCTTGGTTTATGAACCTTTGAGTAACAAATGATTTTAATTATACTGACAACTTTTTGTTACCCTTCCTGAACATCACACGAGTTCATTCCCTTTCTTGTTTTTGTCCTTCAACAAAACTTTCTTTAAACATGTGTGATTGGTTTAGGTTGCAGTTAAAATTGATATTTTTGGTAATTACATGTACAAGCAAATTATTAACAGAAATATGTAATGAACATCAAGAATGTAGAAGTTTGCTTCTCAATTTAAAACCTCAATAAACTGGATTTATCATTGATTGGTAAAATACCTCAACTAAACTTAATATACATTATATGTATGAAAGTAAATTTGATTGAATTTCAGATGACCAAACAACTCTGATGTCATCTAGAAAAACACCAATATGTTCAAAGTAAAGACTGTTTCTCCTCCTCACTCATTTTTTTTTTATTTTACACAATTTCTAAATATGTCAGATATGTAAGGGAATGGAATTGGATGAAAGTTAGAGTGCTAAATGAAAATCAAACAATGAAACATGTTTGTATAAAGGGTTTTATTATAAATAATATAAGTTTAAAGATGTACCAATATGTTCCAGATAGTGTAGGATATATGGCTTGCATATTTTTTTTCACTTTTTTAAATAATGTAAGTAAGTATTATAACGAAGTCTACAGACTGACTTCTGTCTGGGAATGTTTGTTCCCTGTTACAATAAGTATGACCTTAACACCATGCAATGATAATGATGACCATGATTTTATGATAAATGCATTTTTTCTCTCTATGATTTATTTTTAACTTGTTTTGTAGCCATTCTTAATAAACAATAACTCTACACCTGATATGAATTATTTTCTTTTCAACTTGATGCCTCAAAAAGTTTCCTTGTTCAGCATAAAGACTGACCTCTATTCCAAACCAAAAAAAGGTACAATAAGGTGGGGATCAACACACAATGAAGGACATATTGTTTATGGTACAAAACAATCCCAGTAGTCTGGTGCGACATCCACGCCACACCAGATCACTGTACAGAAAATACAAACACAGCAGCAGTATGCCTTTTAAAAAGTGAAAATTTTGTTTAGCGAGTATGAAAATGAACTCGGGATACATTGAATATCCAGAAATGTAAGCTATTATCCACCAATTGTGTATCAACAAGGAAGAATTTGACAAGGACACTTTGAATGACTGATAGGTTGGTAATATATATCATACTTTCTACCAAACTTCCTTATCGTGATTTTAATTCTTTAAATTGTATATATTAATCACATATCCTCTCTGTTTTCTGTTCTATATATAAATTTTACCAAAAACTTACTCAGTCCCTAGAAATGATAAGTCTTTGATACCTTACATGTTTTTGTGTTTTTTTATGGGAACTGAATTGAAATGTCGAAAGTTCTAACTGGTATCATAAAGCAAACGTAAAGAATAGGTTTAATATCCAAAATTTCATGTTCTCTTTACAACTTTGTAAAGTAATATTTTTTCAACTTGGAGAGATATAAATCCCAGAAGGGGCACTAAGTACACATCCATGCAATACCACCTAGACTAACATTTCACGAAAGTCGAAAGAATAATGAGGTACAGCTATTCAATCCAATACATTTTCAGGAACACTGTTTTTTTTAACATACAGAAAGCAGATGTTAAATCCCAACAAATCTTAATTCAATGCCCTTATTGTGTAACTGTCTGAAAAATAATTGATGAATAGTAGCTTGATTTCTACACAAAAATAATAAATATATCAATACAGAATATATTACGCATGACTATTAATCCATTCCATTCTATGCCTATATCACATAGCATATTTATCCATCAGGATAATTTATTGAACACATTGTATACAAAAAAATCTCAAATTCATGCATAAACCCTTCAAGATAGTATGCAACAAAGCTATTCACAAATCCCAGTATAATGACATCTGCCACACTTGCAGACAACATGCTCCTCTAGAAAATTGATCCTTAAAGAATTCCATCTGGCAAGTCTATTTTCGTAACAATGTGCACAAAAAATCCTCTAAAATTGATGACTTCTTCAACCTAATGTACTAACTTATCATTACTAACAGCACAGCACTACTTGTGTACCTCATCATCACAAGATGTGTAATCATTACCAAAACTTGTGTATGTCATCATCTTATCTAAATCAACATAACAAAATTGTCTAACTCCGAGACAGAGAGGTATTGACCCACAACCAATAAAGGATTATATAGATACTAAATCTAATTAGGAAAAAAAAAAAGTAGTTGTCATATATGTTCTCCTGTAACATATCTCAAACTTTATAAAACAAAAATTGCTTTTCTAACATTTTCCAAGATCAAAGTAAAACTAAGGTTAAAAGTCCATGGGTACATATCAAAAGGAGTATACTGTAGTAGTATGTGTATTATAGTTATGAGTTTTATATTTCCCCTCCTCTCTAGGATTCATGTGTACTTCTGATATGTACATATTTCATATTCATGAGTTAAGGTAATCATACCACCTAAGCACCATGTGTTCATCGCATAACAACACTTCAATGATTAAAAATGATGGAAAATGAGATAAAAATGATTTCATACACAACATCTTTCATTACAAATCATATACCCTAGTAAGGTTCTAGAAAGCATGGGTCACAGTGTCAAGCACAGATCACAGTGTCAAGCCCTACAATTCAACGCAACACCACAGCTTATGTAACAAAAATACTTGCCCTATTTGGTGAAAAGAATGTAAGCTTTTTATCTTTTTTAACAAAGCTTGTTATTCAAAATTTAATAAGTACTTAATACATGTGAATTTTCAAAAGTACAACTGCTAAAGCAAGTTTAATCTAAAACAGTTACGACTACTTCCTCAGTGTTGGCAGAAATTTAACACTGAAACACATTTAGGCCTCACACAGGTATATTTGAGTATAAATATTACAATATTGTTCAGTTGTGCACACAAGATGCATCAAAATTGACAATAATATCAGCTTAGAGAAAGTCATTCTAAAAATTCTCTGATAGTACGGCAGTGATATAGTTTGTAACTTAATAAAACACTTTGTTGACCTAACTTTTTCTCCATCATCATTGTTCTATCACAGATATTGTTTAAAAAGATCTTAAAAATTCATCCAATGAATGAAAATTTCATACAATATAATTGTTAAAAAATAGAATAGGAAAGTGTGTTTTCCTTTAATTTTTTTGGCACACAGAACATTATCTTCGAGCATTAGTAGCTATTAAGTTGCAAGCACACTTATATTAGATACAAGACTCTAGAACAAAGTTAGGCAAAATGATCTGGATATCATCCACAAGATGTCTGAATCTACCTATATCAACATATCTAACACTAAATACTTGAAAAGACCATCAATCAATACAATAACAATGTATCAAGGTCACTTTGCAAAACTCCATTTCAAGGTCACTCAACCAAACTTTGTACCTGGTAAGCAAGAATTCCAGGCCATCTCCATGACGTCAGCTGATATATTACCTTAATATTTCTGTCAACTATCCAACAAATAATACAGAACACCACAACAAAGACTTTTCACTCTGAACTTGTGTGATCTTACTGATTACAAGTGAATGTTCCGACAGATAATGTCCTATACCAAAACGTACAATACTATGTATCTGGCATTTTAAAATGTTTTTTTTACTAATTAGCCTTTTTATACTACCACAAGTACAGAGTGACAGGTCTTTATGGTTCTACTTTTATCAAAGAGACAGGTCACTTGATTCAAATCCAAATCCTTGTAAATTCAATATATTGATTTGCAATGATGGAAGGGAGATAATCCAATGTTTACAACATGTAGCAACTTTCATGATAGTTTCAGTCCACAGACATCCAGTCATCTGTATTAATGCTTCACACAGTATGAGAAAGCAGTACATGTGCAGCTGCACACATACAGGTCAGATGATGCTTTAACTACTGTACATGAATGACCATTTACTACTGGTCAGCGAAAGATGGATTATGGGTGCTTGATCTCCTTCAGTGTTGGTGTATTTCTGCACTCCAAGCTTAAGCTGACAAAAACAGGAAACAAAATCCAAAATACAGTACAGGTAGTGAGATATGAAAACCTATTCAAACATTACTTTACTAATTAAAATTGATCTTTTTATTCAAAATTTTGACAGTGTTTATCATGATTGAATGTATTTGTATGAATTTCAAATTTTTGAATATATTCATTTATACAAATATAGGAAAATGTTTGACTTACAAGGAGATCATTAGCACTGGTTGTGGTATGAACTTAGGAGGCAGCATCTTCATTCTCCTGTGGAAGGTTGGGGTTCTCGGGATCCTTACAATCCTCACCTTTACCTACATTATAATAAGATTAACATTATAACATTACAATAATGATGGTGTTTATTATGAACATATTTTTGCATTTATTTTTTAATTTTTTCCCCCTTTTTTTGTTACAAAGGTTGTATGTCCTCTTGCAAGAAATCGTTGTAATTGAATAATGTACATTTTATACCTGGAAACACAATATGATTTAGTAGGTTCCTTGTGTTTTCAAAACTGTTTTAACTTTAGGTTTTCGGTAAGTAATACAAATCCATAAATACTCCAGAAACACACAAGTTTTACAGTCCTAGTTTGTCTATCTCAAGATAAGACAGAATAAAACTTCTATTCATAACATAATACGAAGCTTGTGACATTTCAACCATGTCTTAAGCTCACCTGAGTCGTCCACAACTGAGACTTGTGCTGCCTCGTCTGGTAAGTCGTTCAGTGTCTGGCTGTCGACTTCTGTGAGTTTTCCCTCCGTCTTGTCAATGTTTTCGGCCATCTGTGGTTTAACATCACCCTTCTCTGTGGGTGTGTTACTTACCTGAGGACTATTGTCCTCTGAGGAGGACGGCACTTCCTCCTGAGTGGAGGATATGTCCTTCACTTCAGAGTGTACGTGATCCTCTTGTTTAGAGGATGTTTCCTCCTCTGTTTTGGACACTACTTCCTCCTGAGAATCCTTACCTTCATCTTTTCCTTCAGAGGATGTGCACACTTTACGATCTTCTTCCTTGTTTTGAGAAGTGACCATGTTTTGTGCATCACATGATAATTTGTCTTTCATCTCCTCAACTTTAACATCCTTCTGTGGAACTGATTTCTGTCCACTGATTTTCTTTGGACTTTCGCCAGGTTTCTGTTTATCAATCTTTTTAGTACTCTTTGCTGTTGCAGATTTCTGCATGCTATCCACTTTTGGACTTTCAACTGCAGCAGATTTCTGCTTGCTATCACTACTGTCACTGAGTGGTGTCTTAGCAGCTCTGTCTTCTTTTTGAACCTCTTTCTTCATTTTCTGCCCTGAGGATCCACTGTCTTGTTTAGCTATTACATCACTTTTAGTAGCAGCTTTTGATAGTTTGGCATTTGGAGTGTGTTGGGGTTTAGAAGAGGCACCAGCAGCTTTACTTGCAGATGCTTTTCCTGAGGTTTTGTTAACAGCTGTGTCTGAGATAGGGGAATGAGGAGAGTGGGGTGTGAACTCCGGTGCCTCTGGGTTAAGGTGACAGTTGATCTTTATTACATCTGATTTAGCATGGTTCTCCAGGTCTTCCTCTTCCTCCTCTGGGCAGTCCTCCCATTCATCTGTGTCACCCTGACTTTGACTTTGGCGAGGCGTACTATCAAACTGGCCTTCCTCATAATCATACAGGAACTGGTCTTCCTGTACATTGTCGTGGAGATTTAGACCATCATGGTCTTCTTCTAAACTTACATGCTCACCAAACAGCTCCTTATGCTCGAAGATGTCATCCCCGTCCTCGCCTATCAGACTGCCTGTGAGGAGGTCATCTGCCTCTTCATCCCACCACAGTTCCTCTGTGGATGTTTGGGCTGTGCGAGAGTTTGGCAATCTGCCAGAGGAAGTGGTGATGACTGTACTATTGGGTGTCTCACCATCTGAATACTCAATCTCCACACTTCCATCACTCACCTTTCCAGGTGAGTTGTCCAATTTAATAACAAGGAGGTCGTGCTGTGTTTCTACTTTGCGATCCTCACCTGAAGTTGTCCTCACCCTCTGGGGCTTCACTTCCCCACTCCCTGGGCGACCTCTTCCTCGACCTCTGCCTCGACCTCTTCCCATTGGTCGCGGTGGACCCTCTCTGTCATTTTCTTCTCGTTTGCGAGGATGAGCTTCACCCTCTCTGGGTCTGCTTCCTTCACTATCCCTTTGTCGATTTGGTGCCTTCTCTGACTGACCAGTACCAGCAGTACCTAAAAAAAAAAAAAAGTTAAAAAATTCATTTTACAGTATCAAATTAAAATCATATACCAAAAAAACTAAAATGCCTTTAATGGACTTGAAACAATAGCATATATATTGAGAAAAGTAATATCATATTTCTTTTTTAAACTTACAGATGCAGTCCTTATCATATTATGGAGTGTACTCCAAGTCTTAATGACATTCAAGAAAAAATTCATTTGAGCTCAAAAGATTAAACAAAACTGGAACTATTCCAAGCCATATAGCTTTTACTCTGCATAGCTTGTTTCAAAGCACAGCGGTTTATTTACATAAAAACTCAAACACTAAATGATAAGTTAAGAAAAACTGTGTATCATAAGTCATTTCAGCGAATGAATCTCCCACTGACACATTGCCTCACTAAAGTGAGCTCATGCCCAACAATGAAGTTCTTGTGACTTGTAGTGTAGGAAATAGAGCGTGGACAAACTTTTGAAATGTAGCTTTATTTTATGTAGGTCAAAGGTCAAAATATAAGTAGAACAACCTACTTTTGATCTATGACACAACACCTCACTAAGGTGAAGTCGTAACCCAAGTATTAAGTAGCTAAAGTTCAGACAGACCCAACGCAAAACCACATTCGTTCATTTGGGAACTAATAATTGATGTATACTGCGACTTTCTTTTTTACATTGTCGAAATGACGTTCAAATAATTTGGACAGTTATACTAGATTAAATCATGCTGTATGACAAAAGGCATAAAACATTTCACAACATCACATATGACACAAAACACCAAATCTGTTCATTCTGGTTATTTGGAAGCTTTGCAAGAAAAGAAGTATGAACATCAAGTCATGGATAAAACACCTGATTACAGAACAACCTTATCCTTCCAACACTTAAAATCCAAGTTACATATATATTTTCATGGCAGTTCTTTACTATATTCAATGTGTAATTCTTTATAAAAAGTGGCCAATATTTTCCCTTTTTTGACACATAGATACTTTCAGAACAATTATAGTAAGGAGTTCAAATTAACAAGAAGTTATATCAGTTATGATAACAATAGTTTATAAAACTTAAGAGTAACATTTCCAAATCTTAGTTTTGCCATATATTTGTTAGAAAATCAACAATACTGACCCTCTTAATTTGTCACAAACAATTTACTTATATAAGAAAGTTTCTGAAAATTATTATCAACTATTCAAATCATGCAGTCTGCAGGATACACACATAATCTCTTACCTATGAACATAGTAGAGTGTAAATACACAATATCTGGTTATGATAAACTGTAACATTGAACCTGCATGTGGCCATTTTACACCTGCACATATCACCATCCAGATGTTGGAAGACTTAATGTTGTCAGCATTCATCATATATAATAGTACGATTTTAATTTACAAGGAAACTTGATCATTACATGTACTTCTGCAAAATAAACATCAAAACATAACTTGAGCTATAGGTTGGAAGTTCTTATAACACAACCACTAGAAGATGTATCAATGACATTTTGATGACTACATTGTGATCTTCATCAGATAAATGACCAGTGTAAAGCGCACTAGCACTGACACACATAGTGTACATGACACTAACCTGAGCAAAACTCTTCTTGTTTGCAGAATTGACATTTTTGCTGATTCAAGAATTTTTTTCAACCATAGAAAAGAGGATTGATCTTGATCTCATGGAATTTAACATTTTAAATACAGTAAGATTGAATATGTTTGGAATTAGTGTTTCTTTACTGTGTATGGCTACACTTAAATATTTAAATTATTTTATTTATGCAGAGTTCATAACTTCCTGTTGCTTAGACAATTTTACGAGGTGATATTTACTGAGGAACAGTTGAGAATTTTGTCTAAAATGGTCCTTGCATAACAGCAAAAAAAATGTCCCAGCCTATCTTTTTCATGATATACATTATGCACTATAAATACACGTACCTCTGATTTAAATAATAAAATGCTCAATCATTAAAAAGCATAGGTAGGAACATATATAATTATATAAATTATATTCTTTCTGCTGGTGTATAACACTAAATACTCCGCACTATAATGCAGTAATTGATTTACTTTTTACCTAGTGTATTAAAATCCTGAAAGGTGTGTAAAGGCAAACATTATTAAAGCAACACTGACAGAAATATGTTGGAACTTAAATGTGATCATATTCTGGTTATAATCTAGTGACAAGATTTTGATACAAAATCCAATTAAAATATTTACAAATGTGATATGATACTATCACTGTAGTGCTATTAATAAAGAAAAAGAGAAAAAAAAAACATTGATTGGAATACAGTGGAAAAATGCTCTTACTGAAAAAAACAAATTAGTCTTTTGGGACAAAGAAAATAATTTTAATGTAATAATGTGGCAGTTACAATAATGGTAAAATGAAATCAAAATACAACACGATAAAAAAATGAGCATTTATAGTAGAGTATGTACATAATAAAACTATTTTAATTTCTTCTAGCAAACTACATCCATCAGTTAATATGAATGATGATAAATCTGTCACCATGAAGTCAGCAGAAGTAATCCAGAAACCCACACAGCGTAAAATGGGTACATGAGTACTGTTACCATTTTCCCAATGTCATCAATATTCTAAAGCAGTGGCACCTATATAACCATCAATGTCAACCCAGTTAAAATTTAAAAGCTGTAACGATCAGAAACATCAGAAAAAATTCTGATAAACTAAATTCTTTTGCTCATTTTTTCATACTTGTCAAGTCCTCTATTTGAAGAAATTGATGGAATGACCAGAATTGGTTCTAGGGCATAGTAGGTCTAATGGTACAGGATCAAGGGAGTCGTTTTCAATACTTCAGCCAAGAATCACTATCATGCTTTACAAATAGAGATTGAAAACAACTGCAATCATATCAAATTTAACACTGTAGAAAAAGCATGCTGAATTGTACATGTATATTGTCTTTCTTTACAACTTTTATATCTCTTATTTTTCAGAGAACTAAATCAGAGTTCTACATTAAATTCTAAAACTGGAGGTGGGGTAAAAATCCATCGGTATTAATTTGGTTTAATTTGAAAGAAAATGAATCTGTTGCAAAATGGTACACTTGGGATGACATATGGTAAATAAGACATCATATAACGGTCAATTAGTGTTAATAAATAAATGTAGAAAGAAAAATTGACAGTAATAAGGAAACATGCATTTGAACCAAATTCTGATACATGCTACAAAACATGAGGACAAGGCCCACCATTAATGAATGTTACTAGAGGGAAGTAGACTGTGGGACATACAGCTATGGAGCAAGCACGAGTTACACATGTGTGCTATACTTATATATATACCTGGCTGCTCACAGATCTCACCTTTCTGTCTCTCATCTCGCTCGCCGCGGTCAAATCGACCACTGCCTATACGACCAGCTTCAAATCATAAAATTCAAGCTTGTCAACCCAAGTCAAGTACTAATTATAACAAAAAAATGTTATAGAAATACAGAAACAATTACGATGGAAGCACCTGCAAGGGTTTGTATTGCTCACTTGATTGTTTCAGTATTTATTCAATACAGTGATATGAGAAACACTTGCCATTTAATGAGAACCTCATAGCAACATGAGGGATTCCTTATACAATTACAATTAATTTCATAATTCCAAATGAGGGCCGAAAATCGAGCGCTATTCAATCATTTATGCTCAGTGACAAATCGGTTAAAATGAGTTCTTAATGTAGTTTTTTAAAGAAAGGTTGACAACAAAATGAAGGTCATGTAACAAAAGCTGTGCCTCTGCACAAGCTATTAGTATTACTGATTTTCCAAACAAGATAAAGATGGTACCAGAAATGGATTTTGACAGTGGTAAGACTACTAAAGAACCAAAGATACACCAAGCCATTAATGTATACAGATTAATTTTACGAGACCTACAATACCAATGTCGACATTCAAGCCAGGTAGAGCTATACCTGTACGATAATGGTATGTTATGACCCCAAATCAGGTTATATACTAAAGCTACTATCATTCAGCCATCCACCTTAAGCTTCCTGGTCTCAATTATACGAATACAGTATAAACTCAAATAGGAAAGTAAAATAGAAGAATATTTGTAAATACTGACTTGATAATATTGCAATCAGCTTATCAATACAGTCTGGATTTGTGAGGCTAGAGTGGGATACTGTCTCAATATTTACTATCATTGGACTTTAAAAGTGTATTTGTGTAAAATCTACACTTAACCTTTTTAGTACAGGAAATGGGCAGTTTTGCTTTTCTTGTATGAAAAAGATATTCCTAATGATCAACATTTGAGCTGTACAATTAGGTCTTTTTCTTAAGGGATTGATAAAGCATTTTACCACCTTTTGCAAGCACATTAAAACCTAGTCACACCCTAATTTGGAAAGTAAACAGGAGGTATTATTAGGTATATCACAACAAAATTAGGTTTTCAGACAAACGACAGTTTTGTTTCTCTGTCTTGTATATATAAAACACATAACAGTTAAAATAATAAATCTATTCTGAAAATTTGTATATGGTTTGGAAATGTTTAAAAATGCTATATGCTTGATCTACCCAATATTACAGCTTACCTGGTCGTTTGGCAGGTTCTGATCGTTTGGGATTCTCTTGATCTTCGTAACTGGAAAACAAAATGATTTTACAATGAACACAGAGCGTGAAATTCTAATTGTACCGGTTCTTTTTCGTATCTAAAATCAGAATCTCACACTTCATGGAATATATCCTATTCATGTAAAATGTACAAAATACATATCTGAACACATCTGCAGTGATGTAAGTACAATTTTTTTTGTAGACACCATCTAAGAGTGATTCTTTAAAATGCCAGGACATAGCTGGTCCTATTTCCATAACAAAATACCTCAATTAATGTTTTGTGTTGTATTGTGGCAAATACTATCTATTGATAATGAGGTAAGTAATATCTATTTACAAGCAGATCTGATTAATACTAGAAAGTGTAGCATACAACTTTATATTACACTGACTAGATCTGTTGATATCAGTCATTAAGTTTAACAACTAAAAAATAGAGCAAATGTCAGTTCCAAGTTTGAGGGTTGATCAGTGGGGTACTTCGCGTTGGGTATGGATACCAAGAGGTATGCAGAGCGATGAAGTAAAATATTAAAATTAATAAAGGTAGAATTCAATCACAACATACCCAAGCGTTACCAATTAGTGGGTAATTTATTATGGTCAACTAGTTTTGCCTCTAGGGTGAGGCTTCATCAGGACAAATTTTCTGACAATTTTCACCCCTGAAGTACTAAAAATGGGGCTCGCTTTTGCATTGTGACGTTATATGTAAACATGTATATAGTACTAAGGGCAGGTAAGCCGTTATATTAACTTAATAAAGTATTTGTATTTAACCATGTCTCTGAGTAATATTTGTTAAGCAATGTTTCTGTTATGTATTTTTACTTTCTCTCATCCAAACACAGGGTGCTGGTGGACTCTGATACATATGCTAATGTCTTGTAGTTCACTTCTAGTGGTTCACTCTTATCCGAGGTGGTATCAGATGAGTCACTCAGAAAAAGTCATTAAGTTTGATACAAGTAATGACACCAATTAGTGATTCATGCATTGTGATACGAATACAGCCCATTGTTTCAATCTGTTGATCATGTATGAACTAAGTGAGCATGAAGCTAGCCTGAACGTTCTCAGGTTCCACTTAATAAGTCAGCATAAAGGGACTCAAAGCAAACATCTATCACTTTTTTACTGTATTAATTAGTGTAATCTGATTGTTCACTTCTGTTATTGTTCAGTATATATAAAACATAACTTACTCTTTAGCACTTTTTTCGTTGTCCCACTCTCGTCGCCATTCCCCAGAAGAGGCTTTCTGGCGATCAATTCTGGCCTGGTCCACCGCCTCACGCTCTGCTCGCCACTCCATGTACTGCCGTCGCTCTCGGCCTGTCATTGCCATAGCCATCTCCATCTTAGATCTAGGAGGTCCACCTCTACCTCTCTCCTGCCAACAAAATATACTTTATTCAAAGGTTCAACTAATTGTTGTCTTTATAGTTTATCATGATCAGTTTGAAAATATCATTACAAAAACCTTAACAACATAAGCAAACCATATTTTTCTCAGGCATCCCAATGTCAACGTCCATGGTAAATGCAATTCTTTTGATAAGAGCAAGAAAATATGGCTTACAATTACAAGTTGAAATGGTAGGATAGGTAGGTGTTAAAAATCAACTTGAATGAAAACCACCATCATATCTAATATTCAGTTGTCAGGAGCTGACTAATTTAGTACAGTACTGTAGCTGAGCTGGGAAAAGTTCTGGAAACAAAAATGACAAGTTTACCTGTTCACATTTTAATCAATTTCACAGCATTAGAAGTGACCTGTTGCTGTTTCTCTGATAGAATTTCTATTTTATACAGGTAATATTCATAAGAAGATGTGACTTAATTCTTTATGTTTATAAATATATGTAACAGTCCATCACAGAAAAAACCTAATGATTACCTGGCGTTCCTTTACAACTTTCATTTTGTTTTTCACATTTGTGAAATCTGTGCCACCAAAGTTTTTTGGATGCCTCGTGTAATTGTTGCTTTGCTCTTGGTTCCTCTCTGCGACTGTGTTTGCCCATTCGCGGGTTCGATCAGTCAGGAAATTATAGGCAGGATCAGGGGGCGGTCCCTATAATGGAAGTTACAACCCAAACCATATATAAAAAATCAACCAATTATATTTTAATATGAGGAATACTTCCAGATATTCCATTTAAATGATGAAAAAATTAAAAAAAAGAGGAAAGATTTCATTCTTGAAAGTTTTTACCAGAAATTGATCAGTAATTTTTGTGAAGACATACAATCATACCAGTAAGCGTTATGCATGATGAAAGGTAACTTATTTGATAATCCTATTATTCCTGCACACCATACTTATATATACCATACATTCCTCTGTGTTTAATTGACTGAATGAAATTCATTGCAAAATGTTTTACACTAGTGATTTTTTGACATGAGCAGTTACAAAATTTGTCCAAACTATGACCTTAATCTTTTGACAAAATGTCATGGTAATAATTGCTGTCTGTCTAACTAACTGTCATTCTAGTAGGTTCTAGATAAAATCTATACATCCGACAGTATCAAGCACGCCAACATAAGATTTCAGAATTAATATGCAAGATTTTTGTAAGTTGACACTAACGAGGAGTACAGCTGTTATATGTGCAGTAAAACCCCACTTTCTTGAATTCGCACTACATGAATACCCTTACATAATCCTTGTTACTGGACTTGATATTCCTTCAACCCTCATTCCTTGCATACCCACATTCCTCAAACTCATTTTTATCCCTCTCCCTTAGATGCCAAGTATTTTAGTATTTTCTTCTTGTTGTTGAACAGGTGTCATGGTTGCCAAAATTTATCGATGTCACACATGACTGTGTCCAACTGCAGCATTCTTGAGTGTTTATACAGGTGTCTGACAGGACAGATATTCGAGGATTAACAGTGACATAATTACATAGATATAACATATCAGGACATTTCATGTGCATATCTAATTTAGACTGCCATTGAAAATATCAACTGGAGTTCAAACATAAGTTTGCTTTTATATTTAGCATAAAACAAAACTTCTTAATGGTACATATTTAGCTGGAGAGAACAGATGAAAGATCCAACACCATTCTCCGTGTACCCTTACCAAAAGGTTTTAGCAGATGAGGTTAATCACTAACACAATGAAAAAGAGAATATGAAACCTACATTTTATGATCACTTGAAGTTGCTGAAATAAGACAATGCAAAAGTACCTATTCATCATGTTACTGTCATTCTCAGTGACATGCTTGCTGCATGTTACATGGACATTTTGCAGTAAATGAACAATATTGTGAATGACAAATTTTACCTATTCTTCAACAGTAAAATTTGAGACAATGAAATCACAAACTTTTCTTAACTAATTTCAATCAATAAATAGATTGATCAAAGGATAGTGTAATGAATATGTCATTTATCGACACTGAGCGACAATAGATGATCGTTACCTGATGGACTGTGACCATCCTCTGATTACCCAAGTACTTGTATTCCTCTAACTATTGAAATGGTCCCAAGAAGTTCAACTTAGTGGGGTTTTACTGTATTTTGTTTGTCAACTTCTCAACACGATTATAAACATAAATATGCAATTCATGGGTACAAAATTTGCCAGCTCAAACAGCAGGGAATAAGCCATGCATGGACCTGCTCAAAATTCAAAATTGGCATGCATCCAGATGTACTTAACAGATATAACATTTTTAAGTTAATGAAGTTTATTCAATTTCTACAGGGAAGAAGTGTCATCATTTCACTGAATATAATTTTATTTTTATGTCAATTATAAAAGACAAGATTATGATAAAATATTTCTAAAATATTGATCAATGTGTCCAACATATTAACTGAAGGCTGTGGAATTCCAATCTTAATTATAAATTCATTATGTAAAAGAGGTCATTATTTATGTCAATGTCTCTGTTAGGATTCAAATGCAAGACCTCTAATTTAAAAGTGTAATGTTAAACTGAACAGATTAATGAGAAGATCGCTCTTGCAGAACTGTATATTGCAGCTTGCATCTCAAGGAAAGAACTAGTATTTGCCTTTCCAGTGATATACCCTCAGTAATGGTTAAATTCGTAATTAAGACCTTGACCTTTGATTCTGACTTTGATCTCTGAATTGAAGTTTGACTTCTGAATTGAAGTTTGACTTCTGAATTGAAGTTTGACCTCTGCTTCTGACTTTGACTGGTGATTTTGACTTTAACCTCTGATTCTGACTTTGACCTCTGATTCTGACTTTGACTGGTGATTCTAACTTTGACCTCTGATTCTGACTGACTGGTGATTCTAACTTTGACTGGTGATTCTGACTTTGACTGGTGATTCTAACTTTGACCTCTGATTCTGACTTTGACTGGTGATTCTAACTTTGACCTCTGATTCTGACTTTGACTAGTGATTCTAACTTTGACCTCTGATTCTGACTTTGACTGGTGATTCTGACTTTGACTGGTGATTCTAACTTTGACCTCTGATTCTGACTTTGACCGGTGATTCTAACTTTGACTGGTGATTCTAACTTTGACTGGTGATTCTAACTTTGACTGGTGATTCTGACTTTGACTGGTGATTCTAACTTTGACCTCTGATTCTGACTTTGACTGGTGATTCTAACTTTGACCTCTGATTCTGACTTTGACTGGTGATACTGACTGGTGATTCTGACTTTGACTGCTGATTCTAACTTTGACCACTGATTCTAACTTTGACTGCTGATTCTGACTTTGACCTCTTACTATGACTTTGACCTCTGAATCTGACTTGGATTTCTAATTCTGACTTTGACCTCTTAGTCTGACACTGATCTCTGAGTCTGACTTCTGATCTGACCTTGACACCAGTTTTCTACAGCTGCGACAGATATACAGTCTAATGACAAAGTTATACTTACACAATGTGCTTGTTTTGTTTATTATTTCATAAAAATATATTGATTTGGACAAAGAAGAAAAGCATCTTAACAAGAGACAGAAGAGAGAGCAAAGATACAAACAGAAGCAATGGTTTACACTCACATTAGCAGAGGGTTCCTTGTGCGGAGGAGAGCTAGCACCACCATGCGTACGTTTACGACGAGGCTCAAATTCAGAGTCCTGAAACTGAACTCGCTTGTCCCGGTTGTTATCCCGGTTGTGTGACCTCTGTTCCCTCTCTATGTCAAACTCCCTAGATGACTGTTTGTTGTACCTAGGAAGCTCCCTATCTGGGTCAGATTCCCTAGATGACTGTTTGTTGTACCTAGGAATGTCCCTGTCTTGGTCAGACTCCCTTGACGACTGTTTGTAGTAAGACCTCTGATTCTGGTTTTCTCGAAAGCTGTGTCTGCGCTGAACATTATGGTCTCTGTCCTTGCCTGAACCCTGACGGTTGTGCCTTTGGTAATCCTGGACATCTGGCGACCCGGACTTGTTGCTGTTTTCCCAATTGTTCTGGCGATTTGGCTGCCGATTGAAGTCATGGAAGTCTGCAGACAGGGGCCTCTGAAAACCATTGTGATGAAAGCCATGGATGAATGGCTTGTTCGTGTCTCTGTGAACTGCACTGTTCCAGGCCTCCACTAGAGACACATTATCATGGCTCTCACGTGCACCCTCATTGTTAGACACCACACGCATGGCACGTGCACGTTTGTCCTGCACCAATAAAGCACAACAAAGGCATGCAAAATCAGGTAAGTAACACAAGGGAAGGTTAAAAGTCAAGTTGGGTCAGATAGCAGATAACATTCCAGTTTAGTTGTATACAAATTTTGAAATAATATCCAAAACATTTTTTTCCCAATTCATTCCATGTTTTGTGAAATATTAATCACAAAGGCTTCAGCCATAACCCTCAAACTAAAAATTTTAGTACACCTTTCAAATGACAGAAAGGTAAAAAAAATATCAGAGTTACCTCCCTTCGATTGAAGCTTAATTTCTAATTCATAATTCATTTGACCGTTCCTAATTTCACAACTTGTATGCTATTCAACATTGATTTACAAAATAGCTATTAAATTTTTTAGTGACACCATTAAAGAGGTGTGGCATATTGAGACACTATATAATGTCACCATACATCTGCCCAATGAAGATGTACTACAATGCACTAATGATGTCTGTCATCCTTGACTTGTAGTAATTAATTTTTGACGTAATATTTATCTGTGTTTCAATAACCCTTCCAAATGATAGTATCAAGAAGGAAAGTCTTTGGATATTTGCAATGTTTCTTTTGCAGAATTGTTTATGTACCAGTTTTTTTTCAGTAATTAATGTCTTGATTTAAAATTTTCTGTATATTCAAAAATATTTAAACTGTTCTTTTTCTATACTTAGGCATATTTCATAATGACATGCATGTTTTAGTAAATGATCACATCATGTGATCATCTGAAATGAAAACTTCATTAACAGAAAAAAGCAGATAAGAAAGTGAAAAAACCAGGAACTTCTACACATCCCCATCAAAACTTAAAAAAGTCAAGAATACTAACCAAAAGAGAAAAGTAAAAGTTATAAAATCAGATTAAAATGCACACTAAAAGAAATCTTTCTATCATAGGTATGTATTATCTATATATGAAATATTGGAATGTAAGGACAGGAAACGTGAGGTCTATGTGCCTTACCTTTTACCTAAGAGACACTCATTGCATACATGACTAACTTATAAAGAGACAAATGGTTTTAAAAAAGACTGCCTGCAGCTGCTAATATTGATTGCTACTTGAATGTTCAGAAAATAATTGTTTTGATGAACTATCGTTAATTCTTTAAATAAACAATTAATGGTAAAATTAGCCCTAAAAAGCTTGAGTTCAAATTAAACAGTTTTTCATAATGGTAGCCTTTCATAGTAGCCATCTTTTATGATTATCAACTTAAGAAAAGCAAAAAATTATCTGATTTATCAATCCATATAGCTTCATTCCAGTAAAGAACAAAGTTGGCTGTGGAGAATTGAAATTTTAGAATTTGTCACAAATATTATTGTAGCTATAACCTTCCTGTCTAGTCTCAATAACATGACCCATAAGAACTCCAATATGTGTTTTAATTATAAAGTATGAGTTTCATTTTGGCCATCACAGAAGTTATAGTATATGTAGGTAAAAGTAAATATACCATGTCTTATCAAATTTGCATTGTAGATCATCTGTTTAACTTAGAGATTAAATGGAAACCTAGGGAATCTTCTTGGATATTTATTAACTCAAAAATGATAAAACTTAAGCGTGTCAAGAATATTTATACTGCATACTTCAATTTTTAAATTTTACATGATGCATAATGATAGAAATGGAAAGGAAAGACAAAGAATCAGTTAATAGAAACCAACTACCATTATTAGAGTTATGAGGTCAATCAGGTACCATTTTTAGGACTTACAAGGCTACATGGAGACAGTCTCTATCATCCAAAGTTTATAATACTGGGAGTTATTGTGCCACCATATTAAATACCATGGTTACCAGGCCACCCACTTCAATCACTGAGAGTTATGACATCCAGTTATCATTAACTCAAGAGTTACTAGACTATCCAGTTTTCATTACTACTAAGAGTTAATTCGCTATATAAATTTTATTACCCAGGGTCATTACCAATGATTACTAGGCCTCCCAGTTGTTATTACCAAGTGTTACTAGGCCTCCCAGTTGTTATTACCAAGGGTTACTAGGCCTTCATATTATTAACACCAAGGGTTACTAGGCCTTCATATTATTAACACCAAGGGTTAATTGGCCTCCCAGTTGTAATTACCAAGGGGTACTAGACCACCCTGTTGTAATTACCAAGGGGTACTAGACCGGCCTGCTGTAATTACCAAGGGGTACTAGACCACCCTGTTGTAATTACCAAGGGGTACTAGACCACCCTGTTGTAATTACCAAGGGGTACTAGACCGGCCTGCTGTAATTACCAAGGGGTATTAGACCACCCTGTTGTAATTACCAAGGGGTACTAGACCACCCTGTTGTAATTACCAAGGGGTACTAGACTGCCCAGTTGTAATTACCAAGGGGTACTAGACCACCCTGTTGTAATTACCAAGGGGTACTAGACCACCCTGTTGTAATTACCAAGGGGTACTAGACTGCCCAGTTGTAATTACCAAGGGGTACTAGACCACCCTGTTGTAATTACCAAGGGGTACTAGACCACCCTGTTGTTATCACTAAGAGTTACTAATCTTTCTATTTGTCAATACTTATATTACTTGGAATAACTCAGCCATCCAATTGCAACTAAGAAGCATTACTAGACCTCCTCATTGTTATTAATAAGAGTAACTAGACCAACACCTTGTTTACTTAGAGTTACTAAGCCATCAGATTGTAATTACCAACTTACTCAGCACTACTAAGGCTACTACCCTCTGTCCGAGTTGTAATTGCTAAGGGTAACTAAGCATACCAGGCATCATTTCAGGTTATAACTATTTTAAGAAGTACTAGTCTACCAAGTTAATCTTGCTGGAGGTATGAAGCTGATTTATACGACATATTTGTCATACTACAAAATTTACTAAAATGCATGCCCCTCTAAAGAGATGGGAGACTGTATATGATACAGGATTCAACATGCACATACTGTAGAATTTCTGTCCAAAATAAAACTAAATAAAATTCAAGCTAATAAACTGATGGTCAAAACTACACAATGAAGTGACACAGCAAGGATCACAACTTCACATATATAACAGTTACAAAGTACACTGAAGGACATATATTGAGGGAAACAAAGACAGAAACAAACATGAATCAACTGTTAAACAGAAGATATAGGTAACTGTATTCAAGTTATGTATATTTGTATTCAGTGAGATAGACAAATTACTGTCAATGTATTATATTGAGGAAAGAATACATCACTACAAGATATCTTCACATGTACTTACATATACATAAATGGAGAAGGTGCTTACAAATAAAGGAGATATACATAAATCAATTTACATATATTATATGATTTACAATAGATAACCTACCTGTGCTCTTGGCTTGTCTTTCCTCTTCTTATCTGTCTGTTTCCCTCTACCAGCAGGTTTAGGAGGTCGTGGTAATTCCTGTCGTTTGTTCTCATCTCTATCAGCAACCTCAGGAATTGCCTGTAAGTAAAGCAAGCCAACTCTGAAGTCAGTGTATCAACAATAACATCCAAAAAACATTAATATGTAAGTAAAAAGTTCAAATAAACATCAGAACACTTTATACAACTGAGACTTGGCTCATTTTTGCACCATTATCATAATACAAGTTCATAGAATATAATCAAGCATCAATTTAAACACAGTAGTTCAAATGACCACCAGAACAGCCCTACCTTTTGTTCCTTCGTGGGAGAAGTCTGTCTGTTTTTTATGGGCCCACCTCCAGAACCTCGCTTATCTGCTTCTATTTCCTGCAAAAACAGTATTTCATTAAGAATAATTTTACACTAAATGTGCAATACATTTTCTTGAAGTAGTAAAGTAAGATAAAATTTTAAATATTGAAGTCTTAAATACAAATCTATTTTTACAGGTATGGTACATTTTACAAGTTGAAAAAACAGACCAATATTTGTTCTGTATCTGTATGAAATCTTTGAAGCAACTTTTAAGAAGTCTTTAAAATTTCATACTTTTATGTTTCTTGTTCTTTATTAATGCACATATTTCCTTTATTATCAAAAAAGCATTGTCTGTTCCATGTTTTGTTTTCTGACATTGTGATGCCATGATTTATTGAAACTGCTTCACATTGGTATAAGCAAGGTTATTGTTCACCATTTTTACACCTTAAACTTCCACTATTAACTTACTTGGCTTTGAAACTACCTTGTACTTGATATTTTCCTTCTGAGATAAATATGTAAAGGCATATTGATTGCATTTAGAAAAATTAAAATTAAAAAATAGAACAATTACCCGTGAAGATGGAACAACTACCCCTAATGATGGAACAATTACCCTTAGAGATTTCCCTTCGGAGCAATTAGATTTATGATTGTTACTACCTCATGACGTTTGCGGAGAAGGTCATTTTTTCTGCGGATCTCTTCCATTTTTTTGCTGAGCAAAGCCTCCTTTTCCTCCTTGGTAAGGATGTCCAGGAAGAGCTCCTGGTTTGCAGAAATCTGTAAACATGAAAACTTGTATGCACATTAACTTTATAAAAAGGAACGAATACTAACAGAAAGTGAATCCAAGTCTTTGAGTTGATAAAAATGTAGTTCCATTGTATATCCTGTTCTCATTTGGGAATATCACATTACTTGAATTGATGAAGATTCACATGGCAGGTGTTGTCAATGAAGCAGAAGATGCTTACCATTTTGTAACACCTGGTCTTATTCTCCTTACACTTAGTTTTGGGATTATCACACACGTAAATCTTTGTTTTGTTCATATTTTACCAAAGTTTCATATAATCTGAGTTTTAATCTAATGAAAGTTCAACTGGACCTCCTAGACTTTGATCTTTAACCTAATCAGTGGATCAGTCCTTTCAATATTGCTTTATAAAGTAACTACTGAAACAGTCTAATCTAGATCACTATATAGCATAAATATGTTGTTCGATGTTAGTGATCTTCAACACTGACCTTAACCTTGTACCAAGAAATCAACTTGTGCGAATTTAAACATTTCCATGACACAATGTTTACCATCAAAAGATGTAAATTTGAATGTCAGAACATGATATTGCTCTTAACAGCAAACTATACACACCTAATATATATTGCTTTAAAATATTAAATGTCACAACAAATATCAGCCAAGTTTAGAATGCTGATATTCAAATTTAACTGCAAGCATAGAGACAAATTTTTCTTACCTGGGTAGTCATGTTGATGTGTGTATTGAGGGAAAACAGAGAGGGAAAAATTTAACAGATGGCCATTTAGTTTTACTTTGGTGGACTTTGTGTTTTGCCCCTAAAATCCTGAAAATGAAGGAAAACATGATAATTATATATTGCACCCTTTTTCATTGATAAAGAATGAAACAGAAACAATAGTAAACTAGAATTTATTATCTACTATCAACCCTATACATTAGCAATTTGCCTATGTATACATGACCATTTATTGAGCATGGCTTTACTGCTGTTTGCCGTTGTGCTTTTGAAACATACTTACCATATTGCCTTACTAAATCAACACAATTCAAGAGATACTGCATATATATATCTAATTACTGCACTCTTTTAATACTGGGTTTACAGTGCTGACATTGCAAGTTTAAACTTAAAAGGTCAAAATCCAAACTAGCCACTGGTAGCCATCATGAAAATCTGATAAAAGCTTAAAGTGAGGAATATGCACAACTAGAAGCCTTCCTGAACATTTTCAGTATGGATTTCCGATAAATCACTTTAGGGATTTCCAGGAAACATTCCAAGGAAATCGCCATAAGCATTTCTTCAGAAATATTGATAGCAAACTTTGAAACCCAAGTTTGAAAAAGCAGTCATAATGAAAATCTAAAAGCTTTACATTCACAACTAGGACCGTTACACTGATCCCAAAAATATGCATGTTCTGAATGTTTCAAGGAGATCCCTTCATTACTTTTTTCCTAAAATTGTGGTAATAATTAATTGTTTACAATGAACTGACCAACTGATGGATGAAAAGCAATTTGAAAAACCAACAATATATCAGACAGTTGACTTAACAAGATTGGATGGTTGGAAAGTATCAATGGAGAGCTAAGATAGTTCATCCAAACCTACATTTACTAGTACTATGCTAAGATTATAATGAGATAGATGAATTTAGGTTTTCCCTACTGTGAGAGGAGGTTGTGTACGTGTAGCTGTAGCGAGAGGATGTGTGTGAAGATGTAGGGATGCGTGTTGTAGAGAGCTAGAGGGTGTATACCTGCTACCTGGTAGTATATCAGCTGGTAGCTGTTATATTTACTTGGCTGTGTGATTCACTCCCTACACCCAGACAGATAACCATACACACATCCTACAAAGTCTGTACATATGCAGACAGCGAGAGCCAGTACTCCACAGCTATATTTTACAATCCTCTCATCATCTTCTAGCATATGGCATCATATCACCTTTCACTTTACCAGCTGGTAGAAATAATACCAAGCTTTTCACATTTCAAAACATACTGATTATCTTCATTCCAATAGCTGTTGTTGACAAAACATGCTATAAACTATCACAAACAGGAGTAGTACTGTTCTGTAACACATTTTTGTTGAGTCAATAAAATATCCTTATGAAACCAATTCAATTTTAGCTTCCTAACATATAACTGTTTTGTCTTCGGTTTTATGACTAGTTACCAGTAACTTGTATTTTGGTTACACATAACATGATACAGAATCTAAAATATATCATACATAACTCAAACTTCTATCAAAATCGTAAAGTTAAGATTGCTGTAGCTAGTACCAAATCAAATATAATTCCAAATTTATGTTTTAGTTGACTCATATACAAATGCACACCAAAAACATATCTTGAAAGTGATTCACCTCATCTTGTCTACTTCACCTCTGGCTTTCTCTTTTAATACACACAATTTGCTTTCAGCAAACTTACTGTACTAACCTATATGTATTGATATATTGTACACAGGTATCAGTTTGTTAAACACACCAGGTGTGTTTTATTACACCAGTATAGTACAGTATTAGACTCTCAAACTATTTTCAAATTCTTTGTGAGCTCAGAATGAATTATTCACAGTTTGACTTTTATAGCCAGGAAATGAATTTCCTTTCTGATCCATGATGATGTGATATTGTAATCTTGCCAACACATAAATGATTGTGGTATGTAAAGGTTCTAAAGGGTCTATAGCCATACAGTCTATATGGTATATTTTTGACTACTGAAACATACCAAGAGTTAATATGCATAGTAAACATATCAAGTATATACTTCTCACAGGATCTGCAGAAAGATTTCAAAAAATGCTCTGGCTTATTTTCTTTTAATATCCTAAATCACCAGTTGTGCAAATATTGTTGTGATGTGCATGTATAAGCCTTGTAGACATCACTTGGTGCAGTGAAATTTCACATCCCAGGTCATAAATTCCCAACAGCATTGTGATGAGTAATAGCGACTCAGAAAATTTTGGACTATACCCCTGAAAACATTTTCAAAGACTGAAAGATTTGTTTGTTTGGCTGACAAATTCCTTACCATTGAGAACATATACAGTACATAATGTAATAAATCTCCCACGGCCAACACATACAATTTGACCAGAAGTTTGAGTTAATTTACTTAATTTATGATGACAAAAGGTTCTGATTATCTTATTACCAGACATGGGCTTATTGACAGTTAAATATGGTAGTACAACCTCAAATCATTCACCTTAAACTACACTGAGTAAAGTCAAAGTTCATATGTTACTTGTATACATTGTTTATGTTTAGTCTTTAGCTTTTGAAATACAGGTAGCCTATTCATTGCTGTTCAGCACAATGACAAATATAAGTATTTCATGAGACCCACGACATAAATGAAATTAAATAATTACATCAAAGAAGATAATTAATAGTTCATGAAGGACAAACTAATCTAATGTTATCGAAACTTTAAATCTATTTTGAAAACACTTCATTTTTTACTGTTTGTATGAGAAAAAATAAACCAGATCACTACTAGCCAGCAGTCTAATGAAAGAAAACACATATATCATGTACATAACATGTCAAAGATGCTAGGAGATCTGTCAGATCTAATTCCTTATATGACAGATTTTATTGCACCGTATATAAAGATAAAGTGTATGATAATCATAAATTATACATAGAAGACACAAATTAAAAGAAGGAAACCAAAATCTTATCAACTAAATCAGTAAATGGAATTTCCATTGACCCAAGTTTATAGGCAACAAATGAAGCATATCAAACTATTTTCTTAAGAATGTCAATACTGGGACCTGATAATTTACACAGGTGAGATGATAATGGTTGGTAGGTAGCCAAAGGTAGGGCCAGGTATGTACAGAATGTTATACACTGCGATGACAAGGGGGTAACTATTCTGGCGTGACCATCCAATACACAGGTATACAGCTTCAGGTCATAACTGTTCACAAGCCTCCTGTCAACTTCTCCTGCTTACAATGTTCACCAGTGATTTTTATATGACATAACCACCACATACTTCTTCTCTGATATTTCTTGAGTAATTTGATAGTCTGTGTAACCCATTCATATCAGTAATCCTTATCACAAAACATGTAACTGCAAATACACCCTTCAGAACACCATCAACAAACATACAAAAAGTTATCTAGTTCACTTACAAGAGCCCCAAAATGAACAAAATTATCATAAAACTTCATAATTAATGAACTAGAAGAAATTAATATAGTTTCAAAGAATATGTGTGTGCTTGGATTAATATGTGATAATATTATGTATTTGATGACATCACATTGTTCAAACCATTCATCACCTGACATATTCACTCACAATACTGAATACAAATATATCTGTGACAGGTATACATAGTACTCACTAAATATATATTAATATAATGCAGATGCAACAATGTTATAATATACGTAAGATGCTGTATAATTTGTGTAAGATATTTATCAGACAAACTGTCTGATTGAAGACATCACATAGCAATCTATATGCATCTATAATTTGAATTATTAACAATTCCATCTCCTTGACAATTGTGGAAAGTACTGAAAAGTTTGCAGGTCTTTGATAAACTTGTTACTAAATAATAGTGAAATGTTTCACATTATCTAACTTAATAATCACTTTTGATAAATCTTTTCAAGGATTTACCAAAACTGAAATTAGTTTCAAATGTTGTCATTTTCCATTCTCAAAAATCTCCACATCAATGCTTTAAAGTTTAAACTTAATCATTATAAGTTGTCACATGACAATAATTTCCATACATTATATGGGAAATGCCACTGGATATTACTGCTGTTTTATTCTTCAACTAACCTCCACTTCCATTTCACATCTTTATTAATGTAAATATTTCTGATATTGAATGGAAACAAATCTCTTAAATAGGATGCATTTATCTGGATATATAAACTAAAAGAACATCAATGTATATTACCATGAAAGTTAATTATGCTCTATCAGAATGAAGTTATTTATATAACTAAAATTAGTTATAAACACATCTTCCAATCATTGACAAGATGATAACATCTCTTGTAATATTATAGGTAATGCGTATACAATAATATATCTTTTATTTATTTCCAGGTGACCGTGTGAGACTTCAATGATGCAGTGTGTAGCATTACACTACCAGTATTGACATCTGAATATTCATGATTACCAGAATACATTATTGTGGTGACTATATATATATCAACATTGATGCATATTCTTTCTCAAGTGAGTTGTGAATCTACAGTTGTGATTTCAAAACGTTACACTGAAGAGTTTGATGTACAGTAGAGTATTACATTATGTACACATGTACATCGTCGCCTACCAGATATCCTGTTGGAACCCCTGCAACGAGGGCGAAAGAAAAGTGAAGTTGGGTAGTAAACTTTTATGCACTATATTGTATATTAAATATCGTTCTAATAGTTTAAGTACACGTAAAAACTGTTCGATAGCGTAACAAACATGTATTTGGTTGACGAAATCGACAGTTTGACGGCAATTTCTATACTCACGAAAGTTATCCTGCCATTCTCGTCTGACAGCCAGAGCACTCCTTGCCTTCAAAATAGGAGAGTTCCTCTGTACCAAATAAAGTTATAGATGTTTGGCGCGGTAAATTTGAGTATGCACATTTACTATGGCAAACCCTAATGACTTTTGTAGTAAGTTTGTTTGACATATATCAGTCAGCAGAAGATGTTTTGGTAATAAATTAACTAAGATATTTTTTGGGTATTCCCGCTTGTTTCATGGCTTCCACAGATTGACTCGTAAGCCAGATGGACACGTTGTGATACCTCGGAAATTGTATAAATAATTTCCATACGACCCGTTCTATTTTATTCACATTTTTGTGGTAACATGCCTGTTGACAGGGACCAAACGAATAGGCTTTTAAATATCTGGACCTATAGGCTAGTGTGCGGCAAGACCCATTTTGCGCACATGTAAGCTAGAAGAAACAAAAACAAAGGGTGATTTAACTAGGGACGTGTATGATATAAACGTCCATGGTTTAGCTTCGAATTATTTCTTCTTGTGGCATATATTACCTTATAGAAAGACCAAAGTGACTGTGATTACCTTGTATGAGATTCCATATTAGAAGTTTTTGAAACGCATTGTCAAATACAAGACACGAAATTTAATAGTGTAACAACAGTGGTGCCCACATAATCTTTATTTAAACTCAAATCCGATAAAACTAGAATAAATAGGAAAAACAAAAATTAGATGGGGACACCTGAAGAGGTGCAATGAGAATAAAACCAGTTGTTCCGTAAGAGTAAGCGACTTCTCGGCTTCATCGATGACACATGTTCTAGATGCGTTTCGTCATTGGTGATTATACCACAGCTAAGCAGAGATTGGAAGTTGGGATAGTCATCGGGAACACAATATACGTGTGACTCTTCACAACAGCTTTGAACCTGATGCTAAAAGCTGTAGAGAAGATGAACAGACGCCCTTACATGTTGGCTGGCATTTGACGGCCACCTACCAGAGATTTCATGGTTGACATAGTGCCAATGAAGACTGGTGAAAGGGAGTTTGGCCATCAGAGACATATAGAAAAGAAGGTCATATTGGCATATATAAAATTCAAGCCAGTTAAGTCCTAGAATATCATCCTTTAATCAGACAATGTGAGGAACAGAAGTTAACTGTCAGCAAAGAGGAGATACCAAACAGTCAAGCTAATGAAAGTGGACTCCAGGGGAATTCAAAACCTTGATAAACCAGCACGATGTTCTTCTAGGACCCTTGTGACCATTGCTCATGTATGAAGTACCTTTCGCCTCTGTTGAGGCAATGGAAAATGGATATCTATGTGTTGGCTGAGCATACCTTGGATCTTCAGTAGTGTAGGCTTGTACAGCTCCGAATTTCACTCAAATCAGTAATGGAGGAGGTCAAGGTAATAACTAGGTCAACCTAGCCTGGGAGTTATTATGAGACAGCTTGTCAGAGATTTCCATTTAGAGAGTGTGAGTCAGCAGAAAGTATCCTGGGACATCAGGCAGATGGAAGGCTACAGGCTTAGTGTACTCATGAAGTCAAACAATGTCCTGCTAAGTCCTTTGAACCTGTTTTCCTGGGGTATTAAGGACAACTCTGCATGTATATTGAGCATACAACTCTTTAACTTTGATCATGTACCAGATTGTACTTACTGATGGCAGGTATACACAACAGCACAACCAGGTCCTTAAAGAGAATGGGTAGAAAGTAGACAGATGAAGGTGGTTTCTAGCTCGATATGGAAAAGAGGAAAGAAAGATGAAGTGGTTATCAGACACAGTACTAGACAACTGGTGACGGATACAGTGGCGAAAGCTGATCAGTCCCTGGTTAGGCCAAATCAACCCAGCCCGCACATCCTTGGAGGACATCATTGAATCCTCAAAACATATGAGGAAGGAGGGTCCACCTGATATTCAGAGACTATATTCATTGCCTCAGTGGCCTCCGCTTTTAAAATTTAGACCTTTATAAGCATCACTAATGAATCCTGTAAGGACAAAACAGCTGTAATATGCCAATTAATTATTTGGCACTACTGTATCTTATTCTGAAGTTGTATTGGAAAGAGCTATTCACTTGTGTCTTTTGTACAATCTTCCAGAATGCAGGTAGCAGATAATGCTAGTGGATTTTTTAGACCCCAAGATTTGCCGTAACCTGCATGCCAAGTTTTAATTCATTTGACCAGTGGTATGGTTTAGAATATACACATGTACTTGATGCTCTTTACAAATTATCAGATATTTGAAAATTATGAAAGTTTGAGAATCATGAGGGTAGTGCGACTCTCCATTTACATTTTTCATTTTTTTCTTTTTTTTTTTTGGATCACCTGGATTTTCCTCAGTCACATACAATTTAAAAATCAAGGCCTTTAGCATCACTAATAAGTCCTCGACAGAACAAACAGCTGAATGGTGCAGTTTAATTCATTATTTGGCTCTAATGTATCTTATTATAAATATGTATTGAAAAATGTTCTTCACTTTTGTATCTTTGTACAATATTCAAGATATAACTCTATATAACTGCACATTTATAATTCAGCTTCAAAATAATAATTATTCCACAAGTATTGAAAAGATTTAAAAGAGTTTATTAGAAATATGTTATAAGGGAAGTCTGTTTTAACTATGTTTAGTAGTATGAATCTGCAGCTATCATTCATATACCAGGTACGAGTAAATTTTTCTACTCTTGAAGTGGATCAGTGAAGAATACATTATTATATTACAATTTTTCTCCAGAAACTAATTAAAACTAGCCAGCTACATCTATTGTTACTTAGAAGTATTTTTTTGATCTACATGTAGTAGAGTATATATATCAATGAAATAAAAAAAACCACCAGTAATAGAAATGAAAATTTTATTAAGTCTATTAATAATTATTAAATATGGTGTACAATATAGAAAGATGAGAATAATGTGGTAAATCAGTATATCTGTATAAATCTATAGTGTAAACAGCACAAATACTGATTCACCTTAACAATCAACAAATAACAAAAAAAAAAAAAAAAAAAATCACAAGTCTTCACCACCTACACCAGAATAGTGTCTACAGATAGTGGGAACATAGAGCTACACCACAACACCACAGGTCTATAATGATACTATCCAGATGTTTACAATGCTCAGTTGACAATTAAGTAAAGGTATGGGCAAGGACTTACAGATATATCTAAGTCCATGGTATCTGTTATTCCAGAACTACATACACAGAAGGAAGCATTCTTTTTTATGATTCCTATTTGCTAACACAATTACAAACACATTTTTCCAGGAATATATAAATCTCCCTAGTTCTATCTCTAAAATAGAGTTTCTATATTATGACTAATATTTACGCTTTCTTTAAAACATAAATCTGTAACCCTTTCTGTTACATATATTGAGTATAAATTCAAATATCTAATAACAAAAAAGATACGATGGGTAGCTAATTATTATAGTTTCAAGTTTGTGGTCCCTGATAACAGCCAAAGGAAATTATATTTCGGAACTTGTAATAGATCATGCAATGTTTCAATAAAATTGTCTTGCTCGGAACAACAAACCTCATTGATTTTCTCCCAGTTTCCTTTATGATTAACCTTTCATTCATGAGTATGGGTCCTTTTGGACAAGAAAGGCTTTAAATCAATCAGCTATGTGGTGAACACAATATGTTTTACCTTCAAACTCTCGCACAAACTCTAAAATGAAGCAAAATTTTCAGCTCTTAGTCTTTACAGTATAGGCTAACTAAAATTTATCCTAGTCAAAATCAGATATAAACCATTAAGACCAAAATTTGACAACTGATATATACTTGAATCACAAAGAAGAGATTACAAAAAATGATTATCAAAATTTCAGGCACATAAGTATTGTAGATTATAGCTATAAAAGCACTGCTAAAGTTCCGGAGTACATGTAAGATAAGTCTTCGTATTGGCCTACAGCAGGAAAGTCAAGACTGAAACTCTACACTGTAAAAATCATATAAACAGGGGCAGGATGATTTTAGAAATTTCATAAAGGATGAAAATACCTGATGTTTGGGACATGTCCTGTAATAATAAGGCCACAATCTCAGGACTTATTGCTTAATATATACAAACATGATTGTTTCCCTGGCAGTGAGTTCCCTTTGGGCCAAACAAGGGGCTTAACATTAGAATTTAACATGCAAATGCTGTAGGCAAAAGATAAACATATAACAAAATGGACAAAATCTAGATACATTGTATATCACAAAAACAATTATTTGCCATCCATGATACAAGACATTAAGACAAAGTTAACAAACTGATTAACAAGTTTCACACACTGCAAACGAAGAAAAAAAGACTTTATATATATTTTGTCCAATGTTATAGAGTACATAACAAGTAGTAGAAAGGGAGGATTAGAAAGGAGTCCATCTTGTGGTTAAGCCTGCTTCAAGATAATTTGCTTTAGTTTTCCTTCCGCAGATAAAACTTGAACAAACAAATGTCAACATAGGTATAAATTTGAATCAACAAAGAGGTTATATGTGTAATTGAATAACTTGGAAAAAATTCAATGTCATGCAAATGTGATCTGGTATGATCTAAACCAATTATAGTCTGCTCTGCCTAATTGAACATCATTCTCTCAAATCTCAAAGCAGGTACATGTACCTCTTACTAATCAATGTTGTAAATTAGTGTATAAAGAAGGCATGAAATAAAACTTACACTGTATATTTAACTGTACAACAAATCTCAGCTAATTGTAGTAATGTTTCTATTTCTTTGTCTTATGTGTATTTTCAAACTGTATGTATTTGTGTGTCTCATTTCCTTTCTATTGAACTACCAACTTTACAATCACAAATGAGTTGGTCAGACTTGATTAGTATAGAATAGTGATCAGGTAAATCTGAACTGATTGCAATTTAATTGAACACATTATGTAAAGAATGATTATCTCTCAAAATCATGAACATCTATCATTTGATCTCTAATTTACAATTATATTCAATGCTTTAACAAGAAAAAAATACCATCAGCATCTTCTTCAATGGTGCTGGTTTCTAACCAGGAGGCTGTCTAAATCATTGTAGTTCTAAAGAGTTACATCCACTAAGAATATATGATTAGCTATATATCCTGTGCATCTACTCTCCCACACCCTGCTGCTATGTTACAAAAACTGTTCTCAAGATTACAAATATACCACCAAACACACATAAGTAACAAAAGATTTGATCCTGTACTCAATGTCCATGGGCAATTTCTTCTCCGTACACATACGCCTTAGCCAAATTTGCAGCCAACCGCTGCCCTCATTATACTGCTGTTCCACCTTCACAAAACTCTACACCTAGCTAAGTGCTGCAATCTGTTCCACCATTCACACAACTTCCCACTGCAGTATGCTCATATCCCGTCCTCCCGTGGAAATAAGACGTGAGTCGTCGTGCAGGAAGTTCACACTGGTCACATGACTACTATGCCCTCCATATATACTGCCTTTAGTCTGAAAAAAAAAATCATGCCTGTTAAGTAATGAAATGTTTACATCAACACTCTAAGGACTCTCAAGTAGAAATTATCTGTATCATTTTACGTCATTTGTTCAAACCTGTAAATAACAGATATCAAGGTTTGAAATGATTTTCTATGGTGCACACTTTTGTGGATTATATACATTAGATAAAGAAAACAATAGTCAAGAATATCAACAAAATTTGTACAATGTATTCAATTTGATTGCCATAATGAGATGCAGTGCCCGTTGTCTGATTGTAATTCTGTAATGCATTTCTAGCCTGAAGTAAACAAATGAGTATACAGATCACACACCTTTGGTTGACAGGCTGGGTAACTGTACAGGTTCACCTTGCCAAAGTCATCAGCACTGGCCACCAGGTGGTGTTTACTGGAACGGCAGCAATTATTTACATCTGTGCCGTCAGCATCATCTGGCCAAATACCTAAAACACATAATCCTTACAGTGTATATAAGGTTTAAAACAAACATAACCATTGTTTACATTACCAACACTATTTTACAAGTACCAAGCAACATCAGATTCTATTTGATGACCATATTCAACTTTACAATATTTTACAAATTTAAATGTACAGTGAATTTGCTTCATTATCGTGTTAAACCCCAAATAAATGTTTGTTAACGAAATATAAGACTTCAGTAAAAAAGAAGACCCAAAACCACAACATGAGGATACTTATGTTTCATAAATGTAAAACACTGAATATTTACAACAGAAAATGCTTTTTAATTATTTTTTCTCATACAAATAATTGTCTATTACAGTGTATACAAGTATATATATAGAGGTCAGCTATAACAAATACTCCCATACTGGGACGATGTACATACCAGCAGTATTAAAGCTCAGAGTACAGTTCTGTGTAGCCCAATCTACGTCTCTGAGGGAGGAGGCAGAGGTGACCTGCTTGCAGCTTGGAACACTCCCTGATAAAGTATGATGACATTTCTTGATGATGTAATTTCACATTGTTGATAATTGGTCAGAAAAGCTTTTATGCTCTTAATGATAAAGTGTTATCAATAAAACCTAGACACATGCATGTGTAATAAAATTTGACCCAACATTTTGTTACTATTGATAGTATTTAGGTGACCTTATCTTCTGAACATCCAAACAAACTTACCATATTTATTCTGCAATGAGTCCATGCCTGGTAATAAGCCCACCCTTTTTTATCATAACCAATAATAACTATCTAAAGTGTTATCATCAGCATTAGTTAGTGGCCTATCAATCCTTTTAACTTGAAGAGTTTTTTAAGCAAGAGATGTCAGAAATGTTACAAAAGGGATCAATAATTTGTTTGTGGAAGCCCAGCGTTCATAGCATTACTGTCTAAAGTGTTGTAGATTCAGAGGTAATGTGTTGACCCACTAGGCTTTATGAAGAATAAACACAGCAAATCATGATGACAGATTATAATGATCATGACCCACTTACAGTATAGAACCTCATAGTCCCCAGAGTTGCTGACCAAGTTCTGAGCATCAGACGACCAGTCAATGTGTGTTATAAAACTACTGTGTCCCTGAAACACAATATAATTACATAATTACAAATTTTATTGAAACCAGTTTAACCAATTCATCAAAATGTTTCACTACATATAAGTACGTGTGAACTTAAATTTTAGTAAATCAGTTAATGACCAATGTATTTTTTGACTTAATGGTTTTCAGAAATCATGAATGAAAAAGAAATTTTATAAACAATTTATAAGTAAAATTAGGACAAAATCTTAGTGCTTCTCCTGAATAAGGAAGGTTGGATAATATGTAAAACTTGAAATACATACCGAGCACCTGCCAATTCTGTTGTAGCGTTGTCCATCATCTAAGACCTCATAGACATACACATAGTTGTCGCGGGAGCCAAGTGCCAAGTACTTTCCATCTGTTTATAAACCAAGCAGAGCTTACCATTTCACATTTCTCATTTCATTGAAGATATTAGTAAATGATCAGTTGATAGAACTACTTCCAGCATACATAATATCCTTCACTTGATTTTAAAACATTTCAATACTATTATGGTAGCAGGGACTTGTTAAAAGGAGGAGAAACCCCAAGCATATATAAACACCAGTTGTGAAAAGAGAATTCAACCAAAAAATCTATATCTTTGTTACTGTATATTCTAGATCCTGGTTACAGAGTTGCATATGATTCTTATTTAAATGCAAACAAAAAGTATTCATATAGGGAACATTGAAGTCTCTCCTTTTTATTATCATAACATCACCAAATGATGTGTGAAAGATTTGGTCTAGGGGATGTAACCCATTACAAATTGGAATGGGAATCCAAAAAGCACACATTTTTCCTGCTTTTAAAAAGGCATCATCTACTTCTATGTTTGGTGAGCCAATCTATTTGTATTAATTATGTTATGTATATAAACACCCGATGGACTATAAAGACAAATGTTCTTATGTATTTTGGGATTACATGGGAAATAGAGAACCAGTAATAGATTTAAACTTTATATGAACTAGCAATGATGAAATATATTACACAAACTGTATTTTTTTTTTATATTAATATTCAATATATTAATATTTATTTGATCATGCAGTGAGCATAAGCATAATAAACCTTTCATTTGTTTTCTTTGCAAGTTTTTCTTTTTCTTTACCTGGTGAGAATAACACGCATTCTATCTGTTCATTTCCATCAGTATGGCTGGTGACAATCTCATGAGTGTGGAGATCAAGGATATACCAGCGCCCAGTCTCTGTACCGATGGCTGCCAGGTTACCGTTGGGATGAATACTGCAGGAGTGGGCAGCATCCTAAATGTAGAAAAAAAGAGATATGATATCACATTTACAAGTTCAATATAATACATCTTTATAAATATCAATATATAATTTGCAAAAGGGAAATCATATGGCTGTGTGAAAAAGACAAACATGCTAACCTGTTATATACAGGCAAATCAAGCAATAACTAGCTAATCAGTTGTAAATAAATTGCCAAAACAATCCCAATGTGAAACAGTATTCCTTGCCATCATTTTGAAGTACTTCAAGTTATTCCTTACTCTAACATACCCAATCACAGTCAGCACAGATAGCCAAACTTACAGGCAGCAGTCATTGCCTTATCATGGAATTGTACTTGCAAAATAGGAGGGGTGTGGGATGTATACTTCCGGGTTGAATAGGACGGAAGAACAGTATAAGTGCACAGTTTCTCATAACCTTTGAGTTAAAAACAAATGAAAATTTCATATTTTATACCCTTAAATGGGGCCTAAGTCATCACTGTGTTTAATTGATAAACATGCTTTTTATTGTACATTCTACAAACTATGGATTGATATGGTCATATTGAGAAAAGTAAAACCTTAGTCTCTCTCTCTCCTTCTTTGTGGTAAGTGAAAACAAGAGTTATACATACTGCAACGTCTTTGGTCCACACAACAGATCGGGTCAGGCTGTCCCACAGGCGAACCTGTTTGTCTGAACCACAAGTCAGGAACTGATTCTGGCTAGGGTGGGCGGCCAAGCCCCACAGCTCATCCATGTGACCCTTTTGAGATATATATAAAATATCAATACCTTTAGCCTCACAATGATTGGCTAAAAACATGATCAGTACTGGTAAAGTACAAACTGAAATATCATTACTAATGTTCATTTGACTTTTGTTACCATGGTGACCTACCTGTACGACAGGGTCAAGCTGAAGGTCGAGAGTTCCTTGTAGGATACAGTTGCGTGTAGTTCCAACCAAAACCATGCCACCTTTACCTTGACTCAGCATCCTTACACCACCAAATGATTCCGGAACCTCAAAAAGAGCATCAGTGAAACTGATGAATGCTCCCCGAAAACAACTTTATTAGACACAAATTTACACAAAGATCAGTAATTCTGTAATTAAGGGATTTCAGGCCCTGAATTTGGTACACTGTACATCATCTTAGTATGACCAAAGTATATACCAAGTTTCATTATCCTAGTTTAAACAAAAGTAAAGTTATGGAGTGCTCTGGACACAAATTTTTAACAAAGGGCAATAACTCTGTAATTAAGGATTTGTGTGGGCCCTGAATTTGGTACAATTCACATCGTCTTTGCATAATCTATGTATAAACAACATTCCATATTCCTAGTTTAAATGCAAGCAAAGTTATGCACCCAACGAGAAAGGGCAACAACTTTGTAATTGAGGGGTTATAGGCTCTGAAATTGGTAGTAAACATCACTCTAGTATGACCAATGTATACATCAGTTTCATGATCCTTGCAAATGGGCAAAGCTATGCTTCATCAGAGGACTAATTGAACGACTGACATACAGATGGACAAACAGGGACTATTTGCTCCCACAAACATTTTTGGGGAGCATAAAAATGTATGTTTTTGTCAAAACATCCCAGCATCAATTGCATTTTCAGCAGGAATCATGCCGGTATCCATTCAAATGGACATAATTTCAAAGAGTCAGGAAAAAGTGTAAAGTACATAATGACTTCATAATAATGACTCTAAAGATTATTACTTTGCTGTGCCATACCTCATTTTCTACTCCTGTAGGTTTGTAATTGTTATCCCACTGAATAATTTTGCGATCCTTTCCGCCTCCTGATACCAAGCATCCGTTTTTCATCATACACAACGAGAACACACCACCCTCGTGACTGCCTGTCACGGCCTGAGTGATCCTGTTGGTACCTGTAAAGGTTGTGATACTATTGGAACATCAAAGTAGAAGGACCGAGTGAGTAAGTTCAAGTTGGTCCATGTAAAATACTGAATATTGATTGATTCTGTCTGTATACTAATGTGTATGGGGAATATGACAAGATTTTTCAGATTTGCGTAAAAAATGTTGGTCATGAAATAGAGTCTGTTTAATACATATTCAACTTACAAATTACTATAATTAGTAACAGATTATCCATTTTTCTTCGTATCTATCAATACTTTTTTTTTATTGATACTGTACTTCTTGACTCACCTTTGCCCCAAATGAAGATGTTTCCATTGGAGTCCCCAGAAATAACTTCACCACTATCGGCAAATGTCAGACACAGCACATACTTTGGTTTGTCATGTTTCTGTTAAAACACAAATAATACCATAACGTTTGAAACAACCTCATTGTATAGTTGTTTTTACCGTAACTCTAACTTTAGTGTACAATTTGGCATCAATACTTAAACCACTGGATTTTCTTCAAGTGTTACTATACACAAGTACTTACATCAAAGATGCCCTGTTTCCTGGCCAAAGTACCTCCCTCCAAGGTCCAGAAGTTGATTTGTCCCTTACCACAGGAAATAATAGAGTTCTTCTCAGAAGGATGGAATTCCACTGCTAGGACAGGTTCTGTGGAGCTCTGTAACACAGAATTGAACTAATTGAAATAACTGTTTTCTTCACATAGTATATCCATCAAACACTATGTCCATTTTTGTTTATCAGTGTGACCTGATGGACCACGGTTGTTTGTTTATGAAATAATGGTAAATGTACTGATCTTGTTTTGTTTTTTTGGACCAGTTTTGACTAAGCCTTTCAAGGCCAGTATTACCATTTGAAGGTCTGTCCTGATTTATGCCAAAAATGATACGTTCAAAGTGCTCACGAACCAGTTTGTACATATAAACAATAAGACCCTTAGTACAAAACAATTAAGCCTTCTCAATGACCTTGACCTTAGCAACCCTGGCTGCTCATCTATGAGGGATATTGTGGTAATACTGGTGTTGACTGTACAGCCAGTAATATCAATGCTACTGACCTTGGTTTCTGTGACACGGCGAGGGTTGTCACGGCTTATGTCCCACACAGATATCACATGCTCATTGGCATCGTCAACGGCAACCAGGTGATGGCCACCATCCTAAAATAAAACATATAAATTCTTACTAAAGACAACAATTTGAAAGGATGCCAACAGAATTATTATCTCACATAAATATTATGTTTTGTAATATGGAAATAAGGAATATGTAGATCAAACTTTTAATCAGAACAAAATTGTTTAAAATGAGACAGAGACAATAAAAAGTGTGTCATCTTGTACATGAATTCTGGAATTTTAGCTTACTAGTTTAGAAAACGAGATGCAGCAGACGGCACGGTCAAACTCTCCGACACCTACAACATGGATGGTGTTAAGGCTGACGGAGTCCCAGACACGGACATGAGGCTGAAACAGAGGATAACAAATGACCACATCCCCTCTGATAAGTTTGATTAACTGTTGAAAGTCTGCTTAATACAAGAATACAATTTATATTTCATTACTAGTAATAATAAAGTATACCTAATACATGCTGTAACTTCATTCGACTTATGCTAGATGTATTAGACTCACAGTCAATGCTTAAAGATCTGTACCTTGTAAACAAATCACAAAATGAAAAGTGATAATTACAAAGTGAAGAATCCTTTAATCTTTATATAAATGTAATTCATTTGAAATAAATATGGGGTTAGTAATGTATACTGAAGAGCATAGTATTAGGTGTATACTGGTATATATTTTGTATTATAACTCAACAGACAAGAGTGCTGTGGGGCTGAATAGTATACCCCTGTCCAATGCCAAAGAAATATTTGATGGTCATAAAGAACACAAATATGGAAATGCTAATGATGAGTCAAAAAGTCATGAGGGAAAACATATATCTTAATGATGAAGAGATTTGGGTTGGGGGCTGGAAAAATCCCTGAACAAGGTTAAAATGCTGAAAAATCAAAGGGCATTAACTTTTGGAGATAAGAACACAATCTCATTTTGTGGTTTCAGAGTGATTAAACAAACCTAGTTTCAAAGAATCTGTCAAAAACTGAAAGCGAGGATCTCCAGACCAGATCATTATCATAAAAACGAGAAGCATCAGCAACTCTTCCAAATACAATCAAATGTTGTTCAGGAAAACACGACTTCATGTCATGTCAACTTCATGTCATGTCAACTTCATGTCATGGTGATTAAGCCTATCAGTTTTGAAAACGACAGGATGAAATATGTGTCCATGGAAAAAAAATAGAATGAAATAAAGAAGTAAAAAAAAAATTGAATTAAACAAAGCTTTATACTTGAAATCATTCCATGTATCAGAAACCGATGAAATAAGGAAACGTTGGTTCTCAGGATACTAATGTTTTGTATAGCAGTAATCTTAAAAGAATGTAAAATTGAAATGGTACCTAAAGAAGCTAAACATATACACTGTTTTTTTAGGAAAAAAATATACATTAATTGAAGGATACTGATTTTTAACAAAATTTATAAAGTTATATAGAGATAGAGATTCTAATGCAATGTTCGAACAGAAACATATCTCATTAAACAATGTATTTACTGTATTGACATTATGTGGTAAAAGATGAAAAAATTTCATGCACCAATATATTGATAATCAATACTGTAAATAAGATATAGAACACCATCATAAGTGCTTTAATAATCAGTAGATATCAAGAATTTACAGCTGGCACTTTCCACAAACACACAGTACGGAATGGCACAGTAGTATAGTGATGGGTGTAAATGTGAAATGTCATTTGTGTCTTATGTCAAAATACACATGAACTAAATAAAGATTTCATCTTCTGCCTACATGTATATGATCCTGAATTCTATCAATAAAATGCCCCAAAAATATAAAAAAATAAAATGATGATCATTATAAAATCTGACTTTTCATTCCAGATGTATTCATTGCCTCTTTTTCATATAGATCACATGTGATCATAAGCCAATCAGAATTCTTGTTACACACACTGATACAAAAGTAGTCCAACATTTCCACAAACTACTCCAACATCAGTCATTGTACATATCACACCTGTATTCACTTACCCAATGTTCGCGATCCTCAACAGGTATTTCTGTCTTTTTACCGAATTTCTTCAAACATGCAGGAAAACAGTACAAAGTTTAAGCAAAATAAAACAGCATCAAGTGAAAAATTCTATAAAATTGAATTCCTCAGCTATAATGTCAAATGACAAAATATACAGTGATCATGCATTAGGCTGAAGGAGGAGACCAGGTAAAACTGGACCTCGGTGAAAGGTGTATATAACGTGCAATAATAAAAATTCAAATAAACCATATATTTCACCTATTTATATCACTGTAACCTCATACAGCATGCAAGTATACTGGTTTCTAAATCTCAGTCTACATACTGTAAGATCATAACAGTTTATTTTATTTATATAAATAGTACTATATGTTCATATTTTCCATGGAGAGTTACTCCTGGATAGATATCCTTCTTGTATATTTTACAATGTGGAGATGAATACACCACATCTGTCTTATCAATATCTATTTACTCTTTATAATTGTTATGAGGTCAGGAATATATATAGATACTTGAGAATGTTGATTGTTGAAGCAGGTATTTTCGCTGTGTTTATGTTTATCATTTATTAAAACGAACTCCATACCTTCACCACTAAAATCCACCAACATCTCAAAGCATGACAACATCAAATAGAAAATGGCAGTTTGAAAATTAAGCATCATACACAAAACCTTCACAAAATTTTTTTTATAAAAAAAGGGTGAAACATGAATATATTGACATTATAGCTTACCTTGCCTTCCACACGACTATGACCTGCAACCTGCCCAGATGCTACCTTGATCTTGTCAGGATGGATTGCCAAGCTATCAATGAATAATTCATATCATTTTCAATCTTAAACAAACTATACTTTTTGCATCATTGTTTTGTTTGATAAAGGAAAACTTTGACCATGAAATATTTGTAAAATGTATGACTTTTTTTTCAACATTGAGAAAAATGGTTTCAGTAACTGTCACAAAAGACTAATCAATCATTACCATTTAGGAAGGACATGCTATTTCTTACCATTTGACATCATCTGTGTGACCAACGTAGTGCCTCTGGGTGTTCTCCTCCATGTTGTGGAGGACGACAACTGCTGCTGAGAAATAGACCATCTCCCCTGTTGGCAGGTAGTAAAGGTTGGACCGACAGTCTCGTCCACGGTAACCATAACTACATCTGTCAAGGAATCACAAACAACAAGAATTCTGGGAAATGATGTGTCCTGCTAAGTCAACTGAAGTCCACTGAAGTTGATTTTTTACATTCAGTGTTTAGACAATGAAACGTTGTTATGAATATCCTCTAAGATGTTAATGCCAACTTTTTGATGTGTTAAAATAAACAATGGGAGACAGAGTTCCATTGATATAGATTTGTAATCTCAAATCTAAGTGAGTTTTACCAGCCTTAAGGAAACTCATGTAACATTTAACAGTTACAATGACCTTGACCTTTGATCTACAGACCTGTTAAGTACGATGGTCTTAAATAAATGGGTAAGCACTATACAAATTTTGATTGATTAGCTGAAGGATCTCACATTATTAGGTGAAATCATTTTCTATCCCTATTTATTAGAATTGAGCCTGGCCTCTGATCTCCAGATCTAAAATGTTTTCCATATCAGTCAGGAAGTGCAGCCTAAGGTTTGAATCAGAATAGTTAAAAAACTGAAAATTGGGAAGATATTGTGCTGAATTCAGATTTCTATTTATAAAACAGTGACCTTGATATCTGACCTTCAAACATGAAAACTGATTCTAAGCAAATGAGTATGAGTAAGCACTACTTGAAAAGTGAGATTTTGTTGACTCACATGATCTCAATATCATAGCCATAGATGTTTTACACACACACAAGGCTACCAATGACAGCTGATCATCGTTGACAAAATGATTCCAGTATGATCACCTTTAAGACATCACAATAAGTACTGCCTTTGTAGCACAAGAGTAAATCATACAAAAGAATATATGTCATTGTAGTAAACTACCAATGTATGTACTGTACATGGTAGAAAGTGTAGACAAATTGATACACCCTTTGATCCTTGACAATTAATACAGATTACATATATTTCAAGTACCAAACTGATGCAAGAGGTAATTTGATGTCAAACATGTTGTCAATCATTTATGAAGTTTTCCTCTGTTTGAGGTTTCAATAAAATTGAATTTTGAAAATTTGAAAAATTTCACAAGAAATTAATCATATGACCAAGTCAAGGATACACCCATTCCAGGCGGAGTTTTTCATCAGGAGCTTCTCCGACCTTGGAGATGTCATACTCAGTGATAGCACTTGGACTGTACAGGTTCACTGGACGGCCACGAAGGTAGATCTTCAGATAACCTTCATCTGTAACAGCACAGAGGAGAGAAATTAGAGTCTTAACATTTTTAGGCCTATCTCTCTGTCCAGAATTTAATTTCTGTTTAAGATCTTATATCACCAAAGGTTAACTTTATTTGAACTGTATCCCATTTCATAATGTGACAACTTCTTATAGATAACAAGTCTTTATTTATCAGATAAGTAGATCTTAAAAGGTAGTTTTACAGCTACAAGATGAGTTAATACCTGGCATAGATCTACACATATATAAATACATGTACAGTTGGTTATCAGATATTATCAGAGAGCAGTCCAAAACTTCTACAAATACAATATTCACTTCATCATGAAACCAAAATGATTTTTAAATATGACCAATGAAAAATTTCTGAGTTGGTTTTTTTTCTTCTTTTTATTGAAAGAGAAAAAGAACTTTGTGATTATATTTTTAGAATAAAAAAAAGGAGAGAAAAAAAATGACATTAAGGAAAAATGCAAGAAGAGAAAAATGCATAGAAAAATCTCAGCCTCTAAAACATTACAGAAATCACTGTAGGAAAATTTCAAATATCTTCTGATCTCTATTTACTTTGTGCTTTGCCAATATTTTGTCTGTAATTAACTCTCATTCATGTACTGTAGGGACAGAAAATTACACCGTGTACTATCATGTACAATACATTTAAATTGTTTCAATTATCAGAACCTTTACAATGCATCCATGTAACTAAATGTACCACAACACTGAAACCTGAAATTCAGTTTTGAAAACTGGAGACTTCTGATCTTTTACCAATCACACCAAAATTCAAACTTGTCCATGTAAAACACTCATATATGTATTCAGTTTCATTAAAATTTGTAAGGTGATTAACTTTTGACTGATCACACTAAAGTTTGAATTTCTTAAAAAAAATCTGTGAAGATATAACATAATGTGAAAAATCATCAAATACCACTGTGTAGCAGAGTGATAAAGTGTACCAGATCACATTGTACTTGAATGAAGTTTTGTCAAAATGTTTCTATCAATACAGGCAGGAGAGTAATGGCAGACCACAGATAATAGTATTGCCCATCAATGAGACCATGTAACACTGAAGGTGTACAATACAACATATTTCTGTACATTTGTATATATAAAATGTACCATCACCACACCACTTACCAGTTACTGAGTATGACATGGATTAAAACAAAGGTTACACATACAATATACACAAATCTGGGGACAGCAGATTCCACAGAAAGACATGTCTGATTAAGTTTCACATGCAAATAACAGATTAATTTGAAGACTTTCTTTCAGGGGGATATAAAAAGGTTCTGTTGTGTGTTTTGTTTATTTATGGTTTTAATTCATATTTGAAAACTACTACTATCTGCTGAAAAAAGAATGCTTTGACAAGGCTTTCAGTGGTTACACTGAGTTACTGGGCAGAGAAAATACAAGACAGGTATATTGATTATACAAAATTTGAAATAAAGAAATGAAAATTGTTTTTAAACAGTTTAGCCTTTCTTGTTATAGAATATTTAGCTTTTGTGTTATCAAAAATTTCCATACAGAAAATGTAATATTGTCTTCATATGGTTTGTTTATAATTTTTGTAAAAACTAACTGATTTACTGGTTTTGTAAAATATATTTGTCTATATGCCTTCTGTTGGGTTTGTTTCTGAGGGGCAATGCCCGTTTAAACTTCTCCACTATTTCCCTGGATAAGCATAATTTTTTTATTCCATGTTTGATGCAAAATCATGTCAATTGGTTTGGTGTAAAATCTTAATTATTACTTGGGTATCAACTGTTGATGGTTTTTATCTTGAAAGGTACCACTGCTATTGTTAAGTCCAGGCCACTTAATACCTGTTTAGTACAACTGGACAACAAAGTTGATTCTGGTTACTGATTTCAATATTTGATCAAATCACTTACCACAGTTCCATACTGGTTCCTTTGCACTGAAATACAAAAAACAAGCAAGATAAACAACTGTAAATGTTTCCCCCCAACATACCAGTATTAATAATCAAATAGGATAATATCAACTAATGCATTCTCTGACATCACAACAATTGTGTTACTTTACACTTAATATACATGCATGACATTTCCAACGACAGACATGCCACCATATCCAATACTAGCTGTGAACAGGATATTGCATCTGCCAATTCATCATTATCATTTAACAATCTCTCAAATGATTCCCGAGATAGTTCCATTCCATATATAAACATGAAGGCAAGTCATACACTTCTAAATCTACCTATACTAGCACAACAGGAACAATATAGCTAGCTTGGTCAAATATGTCATAATAGGACCCAGATTTAATTTACTTAGAAACTTTTGATGAAAAAGTGATATTCATATTTGGTGTGCACAAAAAAACACCTCATTAGATCACAGCAAATCTGAAGTTAAAACTGAAACTAATTAAAGATGTCCACAAAAACCCATATTAGAATACTCCACATCAGTGAATCAGGGGTTTCAGTACCCGTATTAGAATACTCCACATCAGTGAATCAGGGGTTTCAGTAAAGTCTTACCCAGTTTGGAAAGATGACAACCTCCATAAACTGACAATAAAAGAAAAAGATCCCAAAAAAATTATATAAGGAGCAGGAAAACATGAAACTGGATTAAAGAAACTTTTTTTTGTTCAATAAAAATTAAAAACTAAAGATCGAATACCATTTTCCCAAGCTAACAGTACCTAAGAAATATGAAAGTACCATAATACCATTTCTGAAAATAATGTAAACAGTTTTCTAAAAGGAAAGCAAACACCTCCAAAAACAAAAAAATAAAAACAGAAAAAAAAACACAAGAGATATAATAGAGTATGAAAAAGGTTACGTACAATAAACAACTAACTTGCTGATTGATTAGTCTACTATGTCTATCTATAAACACTAAGATGTTTTAATGAGGAGGTTGATATGTCCAGATTTACTTATAAAAGCATAGGGTGATAGCTCTTTAAATTCTTATCAAATGAATCAGATGAAAACTGTATCAAAGTGTACAGATAAGAAAAGTATGTACATCTTGTAGGTACATGTGAGATACATTTCATGACGTAGGTAATGGCCATACCTCTGCCTAAATCAACTGTTTACCTGCCTTCATCAAGTCTACCAAAACCTACAATTTCTGTTAATCTAAATACAGGTTAAACAGGTGATTTCAATCATTGTGAAACGGATGATACATATGTGCCAGAGGTGGCCAGACAGGATCTGTAGATATTTGAATAACTGATTCTTCTGAAATATATTCATGAAGTGATGACACACATTTGCAAGTCCATTAATGTGATCAGAGTTTGAACACACACTAACATGTCAAACACTTGGTAAATAATTTCTAAACTTCCATGCATCTGGTCATTTTCCTAGCATCTAGGCAGGTTGAACAGAAAACATGAAACATGTATTTAGAAAAGATGACAGTATGTAGCTGTTAAACAGTATAACAGTCTTATAGTTGATTCTAAACTTATAAAGAAGCTAATCTTGAATATATGACAATCTACTAAAATAGGAATATATCATGGGAAAATGACATTTCAAGCAAAAACTCTATATTTGTTGATTATATATGTGTATACTATTTTTGGCAGGATACAGAGGGTTCAAGGTCAGCATATCGGTCCAGTTGAGTGGGACAGCTGTAGATTCTGTCTATAGTGCACTAATGCAATGTATTTAAAAGGTATCAACCTAAGGTTGGGACTTGAATGGCTGGATAAAATGGATCAAAACACATGAACTGTTAACTCAAAGGTACAATTTTAAAACAGAAAGCAAATCATCTTAGGCCAGTAAGGGTAAAGCAATATAACAAAGATCAGAGCACAGAATTTCTGTTATGTTCTTAAAATGTTGAAATTCAAACTGGGAACAGTCCATGTTCTCACAGGAAAAGGAAAAAATTCAAATAATACATAGATGCATTGAGATTTGAGCTAGCCAGCCATTGAAGGTCTGCCACCATCTAAAATTGGGTGGCATGCTATCAGATTAGGAGCTAGACTCCCACAGCAAACAAACAGCAAGAAGGCAACGGTCATGGTTAGCAATAAGCCGAAAGATTAGCAGTATCAACTGTGCTCCAGAGAGAGACAAGGTCACATGTTTTACCCTCGGTGGTTTGACCGCATCAGCAAGCTGCTCTGGGAAACGCTACGTCTAAAACAGCAAAATAAGTCATGTACATCTAACACTGCAAACCAAGAACAGATAAACATATCAAACATTTAACTGTCAGCTTAAAGAAGAAAGAACAAGTGACAAATGTTTCACTTTTGGTCCAGCAAGCTGCTCACAGGACGACTGTAACCTGAAATCGTAAAATATCTGTTGGTCCAAAAAAGATCCAAACAGTATATGTATAGTCAGATGCTTCACAGATCTGGGGCAACAGGATAAAAATTCTGTTATTGCACCTTTGGGTGAATATAACTACCACAGAAAACAAAAGATAAAGGAAAATGGTAGGAATTAAAATATTTGCAATATCTGTAAAATGTCCTAAACCGGTATGTAATTAGATATTTGGGCCATCAATTACCAATAAATCGGCAGTGTAACTGTTTCTTGTGGACTGGTTAAATTGACTTTGTCACTCAAAACAACACATAATTCCAATCCTGATCCATAAAATATGAACTCTTTCCTCACAGCACCAGCAGATATAGGTAAGCACTATTGTATAATTAATGGTTGATCATAAAGTGGACATTACTTTGTAGGTATATCACCGACGTTATACTAATTATGATATCACCTGGGAATATTAAATGAAAGTGCTAGTTATAACTGATTTACCTGGAAAACAGGGTGCTGTGGGTACATGTTAGGTGTATCTGGCACGGAGTAATCAAATGATATGACTACATTTTATACATGAAACAAGGGAAAATACTCCACCCTGGCCTTTTTTCAATTCTCAGGTAAAATCCTACTTGTGAGTTCTGAGATAAAAATACCATATTTTATATGTGAGAAAAATATTGGCAAGGATGTTTTGTATTTCAATTTGAATGAAAGGGACAAGATGATTTGGACTTATGGATGCTGCGTTACATTATAATGTATAACAATATTCACCATAAGAAAAATTGGAATGGGTTAGATTCAGCTCTGACCTTTTTTAGAAAGCACATGGGGGTAGGGGGTGGTATATTGACAGCTGTATTGTGTGAAATGTTTTGGGTAATTTTATTTTTGTGGTTTAAACCTAAAACTGCCTTCAAAGGGCAAAAACTTTAGTGGACAGGGGATGGTTCAACCAGGGATTCTGATGGATAAGTAATCTGTTACTGTGATATGTAACTGATAGAGTAGTGAGATATATAAATTGCTGTAGGGGAAGGAAGTGCTACCTTTAAATGCTTTGAAGGAAGAGGTGGCTACTAGTGGCAACAGCTGGCACAAAGAAACATCATTAATAATTTAGAACCTCACTAGATCAGACTGCTCATGGTGTCTGCCTGGACATGCAATATCGCGATCCAAACTCCTGCACATCATGTTTCCATCCACATCATAATGAATAAAAAGGACTTGCATAAAAATTTCTATATTGATAAAGAAAAAATACCCTTCTAATGTAATTTTTACTGCATAAAACTAGAATACCTCTTGGGCCACCTCAAAGCTCATGTCTATATACAGTATATAAATTATCTATAGATTAATGGTAAATTTCCTTTCATTTCAAATGATGATGTGATATATATTAATGATACTGATACCCCAAACATTGAACCATATGTAGTTCTACAGTGTAGCTTTGCAACTAAATAGCCATCTTGGCCATAAATAAGACCTTAAACCTTATAATCAAACCAGTCCACACCAACTGGTCATGATGTCTATAACCTTAGCATGTTTCAAAAGGTTGTCAGTTGTCAAACCAGTCAGTTGTAAGATCTAGAACCTTTGCATTATTACAAGGTAACAAACCCAGTCACCAGAACAATTTCCAGAGTATTACTAACATACCTCGTCACCAGAACAATTTCCAGAATATTACTAACATACCTCATCACCAGAACAATTTCCAGAATATTACTAACATACCTCGTCACCAGAACAATTTCCAGAATATTACTAACATAGCTCGTCACCAGAACAATTTCCAGAATATTACTAACATACCTCATCACCAGAACAATTTCCAGAATATTACTAACATACCTCGTCACCAGAACAATTTCCAGAATATTACTAACGAACCTCGTCACCAGAACAATTTCCAGAATATTACTAACATACCTCGTCACCAGAAAAATTTCCAGAATATTACTAACATACCTCGTCACCAGAAAAATTTCCAGAATATTACTAACATACCTCGTCACCAGAAAAATTTCCAGAATATTACTAACAAACCCAGTAACCATAACAATTTCCAGAATATTACTAACATACCTTGTCACCAGAACAATTTCCAGAATATTACTAACATACCTCGTCACCATAACAATTTCCAGAATATTACTAACGAACCCCGTCACCAGAACAATTTCCAGAATATTACTGACATACCTCGTCACCAGAACAATTTCCAGTAATTACTATTGTCCTGATTTGTACAGACTTAGATATGGAGTTTCTGTTCAGCTCAGTTTGTTGAGCATCAGATTATAGAACAAGGATGAGGTCAGAGATCAAGAATGAGCACCAGGTCAACGAACCAGAATGATATAAAATCTGAACCAGAATGATATAAGATACCAGAATGATATCAGATAACTGAACCAGAATGATATAAGATCTGAACCAGAATGATATAAGATACCAGAATGATATCAGATAACTGAACCAGAATGATATCAGATAACTGAACCAGAATGGTATCGGATAACTTAACCAGAATGATATCAGATAACTGAACCAGAATGATATCAGATAACTGAACCAGAATGACATCAGATAACTGAACCAGAATGATATCAGATAACTGAACCAGAATGGTATCGGATAACTTAACCAGAATGATATCAGATAACTGAACCAGAATGGTATCAGATAACTGAACCAGAATGATATCAGATAACTGAACCAGAATGATATCAAACAAGAATGATATCAGACAACTGAACAAGAATTATATCAGATAACTGAACCAGAATGATATCAGATAACTGAACCAGAATGATATCAGATAACTGAACCAGATTGATGTCAGATAACTGAACCAGAATATGTACCCGATTACTGAACGAGAACGAGAATCACATTAATGAAAGAGAGGTATGGAATTGTTTGCTATCCGAGGCATTGACAAATAACTGGAATGAATTCCTCTGTTACAAACTGATAAAATCTGCCACAGAACAAACAACCACAGCTATAAACTACAACAGAAACACTATTTTTGTAAATCAGTACTTCAGGTTTATAAACCAGGGTTATGTTATCTCTTCATTTGATCACTTCATTATAGCATTCCTCTGGATATTTACCCAAATATGTGAAACATGCCATCGAAAATTATCTGACTTATCCACATGAACAAATTTCAGTTAAAACTGCACTGCAACAGACTTTGTGTAACTATCTGTACATAATCACTTATAAAGCACTAGCATTTTTCCAGTCCAGTATATACTAAGTACTTTTTCACTAAAACGGCTTATCTGTCATCACATGGTTCTTAAGAAACCTGTCCAGATCATCACATGGTTTCCACCATCGAATGATCATTCCAACCTGTCTACAAGAACCCCATAAGTACCTTCAGTATGTCCATAGTACACTGTATCATCACTTCATCACAGAGAACCCTGTCCAGACAGCCAAATAGTTATGTAATATAAAACCTGTCTATAGTACCACAAAATCTTTCAAATCAAACTTGTCTATAAGTACCACATATTCTTCTGCATGAAACCTGCCTGTAAGTACCACACAATCCTTCACATGAAATCTCTCTTTAAGAACCACAAAATCCTTAACATGAAATCTGCCTATAGTACCACAAAAGCCTTTACACGAAATCTGCCTATAATACCACACGACCATTAACACGAAACCTGTCTATAGTACATGTACCACACTGATTTTCCTGAGAAACCTGTCCTTAGTTCCACTTATCTCCTCACCATGCCATCAGAACCAGTTGCCATCTGAACTCATTCCCAACACCTGATTACAACTACAATAGGCAAAAGTCATGACAAAATAAAAAACTTGATTATTAAGTTGACTGACCTTCGTTTCTTCCTGCCCTTGGTTCTAGTAGCCATTCTCTCAGTAACACTTGTTATTATTCTGTCACTAAATTTCCCCTGGTTGACAGGTCTGAGATAATATCCTCTGTCCAGTCCACACCCACACTGGTTACAGCACAACCATACAAACTACACAATGCACATGATCAGTCATGTGTTATGCAGCAGCAATCAGGCATACAATGAACACCTGTCTGTGAGGAAGCTGCTGAGACTAGAGGCTATATATTTATGCTTGTGGTCAGCTACACAGGTATACCTTTGAGAGCATGACCAATACCTCAGCTTGCTACATCAGTCAATTGATAAGCAATGTATGGAACACTGGGCACTAATCCTTAATGACATTCTCATTAATACTGCATCTGTCACCTTTGTTTGGATATTCAATCAGTGTATCTACTTTTATCTATTCACTGACCAAACGGAACCATCAACATTATCAGAAACTACAAACTTAATGAGAAGCTTAGAACTTGTTCTTAAGACTATGAAGTATAGTAATTAAACAGGGTGAAGTAGGGAATACTTTTATACCTTAATATGGGTCTTAAAATATATTGTTTATAAAGAATCTACCTACCTCAGTTCATGGAAAATCATGGACCATAACTATACCCATATAAATGTAAGCCAGTCCTTACCTTGGACGTTGCCCAAGTTACTATGGAAACATGGCTATTTAATTTGGAAGAAGTTTATATTGATGAAAGACAGTCTGCATTTAACCTCCAATGATTTCACATCAAACTGATGCATATTATCAGTCAATAAAATGTTACCGTTGAGCTGGATTTACTTGATTCTGGAGATAAGTTAAAGAATTCCACCTCTTTCTTTATTGTGTAATACAGATACTTAAAAATATCTTCTATTAGTTTGTCTTCATGTTAAACTTCTTGTCTGCAAGGGTGGTAGTTTTTCAAGATTGTCGAATTATTTCCAGTAAACTGTAAAAAAGTCCAGGTACGTTTAGTATTAGAATAATAAATATCATGTCTCATCACATAGTGGCCTGAGTTCTCTCTTTATCATCTAAAGGTCTGACGGTTAAATCTCTGAGATGTACTGATGTTCTAAGAAATGGGAAACAATGTTCAGCCATATACAACAGACTACTCTGTTGGCTCTATTCCTTGTGGATGGCCATATACAATGTATACCCTACTACATTAAACATATTGGGTATCAGTGGGGTTTGCATGATACACAAGCACTATAAGAATAAATGTTGATGACATTTAGAACTGGTCCTTGTTAACAGGTTCACACGTGGATCTGATAGGGCTGTGTACCATGGTGCTATATATACATGTATACATAATTGGAATCAATATTAGTCTCCGTAGTGGCTTCATTCTCTTAAATGAGCCTGATTAAATATATATGATGGAATGGTCATGTTATCTAACAAAACGTATCGAGAACAAGTTGTAGACCTAACACTGATGGACATACACATTAACAATTAAAGACAAATGAAGCACCAATACAAATACAGTTTACATTGTTTTGTTATTAGTTTCCATGACAACTGGTGCTAGGGGTACATTATACAGATATAGCCAATGGCTCTTACAGGCAAAGCTTTCCTTCTTTATGAGGGTCAGAGTCACCATGGCAACAGAAAACACTGGTCAGTGTCTCCAAAGTGCCACACAAATTTCATCTGCAGTCATATTGATTTCCATCCTGTCAATTAATTATTGCCCAGTTAATTAATAGAAAAGGCTTCCTCTCAGACTAAAAAATCATTAGTGAGTTACAGATTGATGTAATCAAAGAGTTGTGTGTCTTAATCACATACTAATACTGGAGTAACCTTGCAGCTGAAAAGAAAACAAACAGGAATCTACATATACATTATTTCATGGTTATTATAATTCCTACACCAACAGAACTGCAAAACAAGCATCCAGAATTTTAGGAATATTAAATGCAAAGAAAATCTAATTGGAATTGGTAACATGGTTATATATACTGTACACCTGAAAACAAAAAAACCCCACTTCATTACTTAGAATCTGTTTTGGGGAAAAAACTAAGTAAGACAAGACAGATTTCTAACATGCATCTGGGTAAGACTAGGGGACGCATATCAAAAAATTGTTACATATATAAGTTTTCAATCATTTCCTACATTTCTGCTCCTTGTATATATATATATCCCTGGAGTGGTTCAAAGAAATCAGAGGTTGAAATATTGTACCACGACATTGGTATAAAACTGTGTTTAATTTGTTGAAGTATGAATCTCACAGCTTCATCTTTTCTCCAGCTAATGCATTACTGTGATTCCGGTTGGAAAAGATAAAGAATTGTAGATGAAAGTCAGATATTATAAGTTAAATATACAACACAGAAAGAAAAAATCTTTCAGTTCAAGTTCAAACAGCCCCAAAATGTATTTGAGTATATATATTTCATCGATAAAATACATTGAAAAAAAAAAATAATAGAAATATGAATTTTGATCCAAATAGATACACTCAATTTCAGCTCCTTTCAATGGAAACAAGCCAGAAAAACACATAGGTCTAACAGCCGTTGCACTAGTAAGAATGTCAGGGGTATTGAAAAACTAACAAAGATCTGTACATGAAGATGTTCTAGAAAAGAATTTGGAAATGTCTATGCAAATCAGAGACCATAGCAAGCAATCTCTCTTGAAGTTTTTTTGTAAGCAGAAAAATTAAGAAAACTTTAAAAAAAAAAAATTTTCGATGATGGAAGTATGTATAGCAGCAGCTGACATGTTCAACAACATGAATGAAAGCTTTATGAATCTAAATTGAATCTGGTATTTGATGCAACAGAAGAATATTTTGTACAAAAACTTCTTGGTGGAATTAAATTCAAATTATTAATTTTGGTTTTGCTGAAAAGAAAATCTCTGATAAGTTTCCATAATGAAGCAGGACAATGTTAGATCTTACGTTGGCATGTACAACATAGGATTATAAAAAAACCCACCTCACATTAGAGTGGCCACTGATGTTGTTTTGGTTGGACATAGAAGACCATTTCTTACTAAGGCTGGATGAGGATGAAGGTCGTGGTGAGGAGGTGCTACGGGTGGCAGGTGGTGTGTTGCTGCGGGCTGGAGTCACATGTGCATTATCCAATGCACTGAGATTAGAAGTACGAGTTGCATGTGAACTGGAAGACTTTGTTCTTGGGCTGCTACGGAAGGCTGGCTTTGATGGCAAAATGCTGTTTTGAGCTATGATCAAGAACAGAAATTCAAGCTTTTAAAATTGTTTTTTTCAGCAATTTTTACTTATAATTTGGATGAAATACCACTTTTCTATGGTTCACTATCAAGTTCATTTTTAAGAATTCATTTTTGTATATGCTTCCTGTTAACTATGTACATACCTCTGCCTGCCTCTGCCTGCCCAAGACGGCGAATGACATCAGCAAGAGCACTCTTCAGACAGATGATTTCATCCTCTTGTTGCTGTACCTTTTTCTCAAGGTAGGACACACGCTCACAGAGTTCCTCATGGTCCTGACTCAGCAGACCGTCTATAACACAGCGGTACAGAGTTCTCTCACACAAATGTCTGTATACTTTTAAGTTTCACTTACCAGGCTAGGACCAAGAGCCCATCAAAGGCTCAATTAGGTACCATTGGATTTACAAAATTATGTGAAACTAACAAGCAGCTGTAGCTATGTGATCTTCAACCAATGTGTTAAACTTATGATCATGATTATCACACATCTACTGTATGATCATTAATTTTTATTGGTGTTTTTTTTGTTGATTTCATAGGTATATTTATCCACTAATTGGTAAGTCTGATTTGAATTTTTTTGCTAGAATTAGTAAAGTAGACTAATTGTGCTTGCTATAATTATCTTCAAAATCAAGTGTCCTTTGAAAAAGATTTTTTTACTTAGGTTTTTGTTTTTGTTTGAAAAAACCATGAAAAATTTAAACACACGAAAATATACGATTTTGCAGCATAATATGAAGAACTCTCTGTTTTACCTAGAACACTATGTGACACATTGATGTAATATTTCAATACATCTATAGCATGGATTGAATTCATCAAAAAGGTTCAGAAAAAGCCTGGGATCAAATTACAATATAATTTGACCTTTCAAATTTTATGTGATGTTGTGGGTTTAAGGTTTACAACATATCGGGTTTCACACAACATATCCAATGTACAGAAATCATGTTAGCAGTGTTGCTAACTAACTGTGACTTAGTTGTTTCAATATATGAATGTATTATTACATTCTCTTCGCATTATTAGAAAAAAATAAGAGCTTCATGATAAGCTATCAACATATGCAGAGTTGTAGTCTTTGTTTATAAAACATACATTAAGTACCTAATATACTGGTAGTTTTAAGCAAGTTTCCCATGCAGAGTGGGTATTGACTCGTCATACTGGGGAGTAAAAGATGCCAGCAAGGGCAGACAATAGCATCAACATGCCAACAAACATGTATATAAATGACCCTATCTGCCAAGCAAATACTGTCTTTTGGCCAAGCAAATACTGTCTTTTGAATCCCAACAGGAAAAATGCACCATATACAGGTGTATACTTCGGATTCTACATCAAAAATACTCTTTATACTTTATACATTATACCTCATACTGTTCCTTGTTTACTACACCGACGTTATACCTCATACTATTCCTTGTTTACTACACCGACGTTATACCTCAAACTGTTCCTTGTTTACAACACCGACGTTATACCTAGTACTGCTCCTTGTTTACTACACTGACGTTATACCTAGTACTGCTCCTTGTTTACAACACTGACGTTATACCTAGTACTGTTCTTTGTTTACAACACCGACGTTATACCTAGTACTGCTCCTTGTTTACTACACTGACGTTATACCTAGTACTGCTCCTTGTTTACAACACCGACGTTATACCTAGTACTGTTCCTTGTTTACAACACCGACGTTATACCTAGTACTGCTCCTTGTTTACTACACTGACGTTATACCTAGTACTGCTCCTTGTTTACTACAATGACGTTATACCTAGTACTGCTCCTTGTTTACAACACTGACGTTATACCTAGAACTACTCCTTGTTTACAACACTGATGTTATACCTAGTACTGCTCCTTGTTTACAACACCGACGTTATACCTAGTACTGTTCCTTGTTTACAACACTGACTTTATACCTCATACTGTTCCTTGTTTACAACACCGACGTTATACCTAGTACTGCTCCTTGTTTACAACACTGACGTTATACCTAGTGCTACTCCTTGTTTACAACACTGACGTTATACCTCATACTGTTCCTTGTTTACAACACTGACGTTATACCTAGTGCTACTCCTTGTTTACAACACTGACGTTATACCTAGTACTGCTCCTTGTTTACAACACTGACGTTATACCTAGTACTGCTCCTTGTTTACTACACCGACGTTATACCTCATACTGTTCCTTGTTTACAACACCGACGTTATACCTAGTACTGCTCCTTGTTTACTACACCGACGTTATACCTCATACTGTTCCTTGTTTACAACACCGACGTTATACCTAGTACTGCTCCTTGTTTACTACACCGACGTTATACCTAGTACTGTTCCTTGTTTACAACACCGACGTTATACCTAGTACTGCTCCTTGTTTACAACACCGACGTTATACCTAGTACTGTTCCTTGTTTACTACACTGACGTTATACCTAGTACTGTTCCTTGTTTACAACACCGACGTTATACCTAGTACTGTTCCTTGTTTACTACACTGACGTTATACCTAGTACTGTTCCTTGTTTACTACACCGACGTTATACCTAGTACTGTTCCTTGTTTACAACACCGACGTTATACCTAGTACTGTTCCTTGTTTACTACACCGACGTTATACCTAGTACTGTTCCTTGTTTACAACACCGACGTTATACCTAGTACTGTTCCTTGTTTACTACACTGACGTTATACCTAGTGCTACTCCTTGTTTACAACACTGACGTTATACCTAGTACTGCTCCTTGTTTACTACACCGACGTTATACCTCATACTGTTCCTTGTTTACAACACCGACGTTATACCTAGTACTGCTACTTGTTTACTACACTGACGTTATACCTAGTACTGCTCCCTGTTTACAACACCGACGTTATACCTAGTACTGCTCCTTGTTTACTACAATGACGTTATACCTAGTACTGTTCCTTGTTTACTACACTGACGTCATACCTAGTACTGTTCCTTGTTTACTACACTGACGTTATACCTAGTACTGTTCCTTGTTTACTACACTGACGTTATACCTAGTACTGCTCCTTGTTTACTACAATGACGTTATACCTAGTGCTGCTCTTTTTCCAATTCTTTGCTTTCATTACGTGTCATACATGGTACTGGCATTTTTCTAACTACCAATCAATATACTTGTGATATTACTTTTATACAATGTAGCACTTTTTGTGTTCGAGAATCAAAATGCAACAGAACCAGCTGTAAGATCTGAATACATGTCAATGCATTAAATAACAATATCAATTTCAAAATGCAATAAAGCTGATATCCACCCCTCAATAGGCTGACATCCATCCAACAATAGGCTGACATCCACCCCTCAATAGGCTGACATCCATCCCTCAATTTATTGACTTTCAACCCTCAATAGGCCGACATCTATACCTCAATATATTGACTTTCAATCTCAATATTCTGACATTCAACCCTCAATATGCTGACATCCATCCCTCAATATATTGACTTTCATCCCAAAATATGCTGACATTCAACCCTCAATATGCTGACATCCATCCCTCAATATATTGACTTTCATCCGACAATATGCTGACATTCAACCCTCAATATGCTGACATCCATCCCTCGATATATTGATTTTCATCCCGCAATATGCTGACATTCAACCCTCAATATATTGACATTCAACCCTCAATATGTTGACATTCAACCCTATATTTGCTGACATCCCACTCAATATATTGACTTTCAACCCTATATTTGCTGACATCCCACTCAATATATTGACTTTCAACTCTATATTTGCTGATATCCCACTCAATATATTGACTTTCAACCCTATATTTGCTGACATCCCACTCAATATTACTTATTTTGTGCTTGTCAAAATCCAGATAACATACCCAATAGTGATTTAAAACAAAAATATCTGTAAGTTCTGACTATGAAGGGATAGAAAATGTCTGGATCTGCAGCAGTAGACTATCACATAAGAACATGATCTGGGATGTCACCTAAGTGAATGAAGTAAACCAGCAATATAATTACTGATTAAGAGAAAAGGCTATACCAGTCATGCTGTCACTAACCTACAGCTGAGACTAATGTGGACAGATGCTGAGAAGAAAGATGAGGATATATGTTGAGAATGTGATGTGAAATCTTCGTAAAAAAAAAATAAGATTGTCAACAGTGATGTGATGACCTACGAAGTAACAGTGAAATGTGATAGATAAATTCATTAATAAGAAGTGATACTTTAATGTGTCGGAAATTACATGGATGGCAGCAAGCTATAATCAGGCTGAGCTGCTGGTCGAACCACAGGCATGCAGTGTAACATCCAACATCATGCTGAACATTCTCTTACCCGTCATGTCAAGGGCAAACCGCAGCTCCTTCTTAGGGGCCAGTCCCGCACAGGGGTCCTGAGGGGTCCCATTCTCTACGGTGGCAAACCAATCTCTATTACTTACAGGAACAACAAAATTTGTCCATCCATTCCTAAAATTTTCCCTCAGTTAGACCTTTGGTGTCTGCCATTTGCAGACTTACATCAACCAGAAAGGCCTGGGAGGAGGTATCACACAAAAAACCAAGCACAACCCTGACCTGTCATTTGGTTCAAATTTAACTTAGCCAAGTGCCATTCCAGTAGGCCACAAGTCATACTGAGTAGTTTTGAAATTGAAACTAAACACAGGTACATTATCTGGATATGTGTGTATGTATGACACCTCTATAAAGGAGTATATCTTCTGTAATGCTGATCAGCGTTTAATCATATTAATTTAAAACTTTGTGTGTACTGAGTGAAAAAATGGCAACAGACCAATATTCTTCTGAAGCTATGATGGAAGGGAGATAACTAAGACATGGACATCAGGTAGGTGCTACCTGTTATTTGGTAAATGTATAAGCAGGTATCCTCTATCTCAGTGTCTTGTTGTTTTCTATCCAATACTACACATGAAAACCTGTAAATAATGACTGAGGACAGGCTGATTTTTTACAATCTTCTTTTAGATATAGGTAAATATTTATGTGGAAAGAGAGACAACCACTGGATATAAGCAATCTATCATCCAGGTACTGTTAAGAGTTATGTCTAAAATGGCTATTTTTGCTGATCAACAACATGCATTTAAGAATCAAAATAACTGCAGGTCTAAAATCATGACCTACATCATAAAATAAAACACATTTTTCTAACCTTCTCTATCCCTAGATTACAGATAAAAAAAAGTAATAATTAATAAAAAGCATATAAGGGCTATGTACTTGGAGATGTCATCAATATTCATTAGAAACTTTCCGAACAAGGAAATCTTAGAATAATGCACCATACCAGGATCTTCATAAGTTATTAACAATAGGAATAAATATGTTGATTGTAACCATTACCTAATCACAGAAATGTTAATGGACAATGGTGGATTTTTTATGTCCTGTCTCGTACCTTGTCTGGTATTGATTTACTCCTAAATACAACAATGGACATTACAGCAATAGCATGTAGGTTAGGCTACAATGCATGTTATTCATCCTCTGGATGTGCCAGAATGTCAGTGCTGTATTTAGCACTGAACTACAGGGGTAAGATTAGTATATCAACCCTACAAAATTTCTGGAATAGTCCAGTCCTTTATTTTACCCAGAACAACAAGATGGGAGATTAAAGAACTCTCTGGGGGAAAAACAAACATTGTAGTGTCAAGAGGTGGCAACTAATCATCATTCTTTTGGCTAAAAATCATTGTGACAAAAAACAGAAAATAAGTGTTCCCTTGTGTCAAACAATTTTATAGTGACAAGTTGGACACTGAATTGTTCCTTTGTGATCGATAAAAAATGCTGTGGAGGCTATTGTCGACATAGTGGTGAAATGAAGTGTTATTTTGTGCTAACGACAAGGGTGAAAGTAAGGTGGACTCAATAAAGGCTAGCTGATATCATTTTATAAAAAGAACCATCCCAATCTGTGGAGCTAACTGCTAATTTGAACATGTTTGAAGTCCATATTCTGAATTTCATATATATATATAGTGAGTAGCAAGAATCCAAGGGGAAAAAAACTAAATATTGCTTTCAGTTGTATCCTTCAGAATTTTAACAGCCAAAATTTATGTCACTATCAGACTGACATCATATGTTTTTTCTAACACTGCCACCTCACAACCATATTCCTTGATACTGATCATGTTATCATATTTGCCATAACTAACCAGGTGCCTTGATCTATCTATCAGACCTTAACCAGGTGCCTTGATCTATCAGTCAGCAGAGCATCAGACCCTAACCAGGTGCCTTGATCTATCAGTCAGCAGAGCATCAGACCCTAACCAGGTGCCTTGATCTATCAGTCAGCAGAGCATCAGATCCTAACCAGGTGCCTTGATCTATCAGTCAGCAGAGTATCAGATCCTAACCAGGTGCTTTGATCTATCAGTCAACAGAGTATCAGATCTGAAGAAAGATCCAAGGAGTGTGGTTTGATCACTTGCTTGAACAACGGGCAGAGAACATGAACCATCCTGTCATTTGTGTTCTTAGGCAAGACAATCTACCCCAATCAATGAGGTAGCCACCAGCTATGTCAAACAAAGCATTGCTAACCTTCCTTTTGCAATCTGTAACATACCAGTCTAGTTTTGAATTGATTCAGTACTACGTAACAGAATTGACTAGACAAATATATCCAAGTAATGTAGACAGGGTCAAGATATATAGAAAATATCTGACAAATCCTTGTGACTTGGTTTCCAATACACCTTATTTATCTTGCAAAAAGTCTGGGGCCTTAATGAAAACTTTGATTCAAACTTCAGGATGGGCTTATTGTAGGACAATAAAATTGTATTTATTCACACTTTCACTGAACTGCAATACACATGGGTGGGCTATGGTAGGTGCTGTGACACAAACACAGCAGTTTCTGGAGTCCCTGGTTTACTTTTGGGGTTAGATCTATGGTAGGTGCTGTGACACAAACACAGCAGTTTCTGGAGTCCCTGGTTTACTTTTGGGGTTAGATCTATGGTAGGTGCTGTGACACAAACAGCAGTTTCTGGAGTCCCTGGTTTACTTTTGGGGTTAGATCTATGGTAGGTGCTGTGACACAAACAGCAGTTTCTGGAGTCCCTGGTTTACTTTTGGGGTTAGATCTATGGTAGGTGCTGTGACACAAACACAGCAGTTTCTGGAGTCCCTGGTTTACTTTTTGGGTTATATCTATGGTAGGTGCTGTGACACAAACACAGCAGTTTCTGGAGTCCCTGGTTTACTTTTGGGGTTATATCTATGGTAGGTGCTGTGACACAAACACAGCAGTTTCTGGAGTCCCTGGTTTACTTTTGGGGTTATATCTATGGTAGGTGCTGTGACACAAACACAGCCGTTTCTGGAGTCCCTGGTTTACTTTTGGGGTTAGATCTATGGTAGGTGCTGTGACACAAACACAGCAGTTTCTGGAGTCCTTGGTTTACTTTTGGGGTTATATTTATGGTAAGTGCTGTGACACAGCAGTTTCTGGAGTCCCTGGTTTACTTTTGGTGTTATATTTATGGTAGGTGCTGTGACACAGCCGTTTCTGGAGTCCCTGGTTTACTTTTGGGGTTATATCTATGGTAGGTGCTGTGACACAGCGATTTCTGGAGTCCTTGGTTTACTTTTTGGGTTATATTTATCTTCCTGTTGATTGCCTGATATTGGAATCATGAACGGAACATTGTGCAGGGCTTGAATGGAAATGACACAGTCCTGTTGTGGTAAACCTTGTATGACTCATAAACACTTATCACTGTCAGCATCAAGAATGTTGATTTCCTTCTCTAAAAGGTTTAAAACAGCTTGTGGACATGTCGCACTTGTATCAACTCTTAAGATTCTATCAACTGCCTATTTAGATCCTTTCAAAGTTGAAGTTTTTAACAATATGAATCAGGCAGTATATTTACTTAGCATTTTAGATGTGTATGATTAGTAAGTGTGGTATGTTTAGGAAGAGTGTGACAGACCGGAGTAGATCCCGAGCTGTCCTTAAGTTAATAGCTACATATTCCTGTAAAAGCTCCAAATTGTCCCTACTACTACAGCTATAAACCTACCATTACAGCCTCCACTTCAGATCATGGCTTGATCTATAATTAACTAAAGACTTCAAAGAGACAAAATTCCTTGTTGGTAGCATACATATGTATATGTGTTAATCAAAGCTGTCAACATTTGCCGTTTTCCAGTCTAGTCTTCTATTTCCATAACAGTGGTGTGTAAGTGACTGAAATGACACAAATTCAGCTGAACAGTATGCTTCCCAGCCACAGATATTAGAATACAAATGGTATATGCCAAATAGAAAGGCTGTAAGAAGCATACCAGTACATATGGAGGAAGCACTTCAATAACTCACTCCAAAAACTGAGTTTTGAGATGGGAAAGTGACAGGGGACAGCAATACCTTAGTGTTGATAAAAAAAGGAGGATGTCATTGTAGTAAAAAGAATGCACTGTTCTATTGTTTGGTACCACAGTCATAACAGCACAGCAGTTTTGGGGTTTTCTTTTAAAAATCAAAATGATGATTTCAGACATTTCATTGCCAGAAATATAACAAAATATATATATTCACAAAATGTGTAAACAGTAGCCAGCTCTTTTGGTAGTAGAGGGTGTATAGTAGGTGGGTAGTGGGCATGAGTTCAGATTGCTTGTCTGTACAACAATTTACCTCAGATGCAGTGTGTAATAAATACATGTTTCCCTGATCAGGCATAATTATGTTATATATGTATTAAGGTGTCCAGGAAACTGGATGCTGACCCAGATAGGGAGAACTGCAGATTAAGATCCACACCTCCAGAAGTGGTTTCTAACAGTATTCACTATGTGGCCAGGGTTTGTTCAGCAGCCACACAAATGGCCCTAATAGATGAAAATATGATTAAGCACAAGTTGTGTTCACCAGCCTAGAAAAGATTTAAATATGTAGAACAAATCTGACCTTCTGTTAATCAGACATGTAAAGTAGTGCACAATTACACATTATATACATTATGTATTTTAATCTTATGTGCTCAGCATTACAATCCAATATTTATACATACAGTGTATATTGCTGAAATAAGGTAAAGGAACCTCATAACCTTTGAAAATCTAAGGTTTCTCATGAAATGTGACATTATGCATCCTGAAAGAATGAAGCCATTGTAGTATACCGGTTTTGTGTAATGTTTGCAATTGCCATGTTACCCTTAAATGGAAGACTTCAGCACAAATAATGAAATCTAAAAATTGTAAGGATTTTTTTCTCGGCTATGAAAGCCTCGAAATGACTCATGATGGGAACACCCCACTATAAGTCTACATTAATCATTTTATTAGAAAAACTTGAAAAGTTGTGGTGTATCCTAAGCAACATAACCTAAAATTTCCTTTACATAGTCCTGTAACCAAGGTGATGAATATTCAGAGCTTGTTCACCTATACTAGTCTGAATGATGCATAACCATTTACTGTGTTTACCAGTTAAATACACACTTTCCTAATATGAAATCTTAATTTTAACTTTTTCATTAACAATTTCAATCTCAAACTCAATATCAACTTTTCATTTTTAAAGTATAATGATAAATGTTACCAATAATAAACAAAACTGTGTGTGAAAAAGACATGAAATTCACCAATATCTTAATTACCATATCATTTCAATTATATATATAGAAATGTATTTCTTATTCACTCATATAACTGAAAGATTTTGAATTTGGAACTAGTTTAATAGGATGATCATAACCAAAGTATTACTCCTTAACTCATGGCACAAACCTTTCAGGTCAGATACTCAAGGAATAATATTTATATTGAATATTATTCTATTACCAGACACACGCTTATATGAGGCACACAATATTTAACCCCCTGCAGAAAGAGAATTTTCATTTTTGTGTTCTCTACTTGGTAATAAAAAGTAACCAAAATTAATTACATTATGTACTTTTACCAACTGCAGAATTTAGTTTATTTGGTTCAGATTTTAATAGGTGGCAACAAAGACTCATTGGCCTGTTGTCAGTATAACATTACTGAGTGGGGGGATCACTACTGTGTCCAGTTTATGACATTTCAATGAGATGGCACTATAATGTTGTCCCTTTATTAAATGTTATGAGATTTTTGCAAGTATCAATTAAACTGATAATGTTATTAAAATTTATTTGAATCACCAAAACTTATAGCATTGGTCACAGTATAAGCATTTGATTGTTAAAAAACAGCTGCTCTGACCGTTTCAACAAATTTGTACTTAGAACTAAATCAAGAGAATAATTGGTGTTGGACATTTCTATTTCTGAACAATTATTTGGTAGAATTGCAGTTACTGATATACTATAAAGTTTATATGTTAAAATGTAGTTTTCTCGTGTGCTTCCCAAATAACCTTCATTTATTTTTTTCGTTGCTAGACCTTGATTTCTGCAGATCTATTTCTATGATATCCTTGTTTTTCACCATTTTCTTACTGCTACATGACCTATGTGTTTGGAATTAATAAATAAATCAAAACCTCCATTCTGTTTCTTCCTTCTACTTTCTGTTTGGTATTTACATTGTATTTGCTTAAAGCTGAATACTCTACACATTCTAATGAGTGTACTCAGTCTGTCGACACATGAACAGTGGTGATGTAGTAAACTGTGTTTATTTTAGTGTTTGAATGCCAAGCGAGGGATAGGTTCTCAACTAAGCATTTCACCTTGATAAACAATTCACTATTTAACCAAAACACCGAGTAGTTGGACCATTATCTTGACAGATATACCTACAGTAAACAAGACATTACATTGTCACCCATTACACAGTAGTACATAGACATCTACTGACAGGTCTCATACTGTAGTAGGTATGTTGACAAATCTCACCTTTGTCAATTGTAGTGTACACAACATACCTTATCAACTTAATGTTCTGAAAAGAGCTAAAAACATTCAAATCTAAAGTCAGAATATTCATCAAAAGCTGCATGTTAGATAATCTTATAATGTTCAACAACTCATTCATCACATACTAAACTTTCATTGCTTTTTGCCGGGCCATTGTATTATTTGCTTTCAGGCATGCTTCAACTTGAAATAAAGTGTTTTTAATTTAAATCTAATGCACGGGTATACATGACAGATAAGTTTGCCGGCCTGGGACCCTGTATATGTTCCTACCTGTAGCCCTAGCCCTGATCTCTGCTTAAATCCAGAGCCCCACCCAGGGGACTGGCCAAGGTTACCTACCTTTAGTCTTGGGCACGTCCCCATCCATGACTCCTATGCACACAGAAATGCCACGCCTATTCTTCTGCTGCTGCCGCTACTACTAAGGTTTAAATTTAGTCAGGAAAACTTCTAGCTTCCAACAAGGTCAAGGTCAGTTGAGTGCATTCACTGTTACTGAAGATAACATTAGTAACACTGTAGTATGTGAACCGTGAAACCAGCCAAACATATACAGTGTGCATACCTCACATGTGAGTTATTAGGTGAAAGCAGAATTAGGGTCAAAATTATGGGAATTATGGTGTTTTGTTATGAATAAACTTTATAATATAAATAATGTGCAATTCAAACAAAGCTAGTACACAAAGAAGTGGTACTACATGACTAATGTTTATACAGTATGTATATATAGGTATGTGTATGTTAGCGACTGGCCCTACTCATGCCTCTCCAGCCATTCACACAATACACCCCACACAACACTTTAACCTACTTTAACCCTGATCAGACAGCTTTATGCCACTTGTCTCAGATAATGTCCACACCATACCAAACAGATAAGGAATGTCATATATCTTCTTTTTTTTCTGTCTCCAATACTGTGTACAACACTACACATACATATGGCCAGTCCCGAACACAATGACACACATGCTGAATAACACCACACTTTCAGAATGTGCATGAAAACTTTTATGTTTAGTATTACTAAATCAAATCAACAAAGTTAACAAACAGACTGTTTTTGAATCCCAGATCCAGTTAAGATTAATCAGAGAATAATTATATTGCACTTAACATTAAAGTTTATATTGTTAAATGATTTTTTTTAAAATTCTGCAACACTCCCTCCCACCTACTTAAATTTCAAATTGCAAACACCAAAGTTCTCTTTATACAAATAATCTAAAGAATTAATTCAGACTTATTTCTTCTTTATAATAACAACTTATGAACAACAAAATGTGGCCCCAGATGTTATACAAGCTCAAATAAAAATCATTAAAATTTTAACACTGTTTGGTCACAGTCAATTGTTGTATATTTTGTGTACATAATAATCAATAGAACATTGATCGTTGACAGGTAGATGGGGTGTCTCTATCTCTGTTAGGCAGATTAGACTTGACAGGCTTCATCAGTATTAAATTACATGTACAAACCAATCCTATTAGTCTTCCTCATGACTTCTAATACTCTACTAAATGTAATTATAATCTGGATAGACATTAAGCTAATTTGTATATTCAAGTTTCCCATGATAAAATTGATGCATTCTACAAACGATGACAGTTTTGGAAATGTCTGCAATTGTTTTAAATCAAACTTATTTCTGACTTATGCATCCATTTTATTTAGCTCCTTGCATATTTTCAGGCTTTTGCAACAACCTTCTTTTCTTAATTCATATCTATAATATATGAAGCTGATTTGGATACTTTAGCAAAACCTAACCTATTGCAAAATTGCTCTACAAAACTTTTTCATCTTAAATGTTTCCTCTTTTCTGTATTTCTATTTTACATTTCTCTTGACTGGGATATATCATCTACACTACTTGGTACATTCAACTCATGCAAGTCCTCCTACACTACACAGGGAGTAGTGGGACTTTATTTAGGTTATTAGTCATTATATTACTAGTGATTCATGTAATGTTTAATGTCTTGCTTCAGAACAATTGTCCACTTTAACCAACTTAAGACAATATGATTCAAAAGTTTCTATAGTACTCACTGAAATGGAATCTGCTTCAAATGCAACAATAAATGTGGGGTCCCCAACAGATATATTTTTTTATTTCTAATTTTCCAACATTCAAATGAATTAGATGGATTGCTAATTCACGATAAGTTACCCAGAAATATAAAATTGCTACCAATTAGTCAATAATTAGTTGATAAGGTAAAGTGATTTTTAACCATCACTGTATCTTGTCTGCTCATAACCTCATCTTTACCTCGCCACATATTACACTGTCTTGCCAAGTCAATTAAAGAAGTATTGTAACAAAAAGTTTTGGAACTGCACCAATTGATAATTGAAGATGAGATCTACTCAACCCTGAGTTTGAGATGAGGTCCGAGAAAATCTACAGGAAGATGCTACCAACTGTATTCATGAGCTGTCTAGTCATGTCAAGATTCATTTAGGAAAACAAGCAACTTCAGATACCGTTTTTGTGTTATTTTTCATACCTTAACCTGACTTACCCACTGGTGGTACCTGACAAAACCTGTACTAGAGATTTAGTCATAGATTTAATATAGATATAACTGTATCACTATATACCACTTGGCATTCCTACCTCTGTTTATTTAATATCTAATATTACAGACAGCTGTAACCTCTTATCAACACAGCAAAGTGTTAAAAGATACTGGCTGACAGCTAATCAAGGATTTATCACAGTAGACAAATACAGAGCAACAAGACAAGACTGCTGAAAATCAAAACAGCGATAACTGCATTGTAGTATACTTCTTACACAACTACTATATCACTACACAATGCTGTATCACATCAGCACACAATATAACACACTATGTATTAGGACATAATAAACATTTATAATTATCACGACAGAATAGTGTATAACAGTATCAATTCAATGCTATGTCACTCTGTCACACAGCAGATTATACCAAAGTATCAACTCAATGCTGTATCACTGTCACATCAGCAGATCATACCAACGTCACAACTCAATGCTGTATCACTCTATCACACAGCATATTATACCACAGTATCAACTCAATGCTGTATCCCTCTATCACACAGCATATTATACCACAGTATCAACTCAATGCTGTATCACTGTCACACAGCATATTATACCACAGTATCAACTCAGTGCTCTCGATCTGCCAGGTTTGGGGCCAAATATTCCCAATGCCAAATAGTATCTTTTTTCCCCCCAGTTTTGACCCCCAGTTTTCCCCAATTCTAAGAAAAACACCATTTTTTTCCCCAATTCTAAGGGCCCCGGGCCCCAGTCCCAAAATGGGGTGTGAGAGCCCTGCAACTCAATGCTATATGACTAAAACACAGCAGATCATACCACAGTATCAACTCAATGCTGTATCACTCTAAAACACAGCATATTATACCACAGTATCAACTCAATGCTGTACCACTCTATCACACAGAATATTATACCACATTATCAACTCAATGCTATATGACTCTAAAACACAGCATATTATACCACAGTATCAACTCAATGCTGTATCACTCTATTACACAGCAGATTATACTACAGTATCAACTCAATGCTGTATCACTCTGTCTCATCAGCAGATTATACCACAGTATCAACTCAATGCTGTATCACTGTCACATCAGCAGATCATACCACTGTAACAGCTCAATGCTGTATCACTCTATCACACAGCATATTATACCACAGTATCAACTCAATGCTGTATCCCTCTATCACACAGCATATTATACCACAGTATCAACTCAATGCTGTATCACTCGGTCTCATCAGCAGATTATACCACAGTATCAACTCAATGATGTATCACTGTCACACAGCAGATTATACCACAGTATCAACTCAATGCTGTATCACTCTTTCACACAGAATATTATACCACAGTATCAACTCAATGCTGTATCACTCTATCACACAGCATATTATACCACAGTATCAACTCAATGCTGTATCACTCGGTCTCATCAGCAGATCATACCACTGTAACAGCTCAATGCTGTATCACTCTATTACACAGCAGATTATACCACAGTATCAACGCAATGCTGCATCACTCTGTCTCATCAGCAGATTATACCACAGAATCAACTCAATGCTGTATCACTCTATTACACAGCATATTATTCCACAGTATCAACTCAATGCTGTATCACTCTGTCTCATCAGCAGATTATACCACAGTATCAACTCAATGATGTATCACTGTCACACAGCAGATTATACCACAGTATCAACTCAATGCTGTATCACTCTTTCACACAGAATATTATACCACAGTATCAACTCAATGCTGTATCACTCTATCACACAGCATATTATACCACAGTATCAACTCAATGCTGTATCACTCGGTCTCATCAGCAGATCATACCACTGTAACAGCTCAATGCTGTATCACTCTATTACACAGCAGATTATACCACAGTATCAACGCAATGCTGCATCACTCTGTCTCATCAGCAGATTATACCACAGAATCAACTCAATGCTGTATCACTCTATTACACAGCATATTATTCCACAGAATCAACTCAATGCTGTATCACTCTATTACACAGCATATTATTCCACAGTATCAACTCAATGCTGTATCACTCGGTCTCATCAGCAGATCATACCACTGTAACAGCTCAATGCTGTATCACTCTATTACACAGCAGATTATACCACAGTATCAACGCAATGCTGCATCACTCTGTCTCATCAGCAGATTATACCACAGAATCAACTCAATGCTGTATCACTCTATTACACAGCATATTATTCCACAGTATCAACTCAATGCTGTATCACTCTGTCTCATCAGCAGATTATACCACAGTATCAACTCACTGCTGTATCACTGTCACATCAGCTCTGTATATCAATTATCAACCCAATGCTGTATCATCGTATCACATCAGGATACTGGTTATCAACAAAACATAATATGTTGTATCACAGTTGATAATACAGTATCAGAACCTACACAAGTATTGCTTTATCTTGTCAGCACAGTATCACATATCACAAATTATCGATGTAAGACAAAATACTGCCATCACTATATCAACAGAAATACTGTATCATGATATCAGCATCTGTTGAATTAAAAACTTCCCTAAAAACAAAGAATACATTATACCTAAGAAAATTAATATCTAATTTCTTGCAGTTGTCTCAACCTAGATTGATTGCTTGTTCACATTTAACATGTGTGACAAGAGACACACAGCTGGTATATATCGGTTTACAAACGAGCAAGCTTCATACAATAACATACTTTTTAGCTGGCTACATCAATATAACAATTAAATGTATACATATTCTAGCTTCTGTACAGCAATCTCCTATAATTAGTAACATGCAGGGAGAATGGGTAAATACCTAGTATGTTATGAGGGTAGTTTTATAAATAATAATGTATATATATTATATAGATAATACATTATACATGTAGATGATAATATAATATGTTAAAAGTTATTCAATTCAGAGTTACCCTGGTAAGTATATAATAATTTAAGTATAAGTAGAAGAAACATTAAGCAGTGATATTATTTCTTGAACAGAATAAATCAAAGATAAATCAATTAGAGACATTATAATAACAAATCTGGTGCTCACTTTACAGCAAGCAGAATGTGTGACTCACTGAACATTTTTAAATGCATTTAGAAGAAATTAATCAAATAAAGTTATGAGTATACAAAAAACATCCAAATTTTATTTTTTTTACCATAACTTATATATCACTGTACATGTAGTCCACTGCACCACTAGAATCCAGTCATTAAAAACCTAAAGTAGATATAATATAACCTAAAGAAAATATGAAAAAGCAACTATACTCTTAACCTGAGTGACATCAGCTTTATATTCCATTGAAACTGTAAAATATGTCTCCAAACATTTATGTAGGTATTTATTGACAACCTGTGCACTGAACTCATTCTGTGGGGCATTAAAAATATTCTTTTCATATATTCCACATTTTCTAGTTTGCCTTGAAATACTCTTTGATAAAGGAATTCATCATTTTTATAAATAATTGTATTACATATTATCCAGTGAAATATATCCATTGAAATCTTGTGTCATCGCTAAAGATTATATAATGTTACTTTTCCCCATGGTGATGTAACTAGTAGTTTTGACTGATGTTGCTTTCTTATCATTGCATTGAAATTTGACAATGTCATGGTTAGATTTTAAGGAAACAAAGATTAAATAAGCTGGTTTTCCATCAATTTTTTCCTGTATATATTTTTGGTTTTCTCTTATTTGGTACATAGTAAGTTTTATAATTGATTCTTACCAGACCAAATAAAGTAGCCAATTCAAAATGCTGTTGTCTTGTTGACATGCATAACATCAAACTATTTGACATCAAAGAATGTTCTAATATTTTTCTAACTTCATTTACATACTTTATTTTTCATTATATAGAATAAAAAATAATGATTTCCCATTAAATATTGTATATGAATGTATTCTGCCATGCAAATGAAACATATTTTTTATGATACTACACATTAATGGGAAACCATGAAATATCCCCTATTTTTTAATGAGCAGAAGCGTGGGAGAATAAACACTTTGAAAATCAGAATTTTGTGTTTAACTGTTTAAAATCTGCTGAAGTTGGCTAGTCATCAGTTCTCTTTATGAAAGACCAACAAAGAAGATATCAATATATATGGCCAGTGACTGTATTATACGTCCCTGATATGTCTAAATGCTTACATTTACGAATGTTCTGTAGTATGAAATAATTAACAACTACGCGTATATTGAATCTCTATCAAATGTTTAAGCGTTTTTGTTCTTGTCTTTGTGCAAATTTACTCCATCGGTGTCTGGCCATTCTGTAGCATCATTTCAAGAAATATAATAACACGGTTATGAATTGAAGACAGGTTCCATTTGTAACGATTAACCGCATCGTTATTTAGTGAGAGATCGCCGCCATCGGTCGATAGAGACCGGCCGGTACAACAACCCCTCGGCTAAAAGCATCACGGTAACTTCAGGTTAGAGACAATTATATGCAAAGTATTGATTTTCAACATCGTTAAACGTTAGTGCATTAGTTGTCATGCGTGTTAATACATACCAACACCACTAGATATAGATATTAGTGAGGCATCTTCCATCTCGTACATGTGTAAAGTGGATCCGGGCATGAGATGTGTAAAACGTCATTGAGTTTGAAGCGTATGCGAAAATAAGATCTTAAATATTGAGAAAAAATGTATTCCATAAATATCTGATGGATAAAGGTTAACAATATAATGCATGTTATACAGATCTTAAAACTCTCTGATCACATTTAATCTTTAAATGTAATGATATCATTATTATATACGAAACAATGGCTACATATGTCTACGTCAGCAGTTTATGAGCGCGGGAATAATTGAAAGTGAAAAATGATGATGAGAGGTAGAGTTAGGTGAAGTATAAAATTGCTTGAAGTCATGGAAGCATAGCTTTTACAATAGCAGAAAACTTGCACCAATTATAATTCAAACGATAAGCCCAAACCATATCATCGCAAATTGGGAAACTGACAGTATCGATATGGAGTCAATAAGATGTGATGACAAGAAAAAAGAAGACGAGGTGAAATGTAAAGCTAAAGGTCGCGAGTTTCTTGCTTCGTTCTGTTCACCCGATGAAGATGAATCCGATCAGGATTATCACACGAAGACTACTGGGGAGATTTTGCCATTTTCAACTTATACATCACCTATACTTAAAGTTTCCCCACGTGACAAACTAAATGCTCTTAGAAGCCCAGACCGAAATCAAGGATATTCTCTGGTAGGTCACGTTGAAATTTCATAGTGCTTTGACCTTAGGCACATGTCACAGGTTTCCCTCAAAAGTCGCCATGGTAAGCACGTTCAGTAAACTGTTAGGTAAATTAATTGTTGAAATTCAAGATGAGTTGTAAAGAAGTGACGTCATAGCAATACAGGTTGGTGAGATATGTTTATTATGACTGTTTCATTTAGTTTACATGAAAATATGTGAAGTCTTCACAAAATGAACACTTCTACATTGATGTGAGTTTTTCCACAGTATTGTAAGGGTAAGCTAGTCTGAAAGTGGGTTGGGGTAAACCTATATGCCTCCGAAGGTTCATATCATGATTTCAAATATTTATAACTTATAAGATCTTTAATATTCACGTTATTGTAAGACTTGGATTTCGGGATGGGTGGTTAAAGCATCTGGCCATCGTTATCACTTGTCCTCACTTGTGCGTTGAGGGATTGAGACCTACATGGGGTACATAACTGGCTGTCACTTTTTTTCTCTCTGAGAACTCCATCTTTCTTCTACCACCTTAACATGGCATGCCCTTAAATTACCCAAGCTGTAGGATGCAAAGCAACAAAGAAATAAACCAAACTTTTATTACCTGAATATGCAAAATGATTTGTAACAGTGTCACCAGGTAAGGGAAACTTAAATGTAAGACTGTTACTGCATTCCTAGTTACTGAATAATAAGTTTAAATGCCATTTTTAAGATCCTTGCTGTGAAAATGTTTTGATCTAATGTTGTGTGAAGTAAGAAATTGAAATTTTACCAAAGGTTCGACCAAGGAGAATGGCTCAAACAGTGTATAGAACTAGTAAATTGGCAACACAATTGACCAGGACACAAAGTATGCTGTCCCCTGTTGCTACCAAATTGATGAGGTTAAAGCACAAGAATGACAGAACTCCCAACACACTGTTACGTATTGAGAGGCATCGACAGAATGAAAGGTAAACATACTATTGATTACTGATCATTTATATTAAAGCTGAAGATGAAGATATCATGAAAACAATGGAAGAAACCTGTATTATTAATTTATATTACTCCCAGTGGAATGAACAAATTTATGAATAGATTCATCAATATAAATCAACACAATATCTGTAAAAGCCATAAAGTAATCATATAAACATGAATAGATGATTATATTATCAATTTCAGAGTCCGTCATCACTCTTTGAATAAGTCTATGATGAATGTTTGCAATAAGGTTCCCGGAATTGGAAACTTCCTGAAAGAAACTAAGGTAAGGATGTCAAAAGGTTACCATCAGAAGTTCTCATATGGCCAAATTTGAATATTATAATGGCTGATAATGACAATATACATACAGCACTAAAGCTGCCACATGAAAATGTCCATAACTTCCTTTCAAAGTTGTGGGAAAAAACTTTCTTTGGGCGTATTTTTTTTTTCCTCACCAAATATCAATTTTTTTCAAATGGAATTAAATCTTGCCTATTTGAATTCTGTACAAACTGTCCTGCTCCTCCTGAAGGTGTACAAACATGCTATGTTCATTTGATGGTTTATTCAAATTTGTTTCAACTTCTATGTACTAGGGTAATAGATATGTTTAAGAGTGTGACATTAAAATCTTTTGTAACTTCTCTCCTGATGTAAAATTCATTCATTATTTACAGGTAGTGATGATGCAAAGGATCATTGCTTATATCTGCTACTTAGAAAATACTTTACAAAGTGTTTGTGACAACTTGGGACTCAGAATTTCACAACTCAGACTTCCTACAAACCTCCTCACAGAACAGTGGCAGCCTAATGCAGGTGTGGATTTTCCGTATTCCTTCAAGTCAAACCTGCAAATTTCACTGATAATTTTTCTTGTTATGCATTCAAAATGCATTACCTTTTAAGGTTACTTTTCTGTTAATTTGTGAAACAAATTTGCACTTGGAATTTCTGAAGTGGTAGAAGTGTTTAAAGTCAGTACATTTATGATGTTATAAATGGTTCAGCATGATACAGTTTTCTGTAAAGGATAGTAGAGGTTACCCTCATAACCTTCATTGCCTATTAAAAAGGAGATGACTAAGTTTGTCATTCTTGTTATAAAAATTATTTGAAAGAAAAGAAATATTTTTCACAATACTGGCCATGGATATGGTCAATAAGTAATAACTTCTTTAAAATCATTTTATGAAATACATCTTATTTAATACAAATACCAGGTAAAGACTTATTGAGCCATCTTAAAATTAATTTAATTAGCTGTGTTTTAAATGTTAGAAACATATTGTCTCTGATCTTTCTAGATAGGTCAAAAGCAAAGGCGTCGACTGTTGGATGTTCCAAACCTAGCAGACTAAGAGTAAATTTAAAAGAAAGTATTGGCTCATGTATGAGACCATATCGTGTGAGTGTGACTTTCACAATTTGTGGATTAGATTTTTCTTATAAATGGTTTTGAGTACTAAACATTTCACTACTGTCATTGAGTTACCTATCACTAAAACTTAAGCAACTTTATAGTTTCAAATGAGAAACAAAAGGACATCAGTATAGTCAATAACTCTACTATCTAGTTGAATTTTGAAAATTTCGAAATTGCCATCATTTGCAGCCTGCAAGCAAATGCATATTGAAACAAATAATGGGGGGGAAATGCATGAAATTTTTCTGCAGAAATCAGTATAGTGGTATGAAAATATTCATACATGTATTTAGATGGCATCAAAGTTATAATGATACCACACTGGGAAAAGGTTATTAAAAAGTTATACACCTAGATCAAGAATGAACAGCTGACATTAAGTTTTTTTTTGTTAACTTAAGACACGGAATAAGTTGTTAAAGCGGCTGGAACCAGTTGCCAAACGTCATCTCAAGGTGTCCTCCCCTACCATTGACTCCACCACAGACAACACCACACTGGAACTCAACCAGAATCTGTCAGACACTTGCAGTTTTGAACTTCCACAAGTAAAGGAGGAACCTGTAGATTGCCACAGTTCCAGTGGTACGATGGATTTTCAGCGTATTGAGAAACCTTATGGAGGTAGCATTCTTTTGTCATTTTGTTTGTATCTGAAACATCACAATATAAGAAAATATGACAGGAAAGCATCACACATGTACTGTAAAATAATTTATTTGTCTGGACAAAAGATATAAAAAAAATTACATAGGAAGCATGTACATTAAATCAGTAGATATTATTAACATACATATTGGTGGTAAAATCTAAAAAATATGTATATATCGGTATGCATTTCAGATGACATGGATGTTTTCCTTGATCACAATGCATGTGCTGCACCATCCAGTATAGAGGACACACCTGCTTACTTTGTATGTATATTCCTACTCTTGTCAAATGAAGTACAGTTACTTATATATCAACCAGAATAGCTACCTGTCATATCTAGAAAAAAATAACTACATGTATATATTTTAAAATGGAAACATATTGCTATTGAGAATTGGTTTCAAAATTACAAATCAGCTGACTATGCAGGCCTCTGTACCAACATAACATGTAAATGGTTTTACGTTTTACTCATTTAATTACTAAAAAAATTCTTTATCTTAAATGGAAAAGTAAAAGGTCACTTTAATAAGAAGTTTTCTGTCATTTTAAATTTCATTTCATCTATAACATGTGGAACAGACTGAAGACTTCCTTCCAACATCAACAACCCTTGACAATTTCCCTGATGCCTTTGAGTTGATGTCTAGTCCTCTTGGAGCTAGGTCTAAATATGTCTTGCTTAGTCCTAAACTACGGGCAATGGTGAGTAAATAATGGTACACTAGTGGCTATGTTTATAAAAGTACATTAAATATCATCATAACTCATTAACATTAATGCATCAAATGTGACATCAAAAAGTAAATTAATCAAGACAACAGCCTGTAGTCATCACTGGATATCAGCCATATTGTCATCATTGGTGAGTCAGACAAAGTGCCAAACTGTATAAGTCTAGTATATGAGTTTCCATCCAGACTGAGAAGTCAGACCAAGTAAGCCTTGATCAAATTGGGAGTCAAAGAAAATATAGAATAGTGTCCAGCAAATTAATGACAGTTGTGACCCAAAACAAATAAATGAATAATGAAGAGTCAAGTTAAAAGCATGATTTTGGCAGGACCTTGCAAACTGGACAGTGATAACCTTGAAATTATCCATGTGTCAACTTGTAAAACAGGACAGCCTCACAGATTTCGGAATTAGAAGTGACAAGAAAGACTTTGTTGAGCAATGGGAAAACATCCATGAGATGAGGACCATATCCCCAGAATGTGTCCTTCCAACCACTCCAAGCCCTCATGTCCATTCCATGCTGCATGACAGCTGTGGCTTCAGGACCTTTCACCAAGTGACTCCATACCAGTCATCAAATGATGATATTCTTCGTACACCAGACAAGAGCACCTTAAAGCTGAAGAACAAACGAAAGCAATACACCCCTCACCGGTCACCATTCCATAATCTCACAAACTTTAGCAGCCAGTCCACTATGGCATCTACAGACAGTGAAGAAGACCAGCCTTTGTCTGTGGTGCTTCCCAAGCACAAGAAGCCAAAGTCTCATCTTCCTTTGGTCAGACCTTCCAAAAGTAGGTTCTTTCTTTACATTATTAACACAGCTTGAAATTCATGTGCATGTACTTCATAATACTCTTTTAATAAAACCTACAAATACATCTTACAACAAGTGATAAAAAAGAAAGTCATAGTATTTCTGTTTTTCAATATACAAGAAATTGCCAAAACTGTTTGTTAATTTCTTATTAGCACAAATACGACAAGGCAAAAAGTTTGAAATTCAGGATTGTGGAGTCAAGATCACCATTACTATTATTGGAAAATTGTAATCAGTTCTCTAGTTGCTTCATTCCTTACAGGATTTTGATAAAACCTCACATGCTGACAAATGACCATAACACATTCTTACACATTGGTGATGATTGTCAGATTTTCACATTTATTTTGTTGCTCCATCAAAACCAATTGTAACAACTTGTATACATTCCTCTTTTTATTTCCAAATTAACCCCAAGCAGCACAAACTTTATAAATTGTTATAGTGTAATAGGTTGTGGAGGCAACACTCAATACTCAGTATGTTTGTTTAAACAATAGGTATAAATGCTCTGTACCAGATGATGCATACACAGCATTATGCGAACCTTTCATCGTCATTTCAGAAAGACAAAAATATGCCGGGATCTTTTCCTGTTTTGTGAAGCTTTTCTTAATTTAGCATGTGCCTGTACATTTGTTACAGTCGATGAAGATTTTGTCTCCTATGTACCATACATCTGGAAGTTTCACAATACTGCAATCACACGCAGACAAAAAGCAGAGGCAGCCAGGCTGGAGGCTCAGCTCTTCTCATCCTCCTCCTCAGACATTCGTCAGGCAGATCAAAGGCATGGATCTTGGACCTTATTTTCAATATGTTGATATGTAGTTATGTTATTCTGAGTGAAAAAGTCTGTTTCCATGAAAATTATATGTATATATTGTAAAGAAGGGGATCACACAATATTATGTATCCAGTTAATAGGATGTCCAGATTACTTAAAACTGTTTAGGCATATTGTAAGTCATTGTACACTTTGATATTCCAGTGTACATGCTGGCGGAGAGTTCATTCATAACTAACTGTAAACTAGAACTGTCATCCTGAGGATAAAAACTAATACCCCCTGCAGATGCAAAGACATCTATATACCAAATTTGATCAAAACTTCATTAAAAAAAAGTAAAAACAACAGTTAAAAAATTAACATTTGGCATTCCCTGATACCTCTATATACAAAATAAGGTAAATATCTGACAATATCTAAATTTCAACCAATAAGAGGCTACAGTTTGCCTTGCCATAGTTGCCATGTCAATAAAACATATTTCAAGTCAGTTAGTATTGAAAAATGGCTATTTCTCACAATGCTTAGTCGGACAAAATTGTTTTAATTTTTTATATAAAACCTCTCTGAAAAGGTTGTTGGGATGCAAAGTCACTTCAGGGGGCATATCTCCATATTGTGCTGACCATTCGCACAAACTCTTTGAAAAGATCCAATGTAAACTAATAAATAATCAGAAAGGCATGGTGACCCAGTATACCCCCGACCCCAACTTCCTTGTGGAGTGGGGTGGGGTTATAATGAGCTTTTAAGAATGTATTAGCAGAGATTACTTGACAAAATCAAGTTTCTGAAATTGATCTTATTTCTCTGCTTGCTTGATAGTCTCTGTCTGTGTATTGCTGGTAATAAATGTGTAGAACTGATGACTCGATATACTCAACAGTATGCAAATATGAACAGACTTACAAATGACTTTCCCTTTTTCAGTGCATTTTTGGAATTTTTCCCTACTGATACTGCTAGCTGTGTTCTAAGATGCAAAATTTTCAGATTTGATCTTGTGCAGACATAATTTTTACTTTCGCTGTGAATTATTGGGAGGAGATATTAGATGCCTGTATAGTACAGAATATATGTAATGTAATCCTTGTCCTTGCCATCCTTGTTGGTACTCTTATAGGAATTTTGACCAAACTTCACAACTATAAAGACCCATTTGAATTTCAGGGTTCTAGATCTAGAATTGCTTTTCAGGTCAAATGTTAAGGACCCCTGATAGTAAATTGACTAATAATGCATGTTCTTTGGTCCAAACCAACTTCACAAAGTGCTCCTCTTCCAATATGGCTTTTTTGCGATTATTTTTGATTTGAAAGCGTGAAGGTGAAGATCACTTACTGTAAACAGCAAATTTGTTTCCATGGATTTCTTGAGTTCTCTTCGACTGATCAATCTCAAGCTTCACACACTGCTTTCTTAAATGACAGTGCTTGTTACATTTGGATTACTCTACAATTTAAATGTTACTTTAGGTCAAAGTTACTGTTTAATACCTAATAAAGAGAAACAAGACTGTAACTAAGTTCTGTCCTTCTGAGGGTTTAGTATTGTTCATTAGTACCTTGCTATAATTGCATAAAAGTCAAATAGTACTTGAATTTTTCATTCTTTTCCTAGAGTCAATTATTAGTTCTGGGATAGGGTCTGAGACAAGAATCGCCTACCACTAACTACTTTTGCTTTAATATATCAAGTAAAATATGTAAATAATGAATTATAGCATATATGTTGTACACAAACAACTCTAAACATGTATTTCATTTGAAGGCACGACAAGCACTTGGCAGTTACCAGACCCAATAAAATTGACCATCGGAAAACAACCTGGATGAATGGCTTCATGATGTTCAGCAGACTTAACAGGAGGACATTTATTGAGTATGAAACATGCAGAATTATTTCCATTCATTTGTCAAGGATATATTAATGTCCCTCTGTCAGGTGTACTCTTTGTTTTCTTTTTTTTCTATGGGTACCTTGCATATTTCCTAGTTAATCAAATGATTTTCTTTCAAACATTGTCAAATGGAATTGTCATAATGTGCAGTAATTTTTGGCTCTGTAAAACCTATACCTTTTCATGCTTCCTGTCATTTGATAGGGAGGATGGGAGCATATAGTATTATCAATGTCAGTTTGTAATAATGAAATATACATGTAGCTATGATAATTTTCCCCTGATGGTTGAAAGATGTTTGTCTTATGATATTTTCTGTGAATAATGTTTCTACATGTACAAATTATACATTAATTCTTTAGTTTTGGTAGTAAAGGACTACAATTCAGCAGAACTTCTGAAATTGAAATAAAGGAAGACAAAAGTTTTTACTGTTACCAATACCTGCCATGAGACTTATTGTATTCCTGTTTTCATTTTATTGGACCTGCCCTTTTGCAGATCTGGTGCTAGTACTTTAATTGAGTTTTATTACTTGTATTATAGTGCTAACCCTGGTATCCACACATCTCATATCAGTAAAATGATGGGCCATGCCTGGAGAAACATGTCTCCACAGGAACAACAGCCTTACAAGTAAGCCAGAGATCACTCTCAAAACTTTTTCAAATTTAGTGGTATAATTCCCTAAACTAGCATTACAAGTAAGCCAGAGATCACTCTCAAAACTTTTTCAAATTTAGTTGTATAATTCCCTAAACTAGCATTACAAGTAAGCTAGATATCACTCTCAAAACTTTTTCAAATTTCAGATGTATAATGCCCTTACAAGTAACAAAAAGGTCTTTCTAAAAAGTCTTCAATATTATAAATCTCAGAGAGTTAAAAAAAAAAATGAAATACCGGTGGGTCATATTCATCCAATTTAATCAATTTGATATAAAATATGATTACAAATGTAGGTAATGTTTCCATGTAGTATGCATTTAAAAAGAAAATCACTGAATTTTACAGGGAGAAAGCCAAAGACTATGCTCGGCATATGCAACCTTGTGATGGGAAGGTTCCATTACAGGATGATGTACCCCGAACACCTGTGGTATCCAGCAGTGGCCTTAATGTCTCTCTGAACAACAGTGATGCTGACGAAGAAAAAGTTTCATGCTCAATCCTCGAATAGTGCTACTCTAAGTTACTGAACTGAAATCTCATGAAATTCCTAGTGTATACATCAACAAGAACGCTCTGTTGCATCAATTCATAAGGGAAGTTGACTAGAACATACTGTTACAATATTTAATATGAAGTCTATGTATTTTCTTGTTTATATGCAAAGAAAAAAGTCTTTCAGTTCCCAATGTATTAAATAACAAACACTATAATGATAAATTCAAGATATTTTCATGAGAATGACTTAAGATTACATAGGCAATATGGACTACATGAAAACCGATACTTTTCATTCTCCCACTTTTTGTAAGTATAGGAAGGAGTATATCATACGAGTGTCACCCCATAATCAAATCATAGGTTTTTTTTGTGACCCATCAATGACACTGTTGATTTGACATTTTTTGAAAATCAATACAACTTATACAAACAAATGACATGTTTTTTACCCATTCTTGTGTGTCTACATCATCTAAAGTAAATATAAGACAAGTTATCAAAGATCAGGTTGAAGCAAAACATCAAATTTTTACTTTCTCATCAACTACATATTACATTAACATGGTTGTATACACACAGTTCCTTCAAGGTTTTTGTTTTGCTTCTTCTTTTAATTTTGAAAGTTTTAAAAAGTCAAATAATATGCATGCTGGTCTTTGAAGGCCAATAGAAAATGTCTTGAAAATTATGTATAAACTCACCTGACCCACTACCATCTGTCATTTTTTTCAACAAGACGCTGCTAGTCATAAACGACTTAGGGGATTTTAACCAAATTTGGTCAGAAGCATCCTTAGGAGAAAGGGAACATATTTTGTATAAATGGTGTGTCCAAATTTGGTGTTATTAATGTGCTAGTGAAGGGGAATCAATTTTGCATAAATGATGGATGTCGGCCTCCTTGGGCAGGAGGGGAGGGGCTTAATAAGGGAAATCTGTTTGAAAACAGTTTTGTTTCCCATCCCATGACCATGTACATCATTTATGGGCATAAAGAGATAAACACAATCATGATGTAAGAATTGGCTCTGGGGACTTAGTTTCTTTGTTGTATCTTTGAAACAGATGAGATACCAACCCTTTAACCATATATAGTAATGACGGGCATCAAGAGATAAACACAATCATGATGTTAGAATCAGCCCTTGGGTGTGGCCTCATCCCCAGGGACTTGGTTTCCTTTATATATCTGTGAAGCTGTTGAGATTGCCACCCCAAACCATATATGACAATGCTGGTCATCAAGAGATAAACACATTCAGAATGTAAGAACTGGCCCTTGGGTGTGGCCCTACCCCTCTTGAGTTAATTTCTGGGTGATATCTTTGAAACAGTTGAAATTCCAACCCAAAACCATATGTAGATATAGAATAGCTTTGTATAAAGAGACAAACACATTTGTTCTGCAAATATTGACCCTTGGGTGTGACACACCTCAAAAGGACATTATTTCTTGGTCATAATGTTTGAAATAGTTAAGATACCAACCCAATTAACCATATAAATTCTTCCTGGGAATCAAAGAGAAAGACAGTAATGATAAAGAATTTACCCATTGGTCTTGACCCATCAAAGAGGTTAAGTGACTGAGCTTTAATTTGAAAACATTTGAAATACCCTGTTTATAGGCATTTATAACATTTCTGGACTTTATTATCCTGATAAGTGATACATGCCCTATGGACTTCTTGTTTTTTTCCCTGAATTACATACAAAATTGATTCCCAAGAATCCATCTATATGGTTGCCATCATTTTTTTTATAACTGACCCAGCACCATATGTTACAAATCATGCTTTGTCATTACACGAGATAATACAAATCATGCTTATTTATGTTTAAATTAAATAGATTAAGCATGTATCATACATGAACACTGGTAATATTATTGATTTTGTAAAAAAAATGTTTTCATCACAACTTGTACTTGAGTGTGGTATGAAACTAAATCTCAGAACATTGTATATGCAAGCAACAACCCTTCAGGCTTATCTGTGCATCATTTTTGTCTTACTTCACAGGTTGATAGTTGTTTTATACCTTGTGTGTTTATGTACATTTGTGTACATGAAAGTTCTTTGCTCTGAAGTCAGGGTCATTTAAGTGTTTATTAACAACCCATCAGGCCTCTATATGCAATCCTCAGATTTTAGGTTCCGTTATAGTGTTTTCATTAATACTTTGTATTACAATCACGTCTTTGTGGAATTTACTGACTATCATGTATATGGAAGTGAAAGTTCAATCTAAAGCCTGAAAAGGATTAATACCAGAGACTCTAGTTTTGTGACTATATTACATTCATTACTATTATCAGTTAGTCAATAATAAGATATATAGCTTCCAAATTTTGTTTCCATAAGTGCCTCGTAAAAGGCTGACTTTTGAATCAGTGTGTTCATGAATGACACTTCACTGATGACATACAATATCACTGTACAATGATAAAAATACCACTGGAGTACAATGCGCTAATTGCACACGACAGTGAAAGATGTATGTTGTTAAAGTGTTCTCCATAGATACATATTGAAGTTACTTAACAGGAGGTCATTAATGATACTGCATTTACTTTCATTCAAACCCTAGTTTCCAATAAGTAGAAAAAGTGAACCGTGCAAGATTTAGACAACAAAATAAGAGCGACAGCCTTAAGGCAAAATTGTTTCATATACTTCAGATGGTATCCATCATTCTTGCGTCCAAGTGGTAAACAATTGATTATCAAATCAATGTATGATTGGCTTTTTCCATGAACAAATAAAAGTTGAAAATTGTTTTGAAGTCTAGAACCTATATATTTCTGCATGTACCAAGTGTATGTGTACAATGTTATACGAAAAATGGCCATGTACAAGTTTGTGGTGTCTGATTAGCATACATGTGCTTATTATCACGAAATCAATGATCATTCTTGGGCCTGGTACATATATTTACTGTGTGATAAAAAGTACACAATACTTTGTACCTTCATATAAGATATATATTTTCATTTTAACTCTCGATAGATATAATTTGATCTCTTTGTTCTATTATTGTGTTTTTGCTCTGGAATTTAGTCAGATTCTGTTTCTTACGTTTTATCTTATGTCATACAAAAAAATAAACTGTAGGACATCAACTGAAGACTTTCTTGTATCTTGTATGTCTGAAGTGGTCAGTACTGATTGCTGTCAATTTTAAAGACTGACAATGCTGAGTTCAGCTTGATATTGATGCATGCAAAATACACTCTATCCACATAAAGTTTGTCGCGGTGAAATCACAAAATATAGAGAATATGACTTACTCTACATCAGTTTCTGTGAGATAGCAAATGCCTTTTTTTTGTTGTACAGTTACTGCTAGCGGACTACTTCATCAGATACAATTTTTGACAAAGTACCCAAACTGCTGTATCATTCACCTGTTCTGTAGCTTATACCATCTTCACATAATGTGTACAGTTACTGCTAGCGGACTACTTCATCAGATACAATTTTTGACAAAGTACCCAAACTGCTGTATCATTCACCTGTTCTGTAGCTTATACCATCTTCACATAATGTGTACAGTTACTGCTAGCGGACTACTTCATCAGATACAATTTTTGACAAAGGACACAAACAGCTGTATCATTCACCTGTTCTGTAGCTTATACCATCTTCACATAATGCAAAGTGATCTGTTCTTACAAGCAGGTATTGATAGTTTCATCATTTGCTTGTGAGAGTAATGTCATTAATTTGTGAGAAAATAACTTAATTTTATCGTACAAACTTTGAAATAATGATCAGTATCTGCTCACAAGAGCAGACAACAATGCATTATGAAGATGAAAATTAAGACAAGTCCTCTTTCCAGCATACTACTTGAAAATTACAATTAAGAAATAGTGATTATAAGTCCTCAACTAGGAACCAAGGGGAATATATATATATGAAAGATCCATTCAGTACTTACCAAGAAGGGATAAAACATTTACATTGTCAAAATTAAAGATTGCTGCCTGTCAGCTATTTTGTTTTTTCTGATCAGTCACAAAATCAAAAGGGTACAAGTAGAGATCTTGGGGAACCTTCATATGAAATTTGAGAAATCTCTATCCAGTACTTCTCAAGAAGTAGCAATGACAATTTATTAATGTAAATTCTTTTAAACAAATTTAATGGGCCCTTCATCGAAGCATACTTGACCCCACTGATCTAAAAGTTGGTCATGATCTTTCTTCTGAAGTAACTTGCTTGTCTTGTTACTGAGCATGCAACATGTATCAAATTGATGACTTTAAACCATTTAACTGTTCGAGACATTTAGAGGAGAATGTTGATGACAGACTGACGATAGATGTCGCACCAAGGCATGAGGTTATATGCCCATTGGGTGTGTGAGTGGAAGTAGTCGAGGGATTTTGATTGCGACCTAAGCATCTGTAACAAAAAAACAATAAATGTTGAAAACTTGTTTTATAATTTTTATTTGACTTTCTGAGGCCAATATTTTGTAACAATTTTCCTGTAACGTTTTATTCAACTGCTTGTTGACATCTGTATTTACTATCAGTATCAACATAAGCTATAACATAACAGTTCCTTACTAAATTAAGTAAGAAAAGTGAACTATAACATCACATTAGTCCTGTTTCACTTGGTAGACCGTTTCATTCACCAGTTGAATTAAAACTTTGTAGTTCCAAATATCCTATTCTAAGAACAGGATCCAGCAGTGCTGAAATTATACCAGAATGATATACAACATACTGGGTGTGTACATCCCAACATTATCACCACAAAGAGCAATTAAATACTGTAAAAGACATTTTTGAAAACTATTATCAATTTTTTTGATTTGGCTTTCCACTTTCGTAAGTAACTACAATGGTCCCCAAAAGTAGACCAAAAAGTGAAATACGGTCAACTCCTATGAATCGAACTTCAATGATTCCAATTTGTCTATGTATCAAAGTTATTGTCTGGTCCCAAATTTATTCCTATATATTACCACAAACTTCTCCCTTTCTGAATCAAAGTTTTATAAATCAAACTTTTCAAAGAATGAAAGTTTTCATGGACTGTAAGCTATATAACAACAGTCATCATACAAAACATTTACCTGTACTTTTCAGATATTTTCACTTCCTGACAAAATTTCACATATTACTACCTGACAATGGGATTACAATAGCTCATTATCATTGGCTCTGGGTTACGAGCTTAATTAATGACTGGACACAGATTAGAATTTACTTGCTTACTTACAAGTCATGATGTTTAATAAAAGACAATGGGACGTCGTGTGATGTCCATCACTGCCATTTTGGTAATGGCATTTAGTAAGGTCCAATCTAAGATATTTTGAAAGCAATCAGTTTTAGGTCTAAAAGCATGAGAAACACAGTACTTTATCTGTCATTTATGTATCAGTCTTGAAATGATTACAGTAACACTTCAAGACCATATTAATGCTGCAAGTTGTTTCATTTAAAACGGACCTGTAAAAATACATATACTGTATGACATAAATGTAAATGTAAGCAGGCATTATCAATTTCTCATTGATTTTCAGTGAATATTTTTTGTTTTAAGATAAAAATGCATCTTTTCATTAAACTGGAGTTTTGGTATTTGTTGTGTTTGTTCAGGTAGAAATATGTCATTCACCTATATATAGCCATGAACATGAAAACGTAGATATAACCCACCACAAATGATTCAATGTTTCGATCTGTCAAAGTTTTTTTTAACTTGAAACATACAAGTTTGACTGTACTTTCATATCAGCCCCACTAGAGGGGACAAATGCATTGATTGATAAATGTATCCGTATCATGTCAGAAACTACTAGTGATCAATTCTTGGCAATCAAATTCAGTGTCTGCATTTAAACCAGCTAGTGTAATGTATCTGGAAATTACAGGAAAATGTAAGCCCAAACACCAAAGCCATATGTCAGGCCAGAATCATGGTTCGTTTTTCAACTTTACATAACTTGCTCCAATGTTATATCACTAAATGATTTATTCAACCATCATTACGCCAAATCACAATGAAATAAACACTGATGATGCAGAATTGTCATTTCCAAGATTTTTTTGAACGCCAGTCCATAAACTCCTGAAGCTCTTGGTCCTCTGCGTCTTCATCACTGTCTGATTTTGACCCTGTCTCCTTGGATCCCTGATTTGACATTATTTCTTCCTTTTTTATCTGGAGATTGTTGATTTCGTTCCAACGATTACTAAAACAAATGATAAGTCATAAAGTTTGGTTACTTGACTTAAAAGCTATGTATATGCTCTGACATTGGAAGACAAATAAGGATCAGTGTCATGATATAATAACCAACATTTCTACACAATTGTATACACCTACATCTCTCTGAAACAGTCTTGAGTAACATAAACTACAAAATATTGAGGTTAGAATAATTGACTAAGTAAAAAGGTCATCTGAATATATCATCCCAGATGTGACCATGTAATACTGAATAAGAATATTGTATGCATCAAAATTGTACAGGTAATAATCATGCATTCAGCATATTTTCATTAACATCATGGATACTGTCAAACTAGAACTACTGTGTATAAGCCATACTTTACCTATAGCTGGACTAATATTTGTTAACTGAGTTTACTGTCTCATCAAACACCATGGTAACTTTGAGGCGGGGTCTCATTTTCGTAACCAGTGACTACTTCATTGTACAAAATACAGTCATCAAACTGAGCGCTACCCATAGAAGCTAAATGTCAGCACTAACAGGTCTATTTCATCACTTCCCTGAAAACACTGCCAAAGGTTAGGGGGCATGGAACCACAAACCTTGGATCTTCATCCGAGAGAGACATTTTCTTTGAGACCATAAGATTCTGACTGTAATTTAGTTTTCCAGAGTGAAGATGATTGAATGGTGTAATGTAACATGATATATTTGGTCTTTAATGCTCCAAAGTTAGAAATTCTGATCCCTAATTCTAATAAATAATAAATGGCTTACATTTGGTCATCTATTTCGTCTATGTTTCTGTCCACGTTTGCTTGTTCATCCTCCTCATCCATGATAGCTTCTGATACCTGATAATTGTTATTAGATAATGCAGTAAAACTCCATCAATAATTTCATACTTTGCCTTATTAAAATTTCATGAGATTTTCTGACACATGACAATTAGTACCATGAGGTGGAAAAGTTGGTGAAGGACTGACAACATTCTACTTGACGCATATTTACATTAAGTTGAAAATAATGTACGAAACTGGCATCAATCTGTAGCTCACATTGGTTATGTAGCAATGGCAAAGGAAAGATAATGTCAATCAGAACATCTGATTTGATCTGAGTTGGTAGAAATACCAGATAGATATACTTACATGATTTTCTTCTTTCATAGCTCGTTGAAACATTTCCCATTCCTCCTCCATCTTGTCTTTATATTCTACATTACGAACCTTGAAACAGGCAAAGCAAATCAAATGTTTTTGATAAATGAACTTAGTAACAACAACTTTAGTCGTGAATCAAATAACTCACTACTGTACAAACTTAAAAACATACTGAAGTAATCTGAAAACAAAAGATACACAAAGTGATGGGTGATTTCATTACTATGCTTTGTACATGTACTTAAACACATGAAAACAAACAAGTGGCATTCATAGGCAGGTATTTGTTATAGGGAGGAAGTTTTACTGGCACCTTTGATTGTATATGTATATATGCCCTTTGTTTTAACACCATCAATCTTTGTGACACTACAACACATAAGTATTCTATAAAATTATGGTAGATACAGCAGCTGTGGTCATAACACCCTAAACAAGACAATGTACTCAATATTTAATGATATAGTAAACTCACTTTCGCATCAGTTTTTGGATCATCAAAAAAGCCTTCTGGTAGCACTTCAGCCATTGTTTCTGTTTTAGGTTTTTCAACTTCCTCTTGTTTACTGTTGGACTTTGTATGGAAAAAATCTGCAAAAACAGCTCACATATATATTCATTAAGTATTTACATTCCTAATGACTTTTGTATATTAAACAGATACACAACCACATGTAAGGTTTACATTATAGATATATACGTATTGATTAACACATAGAAAGCCACTTGTATAATCTACTCTCGAAAATACCTTTGATACATTTACCTGACATGTAAAATTTCAGAACAATCAGCATGTACCATGATGCATTAAAAAATGTTTTGGAATACAAACAAATGTGTCACATACCAGTTTTTTTAACATAAAAACAAAATTTAACTGTTGATTAGATTTACTGTTTACACATTCCAAATAGTGTTTACCAACAGCTGAAAATTCTAATACCTGTCAGAACACATACTTACCTGCTGGGAGACCTGGTACACTAGACACTGTGGAAGTGCTGAGTTTGGATGTCGATTTCACCTCATCCTCATCCTCAGAAGATGATGAGTAAGATGCCAGACCAGGACGACTTGACATACTCGTTCTGTCGTTAGATTTACCGTCAAAGAAATCTGAGGGTAGCCTGGAGAAAAATATTTACACAAAATACATCATATGATAATATTTATCCAATTCAAGGCAATATGTGTACATGATGATAAGACATGTAGAATAACAAATATATCAGCATTCAACATGAATCATTTTGATCAAATCTTAGTTTGACCTTTTGGTGTATTCACAAGCATGTGTTTTTTCCACAATATTTGACTTACTCCCCGGTAAGTTCAAAAATATGTTCATTAGATATCTTGGTCAATATCTAATACATTTGATCAGGTATATCTTTCAAACCCAAGAACAATGATCTAATTGCTGAAGCGTTTATACAACTTCCTGACATCTTGGTGACTTGGTGAATTTTAACTGAATACTTAAAGTGAGTTATTTCACTAAACTTCACTTTTGACCTTATTCAAGAAATGGCTCCAATGTATCTAATTTTTTTTTACAACTTTCATATGCTATACAGATGATGTTTTGTCTGTGGTAAAATTTAATAACCTTCAGAGATCTTTAATGTCTGGTGAATCCACATGACTTGTACATTTAGCTCCACATATGATTAAATTAAAAACCCTGATAACTAGTCAGATGTACATTAATCTCCAGACACAATATTAATCCTAGTTCAGTTATAAATGTATTTATAATTACCAGGTCTATCTGTTATTTAACACTCATACCCTGTGTTCACCACTCTGTCTACTCACCCTGAGGCTGCTGAGGATGATTTGGCTGACTGACCATTTCCTGTAATATCAAGCATCAAAACAAACATACAAATAGCTTTATATAAAAAATGTATGATTTTAAAACCACAGACTTGGTATTATAAATTTATTTGACTTCTTGTGATATTTAGCTTTGAAGTACTTTACTTCTCTGATATGCATACAGTATAACATAATATTACAATAATATAATTGTATAATTGATACAGACCTGAGGAATCTATGTCCATATCTAACATTTATCAAATTGTTTGTATCACTTCCAATTTAAAGCTTTCTACGAATCACTGTAATTATCAACAAATGCATATTACTTTCCACATAATCTCTATGGAGATTAATATGAACCAGTATACTAATTAATTATCAATAAATTATGAAGTATAATACAATGTACATGTATGAGTCTAATTATGACAAGTCTTTGGTTCAGTGATTTTATTTCTGATCTTACATTTTGCTCAGATATCTGGGATGTTTCTAGAAGTATTTTTGGCTGCTGATGCCACTAATTTTGTTTGCCTTTCAAATATTCTTGCACGATTTATGCTGATTAATGATAATGTCCTTGCCAGCTTCAGTTTTACTTCCAACATTGCATTTCTAATATTGATTGTTCTGGACCTTTCTAACGATAATTGCTCAAAATATCCTCTGTGTGAAAAGCCTTAACGATTCATTAGCCTATTCTAGAGAAAATCAAATTTTCTTGACATCCTCATGAAAACAAACAATTGCATCTCTCATTCTTGACAACAAAAGTGTCTTATATATATAATGATATACATATGTATATAGATACAAAAAATTATTATATAAATATAATGATATACATATGTATATAGATACAAAAAATTATTATATAAATATATATAATGATATACATATGTATATAGATACAAAAAATTATTATATATATATATAAAATGATATACATATGTATATAGATACAAAAAATTATTATATATATATATAAAATGATATACATATGTATATAGATACAAAAAAATTATATATATATATATATATATATAATGATATACATATGTATATAGATACAAAGTTAATCCAACAGTTCCACAGTTGTTTCTATTCTTACTGTAAGAAAACTTCTTTTGAAAATCCAGTCAAAATGTAAGAGTTATAAAAATGTCAAATCAAATTAAGTTCTTATCATTTGAATACATATAATCTTGCAATTGCTAGATGTACTATTGGAATATTTTTGTACTGCAGATGATTTCTATTATACCATTATCAAACTAATATATTGTCATCAATTTCATACCTTTATGCACAGAAAAACAGAAAAAGAAGTATATACCTCGGTGTCGTTTAGAGTCTTCATGACTGTTTGAATGCTGGGGGAGAGACCTCTTGATGCCAGTGGTAAAAGTGTCTGCTGCTGGCTTGACTTGAGTCAGTTTCTATTTTAAAACAAGAAAGTCAAAAAAGATTGTTACGAAAAAAAACCATGATAATAAACACATTCAACAATCTAGTTTTTTCATTTATAATAACAGTGACATTGACCTTAGAACTTGGGATATAAAAAACAATATCCAAAGCAAGCAATTAGGTACGGAAGCAATGTATGAAATTTGATTTAGATTGGGCAAAGAAAACTCAAGTTATTGCACGGAAACTGTTTTTAACTTATAGCTACAGTGAACTTTGACCTTTGAAGCTGAAAAGCTCTCCCATACAAGCGCTTTTAATAAAAAAGCAGTGTATGACGTTTGAGCTTGATCAGCCAAAGGAAACTCAAGTTATCACACAGAAACGTAATTTCTAAAGGACAGACAGACACTGTGATTACAATAGCACACCTGCACTTCAGTACCGCACCCTAAATAAATGACCTAATATCACTGTTCTCAGTAGACTGTATCCAGATATTGTATAAAGAACAATATTTAGAGTAGTAGTGCATGAAAGAGAAGCATACATTTAGGTCAAGGTCATTATCGCCTTAGACATTTTTTTCACAGCAACATAAGTTAAATATACATAACAAAAAGCCTAAGCTTTAACAGCTAAAGCAAACAGTCACATCTGAACAGAAGGGCATATATACAGAAAAATATATTTAACGGAAATAGCATTATATACCTCTTTATGTTGTTTACTCTGTAGATGTGCTTGCCACAATAATCCACTTTTTATCACTGTATTACAGACAACACATACCAGCTGGTCGATACTGTTATACCTGTAATGAAAATTTAGAGTTGATTATTTTTGTGGACAAAAGAGTTTGTTTTTGTTTTTGGACCACAAAATCTTACACATTTAACAAATTTAGTATATCCTTGGCATGTTAGTTTCAAATCCCTTAAGAATAGTATGTCAATAGCTACGCTATATTATTGAACTGCAACCTTATCAATACTGGGGTACATCAATGTAAATCAATTTTTGATACAAGACACACTACCTCACCAACGTGAACCCATTACCCAACTATTAAGTTCCAGTAAAGTTGTGTAAGAGATAGAGTCAGAACAAACTTTTCCTTTCATATAGGTCAAAGGTCAAAATGCAGGACAGAGTGACCTACTTTTGATTCAATATGACATACTGGAGGACAAGTTTACATACCGGTATACAGTATTACATGTAATCTTCATTAGATCAGGAATGCTATTTCAATGAAATTTTTTAAAATAAAATCATATTGTGAAAAAGATGAATATTTGTCTGTGTAAGCACCTTTCTTATGGGTTAAATATAAGTTTTATTGTTTGGTCTTTTTTCCTCAAATAAACCTGTTACATCATCACAAAATAAACAAAACAGAACATGTTCAGGGTCCAGGGTTTTATTCTTTTACTACTAAATTGTCTTTGGGATTCATAATTATTTCTTAAGATTCATTTTTAATCATTTAGTCCTAGACAGCAGCAGGTCACACTGGGACTTGTGACCAGCAACTGAGCTGATGTTAGGAAGGGGGTCCCTCTGGCCTCTATAGTTGGACCTCTGATCTTTAACAATTTTTATAAATGATATTTTAGCTTTGTACATGGATGTAGTTTATATAATGATATGTGATAACTTTTTTAATTTAAAGGATTGTTCAGAAAATGAAAGCAAAATCCTTACAGACTGGTTCAACTTAAACCAAAAACAATCTTATCCAGAACAAAGTTTGGTAAAAAAGAGTAACATTTCAGTTTAGTCTCTTAAGGTAGAAGGCTGAGAGATAATGTGTGAAGAAAGAGTGAAATTATTAGGTGTAGATATTGACTTTTTACTTTAGTTTGATTTTCACATCTCTCACCTTCTACAAAATTCCTCTAAACAACTTGCTGTTTTTAAATGAATGGGGAAAAATCTAACTAAGAAAGGGAAGATAATAATTTTTAAGTCTTTCTTTTTGTCAAATTTTAATTATTGCCTATTAGCTGGCATTTTGTAGCCTTACAAACACTTGGAAAATGGAAAAGGGACAAAAGCAGGCACTTCATTTTATCGAAAATGACTATGTTTCCTCAATTAGCGATATTTTAAGTAGATTTAAACTTGATTTTTTACATGCCAACTGTATTAAATACATGGTCACTGAAGTTTTTAAGATTTTAAGTGGTATTTTGCCGTCTATTCTACAAGGCCTTACTGAGAGGAATAACTGCCTGAAAATAGGTATTGGGAAATATTCCAGCTGTGCCATATCGGTGGTATTACTATTTAAATTATTATCTAACAGAATTAAACAAAACCTGAGATTATAGCCAAAACCCTTTAAAAAATGTACAAGTTGCAATTGTCCTTTTTTGTTGCAAACATATAGAAGAACTTGGCACATTTCTATGTCGAATGACACTGCATCTGAGTAACCAATTAATTACTCAAAGCCGTAACTATCCCTCAAAATCAGGACAACAACCCATGTATATAAACAACCCTGGAGTAATTTTTTAAATGTTGCTTTTGAGCACGTGCATTTTTACATAAATAAAAAGTAAAAAATCTTGTGTATAGGTAGATTGAAATATGAGAATAAACTTTATTTATTTTACAACATTTACCAAACAAGTTGTATCATCATGAATTTATCAAGTCTTTGATGAAGCAAGAGAGAGGAAATAGGGGTACTCAGAGGTGGGGGTCCAGTCAGGTTTTAGCATACCAGCATACTGTGGCATCCGTCTTCTGTCAACTATTTCTACAATCGCTATGAGTCGTGAACAACTGAGTGGATTTTGACCCAAATGTAGTCAGAAGCATTCTTGGGGAAATCAGACTCAAAATTGTATAAATGGTGGGTCTGCCCCATCCACCTCTTCCCAGGGACTAAGGAGTGAGAATTAAAAGGGGGATATTTAGCAAGTTCTTTAAATCAAAATCTTCTCCTTTTGTAGCAATGTGTAGATTCTATCCCAGTTTGGTCTGAAGCATTGGGGAAGGGGGCAGGTCCTTTGTTACAACTGCTCCACATTGAAAATAAATAACCAAATGGTGTCTGTCTTGGAATTTAACAGTGAGTTCTTTCCAACTATCTTATTTAGATTCAACTAATTGGTCCCTTTTTACATAAACAATATATTGCTTTTCATCTGTTTGGTACTCAGTCTAGCTATAAAAGGCACTGACCAACTTACCCATGTTGTAACATACCTCTACATCCTAAATCAAACCTTATATACATTGTTTTATTCCAACACTTGACTTGAAGAATTGTCAATCTGCACACCTGTTGATGACTTGTCAGAACTATTCCTACTTCTGCTTTTTAATGACTACTTTTTACAAGATGAAATTATGTCATTTTGATGATATATAGAAGAAGCACAGGTCTCTTTACTAGCTATAGCCAGTTGGAATTTCCCAATTAAACAGAAACATGTAAGGTTAGGGACCAAAGGGTCACTAGTTCGAACCCTTGAACGGGAAGGGTGTTCATTAATACGCCTTCCTAATCCAAGTTTGGTGACATTGACCACTCCAAGGGTAAAAAATATAGGGCAATGAAATGCTTTCTTGGATTAATCAAACCTAGTTTGCTGTTGTCGAATTCGAGGCCGAAGACTTTGTGAATGAGGGAATAGCATAGAATTTGACAAGAGACTGAAGAGTTTGAACCCCGCCTGGGCAGGGTATTTTCAATTACTCATTCCTATACAGTTATGTATATACAATGTAGCCATAGCACAGGATAGTTTTATCGAAAGAGAGAGGGAACGGGTGGATGAATAACAAATACCGAATGGGTTAAATGGGATTAAATTAATGACTACTGTCTTGAATGTTTCTAATTTCTTCTTCATTTGATCCTACACTGTTCAAAAGCACTTGTATCTGGAACGAAAACAACACGAGTAAAAAAATAAAAATGCATGATTTGTATTGTTTACGTTTCAGATACAGTAATCTCAAAAACGTCTGGTGGTAGGTTGTATTTTTAAGCTTCAATGGTACTGTATCGTTTAGATATCCATCAGACACCATATGAAATGCTCACTTGGCAAACTGATGTTCGACACGTTTAGTTATTGCGACAGTTGCCTTCTTCTCTTTCATTAAGCGTCTCAAGTCCTCTTTGGAGACAACTTTCTTCTTCTTGGACGTCGCCATATTTGCCGCTTTTGTTTTCGTATTCCGTAAAATAAAATCCTAACTTATATTTCGTTTAACTATATCATTAGGGTATACAGCAAGTATCATATAAATATCTAAAAACATGCTCACGCGAATCTGATATTGGATATATCTCTTTTTCTGAGAAACAGAACTTGCTAGCTTTACATGTAAAGCTTAACTAAACAGAAACCAAAGGCGGAAACGGAAAATCATAACACTGCACGTGTAGATCTGTTTCATGAAAACTCTTTTTGATTTTTGTTTTGCATCTGAATTTTTACAAGACATCAGTATCTACAGAAATCGGTTAGATATTAATGACGTGCGGTTTCCGTATGCCTCAAAAATCGAGGTAAACAGGGTCATGGTGCAGATGAAGATATTTATTGTCCCCGTCCCTCTCTCAAAACACACACAAGCAACTACACACAAACAACTGAAAGAAGATGATGCAATTGGTTTTCCTCTTGGTTGTCTGTTATGTATACTTATTTAAAACCATATAAGGAAATTGTTCACTCACTTGGTCACCATATCAGACAGCCAGTTTATGCAGTTAATTGGAAAATGAATCCTAATCTCTTGGCAAAATGAATTGGTCATCACCACACTAGAGACACATTGTTGTTATACTCTCTTAAAGAAAGAGACCATGAAGTCGTTGAAAGTATTTAAAGTAACAATAATAAAAGCAAGATATGTTTTTTTCAAAGCCGTAAAGTTACTTAAAATTATTACTATCTTTGTATTGCACTTAATATTTCGGTTCAAAATAACTTCAGGTTCTTGAGTTCCAAAATATTTACAATGTATTTTTATTTTAATATTTTTATTTGAATTTCTGAATTTGACTTGAATAACAAAGATCTGTAAATCCTATCAACACATCATATATGTACAAGCACAACCAAGTTGATGTTCTTTATTGACCTGAATTAAGGATTGGTAAAACATTCAATTGCTGATGCAGAAAGACAGCATTTACATATGATGTAAGGATGTGCTGTACAATTTCTATGTTTATTCCATCACTGTTTGGCACATGTGTAAGTGTGTCACACATACAATGATCCTCTTTTAGGTATAAAGTAAACAATAATAGTGTAGATTACTTTAACATTTTAATGACTGAAATGTCACAATAGAGAAAGTAAAAAATCTTGTGAATAGGTAGATTAAAATATGAGAATAAACTATATTTTTTTTACAACATTTGCGTAACAAGTTGTATCATCATGAATTTATCAGTTCTTTGATGAAAGCACAGCAGGGAAAAGGAAATAGGGGTACTCAGAGGTGGGGGTCCAGTCAGGTTTTAGCATACCAGCATACTGTGGCATCCGTCTTCTGTCAACTATTTCTACAATCGCTACGAGTCATGAACAACCGAGTGGATTTTGACCCAAATGTAGTCAGAAGCATCCTCGGGGAAATCGGACTCAAAATTGTATAAATGGTGGGTCTGCCCCATCCACCTCTTCCCAGGGCCTAAGGAGTGAGAATTAAAAGGGGGATATTTAGCAAGTTCTTTAAATTAAAATCTTCTCCTTTTGTAGCAATGTGTAGATGCTGTCCCAGTTTGGTCTGAAGCATTGGGGAAGGAGGCAGGTCCTTTGTTGCAACTGCTCCACATTGAAAATAGATAACCAACTGGTGTCTGTCTTGGAATTTAACAGTGAGTTCTTTCCAACTATCTTATTTAGATTCAACTAATCGGTCCCTTGTGATGTGGTACATATTCAAATTTTTGACATTTTGATTTGTTTTCTTTGTATGAGAAAACCTGTTTTGTGAACATGAATTTATTTTAACCTTTTTTTACTTGACTTTGTAGATATATGCTGAACAAAACTCACTGGACCAATTTTGTCATATTTCTGGCCTCATTAGTGAATGCTTGATGATGGCTGCCAGTCTATTCCCAAGCCTACGATATTTGAGAAAATCTATTTTGTTGCAAGATCCAGTGATCCAGATATTTTTTACATGTCCACAATCTGGACTTCATTATGATGTGTGTTTGAACAATTCAAGAAAAACATTATCAACAGCAAAATCATTGTCTGCCTCGGATAGAATTGAAAATAGATTAAGGATTGTTTTAGAGCAGAAAACTTTTCCAAAAGTTGTAGGAGAAGCAACAAAAGTAATAGGAGAAAATAGAAAAGGAAATACCAAAAGTCAAGATTTGAAAGCTGTATCAGTTGTTGCTGAAAATATAAGAACGTCAAACATTGCTAATCTTCAAGTAAAGAAATATGAACCTGAAGACAATGCTAAGAGTACAAAATTTAGTAAAAAGCCATCTTCATTGCGTCAGAACAGCAGCAAGGTTGTTGCTCTTGGCTATGTTCGGAAATGTTGCCCTTACAATCCCCTAGATCAGGTCAGGTGTGATCTGAATGGAGACCACTCCAAATATAAAAAGTTTGTAGACAATTTGTCTCTAAGATCAATTCCCAGTGTAACCTCTATTATCAATTTAACCATGCCAGATAGTGCCAGATATTTCTTAAATCGCTGGAAACAACGAATGATTCAGGAACTGGGCACAGAAGGATTCGCATTGCACCAAGAAAGTAAGTGATTGGTTGTGTAAGGAAGTCCAATGATATCGTTTTTAACTAAATTTAGATCGAATAAATGTTCAATATTCTTATAATATTGTCTTTAACTACTGGAAAAGTTCTTAATCTTGCAATGAAATATCATTCCAGTGAAAATTTAGTCCGATGAAGTTAACATATACCGTATCAATGGATTTTATGCTCAATATACATAATGATTCTCAGAGCCATCTAAGTCAGGTAAGGACACTGGAAATTTACCTATTCAGTTCAAAAGTGCTAATATAACTTTTAAAAGTAGGATTTTCACGCACATGTGGAGGTAGAAATTTGCCAGATAATGTGGAACCATATAGCATGTTTTGTTTTTTTTTGCACATGGTCTCTAAATTTTCAAATTCACTTAATTAGAGAAAATTAAATCCAGCTGAAATAAACAACTTTTAAATTAATCAGGTTTTTATCAATATTGAATTTTTATCTGGAATCAAAAATTGTTCATGGTATTATAATGTCAGATTTCAATATAATGGAAACTGAAGCAGATTTGCTGGAGAAGCTATTTTGGCTAGTTGTTAGTAATTTAGCAGTTGACACATGTCCTGTTTGCAGCATTTCATCTGTTATTCAAAGTTACCATTCAGAGACTATATACATAAATCATAATTTAGATTGCTTCTTTCAGGTATTTTGAACATAATGAAATTCTTCCTATAAATTTTTCAGAAAAATGAACATAATGAAATTCTTCCCAGCAATTTTTCAGAAAAATACATGGCTAACATATATTGCACAGGGGATTATAAAGATTTTGTGAGAAAAGATAAATCGTAATGTATGTTTCCTCTAAACCATATGTACCATTGTTTATATATGTGTCCCTGAATGTCTGTTTCCTCTAAACCATGTGTACCATTGTTTATATATGTGTCCCTGAATGTCTGTTTCCTCTAAACCATGTGTACCACTGTTTATATATATGTCCCTGAATGTCTGTTTCCTCTAAACCATGTGTACCACTGTTTATATATATGTCCCTGAATGTCTGTTTCCTCTAAACCATGTGTACCACTGTTTATATATATGTCCCTGAATGTCTGTTTCCTCTAAACCATGTGTACCACTGTTTATATATATGTCCCTGAATGTCTGTTTCCTCTAAACCATGTGTACCACTGTTTATATATATGTCTCTGAATGTCTGTTTCCTCTAAACCATGTGTACCACTGTTTATATATATGTCCCTGAATGTCTGTTTCCTCTAAACCATGTGTACCACTGTTTATATATATGTCCCTGAATGTCTGTTTCCTCTAAACCATGTGTACCACTGTTTATATATATGTACCTGAATGTCTGTTTCCTCTAAACCATGTGTACCACTGTTTATATATATGTCTCTGAATATCTGTTTCCTCTAAACCATGTGTACCACTGTTTATATATATGTCTCTGAATGTCTGTTTCCTCTAAACCATGTGTACCACTGTTTATATATATGTCTCTGAATGTCTGTTTCCTCTAAACCATGTGTACCACTGTTTATATATATGTCTCTGAATGTCTGTTTCCTCTAAACCATGTGTACCACTGTTTATATATATGTCTCTGAATATCTGTTTCCTCTAAACCTATACTGTTGTTAATTTGATCACATAAAAGATATCTCAATGATCAGTAATTTACAGAACCTTTTTTAAAGATTATATAGTCCAATTATTTAAAAAAAAAAGGGATACTGAGAAATTGGATTCTGATTTTCTCTAAGTCCAACTGCTGTGGAATATAACACACCAACTATTTTGTTTTTGTGTAAGGCATGTTCTGTTAACTTTAGATTCAATTTATAGTTTAAATGAAACGAACTGTAAAATGTCAGATGACTTTTGCTCTTATTCCTCCATAGGATGATTTGATGTTTTTAGTGTAAAAGTTTCACATTTGATTACCATTGAATTTTAATAATTGAAAAATGTTTTAAATTTTCATTTTTTGTTTTTACATCAATAGTTTAACATGATAACAACATTTCTGTAGTGCTTGCATGCTATTTTATTAATCAAAATTAGCTTCGAATTAGAGTTTTTTGGAGGGGGAAAAAAGACAGATTTGAGTGTAGTCTGCAGATTGCTTAAAATTGATAAAAGCAGTACATATGTTACATAATGACATGTAATTTTTGTTTGTGTATGAGGGTCATTTTTGTGAAATGGGATTTATCTGGTATACTTTCAGAGACATTAGGCCTTGGGAGGAATCTGCACTCCTGTATACAGAAGCACCTTGAGGGTGTGAGTAAGGATGATCTTCCACTAGAGGCAGACAACCAAGGTCACTGGAACAGCCTTGCCAGTGTGTTCCCAGACATTAGTGATGTGAGAGCTTTAGAAGTGAATGTCAGCCATCAGACGTTGATGTACCATGGGAAATTTGACTGTGTAGCCAGATACAGGTAGGTCTCCTATGTACTAATATTAATAACCATTCTTCTAGCTCCCTCAGCCAACAGGTAGAATTAGTGATAAGTTATTTCATAACCAGAACCAGTATGTATGTATCATTGACTATTGCCAAAACAGGATCCTTCAGTATGGATGTTCCATTAATTTGTTTTTATTTTAACAGTTTTATGGGTGGAAAGTTTATATAAAACAATACTTAGTGTTATAGGTCAAGTAGAAATTTCACTGTTAATCAAGGGAATCGCGCAGAAAAAGCAGTCTGTATTTAAGATGCATGTGTCTGTCTTCAACACTGTTACACACTAATGTGCAAACTGTCATATGTACCAAGTGACTGGTCACCTCATTAAATTTCTTACTCATCCTTAACAAGTACATTCTTCTGCCTCTATATAGCTTTTGGGACATATTTGAATGGTGCTTGACCAGGGTATCACTGTCTTGATGTACAGTGTGGCAGTTTTTCATTAAAATTTTACAAAGACCATGGCCAAAACCCTTTAACATGGTCCCATGACTTTTAATGGAGCAAGAACATTATCTCCTTGTAAGGAGTTTGTGTCTGTCACCTAGTATTAACATTGTAGTAATTTGCTGTGTGTTTCACAACAGAGATATGCTGTGTGTCATAGACTGGAAAACCTCAAAGAAAGCTAAGCCTTCGCTGTCCAATACATATGACAACCCTATCCAACTAGCGGCTTACCTTGGTGCCATCAATAGCAGTAATGTCATGACAGGAGAGCAGGTAGGTTGTTTAGTCAAGACAGAGTAACTATATAGGGTGTGAGGTAAGTAAGACAGGGTTGCTATATAGGGTGTGAGGTAAGTCAGACAGGATTACTATATAAGATGTGAGGTAAGTCAGACAGGGTTGCTATACAGGATGTGAGGTAAGTCAGACAGGGTTACTGTATAGGATGTGAGGCAAGTCAGACAGGGTTACTATATAGGGTGTGAGGTAAGTAAGACAGGGTTGCTATATAGGGTGTGAGGTAAGTCAGACAGGGTTACTATATAGGATGTGGATTAAGTCAGACAGGGTTACTATATAGGATGTGAGGTAAGTCAGACAGGGTTACTATATAGGATGTGAGTTAAGTCAGACAGGGTTACTATATAGGATGTGAGGAAAGTCAGACAGGGTTGCTATATAGGGTGTGAAGTAAGTTGAACAGGGTTACTTTATAGGATGTGAGGTAAGTCAGACAGGGTTACTAAATAGGATGTGAGGTAAGTCAGACAGGGTTACTATATAGGATGTGAGTTAAGTCAGACAGGGTTACTATATAGGATGTGAGGAAAGTCAGACAGGGTTGCTATATAGGGTGTGAAGTAAGTTGAACAGGGTTACTTTATAGGATGTGAGGTAAGTCAAAAAGGGTTACTAAATAGGATGTGAGGTAAGTCAGACAGGGTTACTATATAGGATGTGAGTTAAGTCAGACAGGGTTACCAGTAATGTCATGACAGGAGAGCAGGTATGTTGTTTAGTCAAGACAGAGTAACTATATAGGGTGTGAAGTAAGTTGAACAGGGTTACTATATTGGATGTGCGGTAAGTCAGACAGGGTTACTGTATAGGATGTTAGGTAAGTCAGACAGGGTTACTATATAGGATGTTAGGTAAGTCAGACAGAGTTACTATATAGGGTGTGATTTAAGTCAGACAGGGTTACTATATAGGATGTGAGGTAAGTCAGACAGGGTTACTGTATAGGATGTTAGGTAAGTCAGACAGGGTTACTATATAGGGTGTGAGGAAATTCAGACAGGGTTTATATATATATTCCTTGTGGTTTTTGTTCATAAAGGTGCATTTGTATTTAAAATTGACCCCTGTCACATTGAATAAGTGTCAAGATCATTTCTTTATGCAAACTTTGTCAGTCTTCATTCCAGCTGATTGTTATTATTCTAGGCATTTGGGTTCATCAGAAGAAGGTATTTAAAAGTTTATCATATTCGACCCATTTAACCTGGAATTAGGGTCAAAGGCATTTTTTAATGCAAATTTTGTCCAGTTTCTTCCCAGGAATCTACTAGCTAAATATAGTTCTAGACACTTTTGATAGTAAGAAGCCATTTGTAAGGTTGTGACAAATTTTACCCTTGTGACTTTGTATATGGGACAAGGCCATTTCTTTTTGTTAACGTTTTCAGGCTTCATTCAAGGAACCATCCAGCAAAAGATAATGATCTAGGCTATTTGGTGATTTTGAAAAAGTTGTTTCATGGGGAAATGTGATGCTTGACAAACTGCTGATGGGCAAGTTAAGCAAAACATGCTGTATATTTTAACGTATACAATTTAGTAAAAAGTCAAAGTTACAATCTATATCCATCTATTGTTTCTGATGTTGCTAGGACTCAAAACTGAGACAATGTGCACTGGTGATAGCCTACCCTCAAGGAGACCCCGCCCATGTCCACATCATGGATTGTGATCAGGTCAGCACCTACTGGGACAAGTGGCTTGATAGACTCGAACTCTATTGGGTCCTGAAGTCTAACAACAAATTACCAGAACGGATATGACAAAAATGAAGGGAAAAAGAAATTGCTCTTGAAAATAAATCAAATAATGAAACAAATGGTTTTAAGAAATCATGTGTTTAGATATTTCATTATTTCTGGATAAATATTTTTTGGTGACATGATTCCTGAATGTTTTATTTTGTTCCCATGATGATATAAACACAATACATATGTATTATATATAGAGTATCCTGTGAAGTTCCATAAAAAATTTGTCCGTGATATCAGGTACAGTGGAAAGACAGTGGGCTTTTCACTTTTTTTTTCTCTTTGGGGTCTCTTTGAGCCTGGTCAGATAATTACAATCATGATTACTGGGAAGATAGCTGCTAGCAACCATTTTACCAAGAGTTCCATGTAGTGGAACAATATACTCCCATCCAACGCCAAAGAAATATTTAAGATTTATTGTATCAAAAAGAATACAATTATGGTAATGGTAATAACGAGTCAAAATGTCAAGAGAGAAAACAGTGTTATATAATTAAATGATAAATTGAAAAGATAAGTGGAAAGCTGAAAAAAAGACTGAAAAGAACAAAGGGCATTGACTTTTAGACAAGATAAAACTGTTGCAAAAAAGAAAGGGGAATTACTCTTCCCAAAATGCCAAGCAGGAAAACACAATTTCATGTAATAGATAGAAAGTCTACATTTTTCAGCAAAGTTGGTGAATAACTGAGGAAGGACAACTTAACACAAAATCAAAATATTGATAAAAACAAAGGGTAAAAACTCCTTCAAGAATGGTTGAATTGGCAGAATCAAACTGCTGTGTTAAAAAGTCTTAGAAGTTTTGAAAATATTGGTTGAAAACTTATGGAAGTGATCTCGGGACAAGATCAACATTTGGCAACGAGGGGCAATAACTCTTCCAATTATAAGTGAATCAAAGAGTAATTCAGGAAAATGCAAGCTAATGCCTTGGTGATAAGCCTATCAGTTTTAAAAGAAATCGGTTGAAAACAGAGAGGGGATCTCAGAACAGGATTAATTCTTTGAAAACAACAAGTGGCAAGAACTCTCTCAAATACATTTGAATCAAACTGTTATTCAGAAAAACACAACTTTATGTCGTGATGATTAAGCCTACCAAGTTTTACTGTCTGCAACTGAGAGAAGAGATCTCAGGACAAGATGAATGGAATGCAATGGACAGATGGACAACACCATAACATAATACAGCCTGCCAATATTTTTATGGGCATATAAAACTTTCAGTCTTGAAACCTTTTATGGGTCCTAGTTGTTCATGCCACATTACAGATTTCAAAATTGCTACTACAACCATTTGAAAATTCGGAATTTAACCTTTGTTACCACTTTTTCTGAAGAACTACTGATCTTCTCTTGACTCTATTGATATTCTAAATCCATGTTGTTCCAGCTCTATATTAACTTATTGGAATGTTCTTGGTGGCAACTTGGACATTTTTGTTTTGATCCTTCATTTTCAGATACATAAGCAGTATTGGTTGAGCAAGTCATTCTTCTAGCCTGATCCTGAATTCCTGCATTGTCAGTCATTTGGATTTTTAACTTGAGTTTGAAGTTTGCAAATGTTATTTCCCAACATTAATGATGATATCTGCTGGAACTTTTTGGGAAATGTTCACTGTAAGACATTAATAAGTGTGCCATATTTTGAGTTTGTTTCTTAAATTTGCTCCACATTTTTGTCACTGCTATATTGCATATCTCTGGATTCCCCTTGATTGATACATAGCAGGCTGTTAGTAAATAGTCATTGTTAAAGGTCATGTTTATCAACTTTAAGCAAATTAGAACACTGTTCAATTAGGACCTTGATTATTGAAATAAAGATAGATATTGTTGTCGGAGGGCACATCTGCCTCGACAGTTACTTGCACTTACGCAGATTTGTTTAGAAGTTTGGATAGTTTTGTAATTCCTTGAAGAGTTTAATTATTCTGAAATAAATGTCATGTATGCAGTTTGAAAGGTACTTTAATATTTAGTACTAGTCACAAAAAGATATAAAATAAATCATTTCACAGATACCTGCACAATTGCACTTTTATTAAAATAATGTATTACATGTATCACATTCAGTCAAACAGAAAACTCTTTCAAATAGAAAAATTCTTAAAATATTGCAAACAAAGAAACGGTGTATTGTGGTATATCCTTATAATCTATCATAGCAAACCAGGTGTACATGAGTATGTAATCTTTTCTAGCCATTTTTGATTTTTTGAAAATCGTAAAGTTTTGATATTATATCACACTATTTCATATGGTAACTTTAAAAAACTTTTAAAAAGAAAGAAAAATCTGACTACATCTTTCATGGTTACCTTCAATTTTGTATCTATTAAAAAGGGTTTAGGGCAAGCAATTATCATACATGGTACTTCAATGTGTGGAACCTCTTTAAAATAACAGAAAATATAACACAAAGTATCTATATTTACCAATGAATGATATCTTCCTTCATATGTATACCATTGAATTTTCCTATTTTTTCTCCATTTCTTTCAATGTCAGATAGATCTAGATTAAATTAAAAACAGGAACTTATAGTGATAGACCTTACATAAGAAGGAAGGACAAAAAGCAATTTGAATAAAATGAGATCTGAATTTAACTACATACAGGTGTCCGACATTACCTTAATATAAAGTAGTGTGACAGAGCAGAGTGAATGTAGATCTGATTTTAATCAGATTGCAAAAAGGGCCAATAAAGTTATGTCTGTTTGCAATTTTTCCTATAAAATACATATACTACAATACTGAATTTAAAACACAAGAATACAATGGTATACTGGGGCAAGTGTATAGTGGAATGAGTAGGCTTTATTTGTATCGAACTTTTTTTAATTAACTTTGGAAAACAAAAATGCAATAACTGAACTAGGAATATTTCTCTCATTATTAAAAATGAAAACAAATATGCTTAATGTTAAATCAAAATGATCACCCTTGTCCTTGTATGTTATAATAACTCTACATTAAACCATGTTGATAAATTTGAGTAGTCAAACCATTAGGCTAGCAACACTAGATACAATTTGTCCTTTTAAGAGAACCATTAAACATGATCACAAAAAATTAGTTTTGCTTTAAGTCTGAAACTAGTAAATAAAATGGCTGTTATCATCCTTTACAATGACAACAAGTAAGCTGTGTAGAAAAGTAAGGAATACTTATTGTGTAACTGTTTACACATCTAATAGCACCATTTTACACCAAATGACAGATCATACTGAAAAATATATAATGGAAATGCCACTTCAATCAGGTACCCATACTAGACAAAACTGTTAAAATATTGGATAATAAATGTCAACAGAGAGAATTTGTTTCTATGTTGGCCTTATGTTATATATATATCAACTATCAATATCATGGAATGAGCAATCACTCTCCTTGATTGAATGTTGTCATGGTAACATACATAATCATGCAATCAATTTATTATCTTTTTTAAGTGTATGTAGAGAAATTCTACAAATTTGGATATATTAATAAAACCCTATTGATAAATTTACCTAGGTAATCTACTTCGAAATATCATAAGAATAAATTTTATCATCATGGAACACATATGAACAAGAAATTCATTTCATGTATAGAAAGCATCAACTCTTTTCCATGGACAATTTACCATCCATGGTACAGAACTGAACCTTAAGCATAATTCCTTAATGCTTTGTAGTTTCCAGCATGTGTGTTGTAGTGTAGTCTTGTTTTATCTGCTGTTATTATCCTGTCTATACACACTACCATCTCTATTCTACTTTACATATCATTATAACATACAATCATGACAAGCTTCATCCTACAACACACCCATTCAACATTTTTATGGAATTACAACGTTATACAGCCAATACTATATTTTACAGTGCTTCCATGAAGCTATCAGATCATATTATTTACAAAAGAATTCATTCCTATCGACACTGTTTAAGTGAACATGTGTTGCAAGCATACCTATATAGATGAGACTTTACCATAGCACCCAGCACCACATTCAATCTTCATGTATGAACTTACAATACTGTTTAACCAGTTAACAAAGATAATTTATCTTAAATAATTTATAATTTGGCCCAGCAGTAAAGGTGGTAATGCATGTGTAATAGGTGGTGTGAGAGTCCATCACTGTGATATATGTGTAATAGCTGTTGTGAGAGTCCATCACAGCGATGTATGTGTAATAGCTGGTGTGAGAGTCCATCACAGCAATGCAAGTGTAATAGCTGGTGTGAGAGTCCATCACAGCGATGTAAGTGTAATAGCTGATGTGAGAGTCCATCACAGTGATGTAAGTGTAATAGCTGATGTGAGAGTCCACCACAGCGATGTATGTGTTGTATGTGATGTGAGAGTCCATCACTGTGATATATGTGTTGTATGTGATGTGAGAGTCCACCACAGCGATGTAAGTGTTGTATGTGATGTGAGAGTCCACCACAGCGATGTATGTGTTGTACCTGATGTGAGAGTCCATCACAGCAATGTATGTGTTGTATGTGATGTGAGAGTCCACCACAGCGATGTATGTGTTGTATGTGATGTGAGAGTCCACCACAGCAATGTGTGTGTTGTATGTGATGTGAGAGTCCACCACAGCGATGTATGTGTTGTATGTGATGTGAGAGTCCACCACAGTGATGTATGTGTTGTATGTGATGTGAGAGTCCACCACAGCGATGTAAGTGTTGTATGTGATGTGAGAGTCCACCACAGCGATGTATGTGTTGTATGTGATGTGAGAGTCCATCACTGTGATATATGTGTTGTATGTGATGTGAGAGTCCATCTCTGTGATATGTGTAATAGCTGATGTCAGAGTCCATCACTGTGATATATGTGTTGTATGTGATGTGAGAGTCCATCACAGCCATGTAAGTGAAATAGCTGATGTCAGAGTCCATCACTGTGATATATGTGTTGTATGTGATGTCAGTCTACCACAGCGATGTATGTGTTGTATGTGATGTGAGAGTCCATCACTGTGATATATGTGTTGTATGTGATGTGAGAGTCCACCACAGCAATGTATGTGT